TTGACTTAGTATTTTCTAATCCATATATTTGATATATTCTGAATCCTTAATTGGTCTCTGATCAGCCTTCTCCAACCCTTTTCTTTCTCTATGTGGTAGAGACAATATGAGCAGCCCAAGTTCAGTACTTGCTATACTTTGCCTTCTCTGCTTTCTTAATGGCCAGGGAATGATAGCAAAGGTGGCTGCAAATAGCCGAGTATGTTATATATATGTTTCCACATCTCAAACACTTGTTCTTGTTCTTTAAGGTTTTCGTTTTCGTTTTCTTTCTTTTTTTCTTGAATATGGTGTTCTGATATATCTCTCAACCAACAGGTACACATTGTTTATCTGGGAGAGAGGCAGCATGACAACCCCAAGTTACTCACAGATTCACATCATGATTTGCTTGCCACCATAGTGGGAAGGTAATTTACATGGATTTAGAATTTGAAATCTAGGATGCTTAAATGATCCAAATCTTGAATAATATATTTATTAAGTAATTTGGTTCCTATGCTGCAGCAAGGAATTGGCCTCAGAATTAATGGTATACAGTTATAGACATGGTTTCTCTGGGTTTGCAGCCAAGCTCACAGAGTCTCAAGCCCAAAAACTTTCAGGTATATTTTAAAAGTGCAACAAAGATATGTCTGGTTTGCAATGATTGATAATTATTTACAATATAGATATGTAATGGATTCATGAGCTATACCTTCAGATGTCATCATTAAGTCTTGTGCTTATTGTTGCTTTTTTATACTTATGAAATGGTGAACTCTAGAGCTGCCTAGTGTTGTTCGAGTCATACCGAATAGCCTTCACAAGCTGCAAACGACTAGGAGTTGGGATTTTCTTGGCCTCCCTTCTCAATCCCCTTCCAATATTCTTCACAAGAGCAGCATGGGTGATGGGGTTATCATAGGTGTCATTGACTCAGGTTGATCTCCTTCTATCTCTTAAAAAAGAGCACGCACGCACACACACACTCTCACACTCCTGCTTATGTAATGGTCCCTGAACACAAGCACTCAATGAAACAGGTATTTGGCCAGAGTCTAAATCATTCAATCACAATGGCCTGGGGCCAGTTCCATCCCACTGGAAGGGTATATGTGAATCTGGAGACAGATCCAATGCTACAATACACTGCAATAGAAAAATCATTGGAGCCCGCAGGTTCATCGATGGACTTCGTAAAGAACATGGAAAACCACTGAATTTGTCGGCAGAGTTCTTGTCTTCCAGAGATGCACATGGACATGGTACTCACACTGCTAGCACTGCAGCTGGTTCTTTTGTGACCAATGTGAGCTACAAAGGCCTTGGTCATGGGACAATCAAAGGGGGTGCCCCAAATGCTCGGTTGGCCATTTACAAGGTTTGCTGGAATGTGCTTGAAGATGGGAATGCGCTTGTACTCCGTTGCTCATCAGCTGATGTATTGAAAGCTTTTGATGAAGCCCTACATGATGGGGTTGATGTGTTGTCATTGTCAATTGGGTCTTCAATTCCCCTCGAACAAGAGGTTCATGACGACATTGCAATTGGTTCCTTTCATGCTGTGGCCAGGGGAATTACTGTTGTTTGTGCAGCAGGGAATCATGGACCTTTAGCTGAGACGGTTTCTAACACAGCGCCATGGATCATAACCGTAGCAGCAAGCACCATGGATCGATCATTTCCTACTTCCATAACTTTAGGAAATAACAAAACTTTCTTGGTATGTGTTTCTGTGATTGTGGCAAATAACATTCTTGGTATGCATTTCCAACTTCATGCATATACTTTGTTGTTTATGTAGGGACAAGCTATGTTTACAGGGCCAGAGATTGGATTTGCAAGCTTGATATACCCAGAGCTTGATGACCCTACTGCCGATGGGTAACATGATCTGTTACTTTGTAATACATCCCCAAAATTAGCTTAACAATATGTATTTACGTGTAGTTCATTTTCATGAGTTGCAGTGGGTGCCAATCCCTGTCACTTGACAAAACTATGGTAGCTGGAAAGGTGGTTCTTTACTTCACTAGAGTCAGTGGTAGTACAGCAGCTATAGGAACAGCTATAACAAATGCTTTAGCAGCTGTGATAGAAGCCGGTGGTGTTGGCCTCATCGTAGCAAAGAATCCAAGTGACTTCTCAGTTCCATTTAATGAAGACTTCCCATGCATTCAAGTTGACTATGAAATTGGCACCCAAATACTGTTTTACATCCGGTCTACCAGGTAACATCATTAATTATCGTCCTTGTTGACACCGCAATTATTATGGCTAGGTTTTTTTTGTGACCCTCAAGGTTTTGTTTGGAATGCACAGATTTCCTCTTGTAAAATTGAGACCTAAAACATTTATTGGCAAACCACTCTCAGTCAAGGTGGCTTATTTTTCATCCAGGGGGCCAAACTCCATTACACCAGCAATTCTTAAGGTATGTATCCACACTACACTGGATGCAAATGTTTAATATATAAAAGGCAGGGGGCCTATGGTTCTTGTCCACATAAATCTTTCTCTACTTATCCTGGACACCTACATAAACCAGACAACAAAGTGAAATTTCGCCTCCGAAAGTTTTAGTAAATTGAACACTAAACATGTTCCTCAAGAGATCATCTATTTTTCCTTCATGTTACTGGAAAGCTCTCAAGTTTTGTCTCCTACAACATTTGCTAGTTCCTTCTTCAAATTTAGAGAGAAGTCCATGTCTATGCTCCAATTTTGCTTCGAGATTCATCATATAAAGTCTTCTTATTTCATCTTCTTGTTATTTTTCTGTTGGACAGCCAGATATAGCTGCCCCTGGTGTGAACATTCTGGCTGCAACTTCTCTACGTGACCCACTATGGGAGGGTGGATATCGCATGGAATCAGGAACATCAATGTCAACTCCTCATGTCGCAGGGATTGTGGCTCTTCTCAAAGCAATGCATCCCAATTGGTCTCCGGCAGCCATTAAATCGGCACTTGTCACAACTGGTAACCACATGATCACATGTTCCTAATTTCATTAACGATACATGCTAAACTTAACCAAGTTCTAAATTTTCATGCAGCATGGAGGAATGGCCCGTCTGGTTTACCAATCTTCGCAGAGGGATCGTCTCAAAAGCTGGCAAATCCGTTCGATTTTGGAGGCGGCATTGTGAACCCCAGTGAAGCAGCAGACCCTGGTTTAGTATATGACGTAGGCAAAGCCGGCTACATCCAATATCTCTGTGCAATGGACTACAACAACTCTGACATCACTCGGGTTGTAAAGCAGAACACAACATGTCCCATTAAGAAGCCCTCTATCCTTGACATGAACCTACCCTCCATAACCATACCAAATCTCAACAATCCCATCACAATAGAAAGAAGTGTAACAAATGTGGGAGCCCCTGAATCCATTTACAGAGCTACCATTGAGACTCCATTTGGTACAATTGTATCTGTAAACCCCAGTGCTCTGGTCTTCAACTCTACAGTTCGAAAGCTCGATTTCACGATCACAATCTCCGCGATCCACCGGATGAATACTGGATACTATTTTGGAAGCCTTTGCTGGGCTGATGGAGTGCATCTTGTAAGGATTCCTTTGTCTGTGAGGACAGTTTTTGCACCTTATGATGAAAATCACGAAAATGATGACTGGAGTGCTGGCCTTATGCCTTTTTAGTTCCCGTTCGGTCGGGATCTTGATCTTCATGCTATGCATGCGCTTGGGTTTTTAGTCCCCAAATCTTAATTTCTTAGACCCCTTCTCTAATCAGCCCCAGATAATTAATACCATTTTTTATTAGTTGTTTTATGCCTTGTCTTTGTTTATGCTAATTAGCTCCAGGAGGTTGTTGAGGTCATACCCCTAGTCAAATCTTTGTTAAATCTGAGAGGGACGAGCTAATAGCCCACTACTAGCAATATCGACATTGTCCCCCAACTTTGTTAGACCAAGTCCAAGTCACGAGCATATTGTTATTGATAAGTCAGTTGTGGATTTGAATTTGAATAGTTGATATGCTGATAATGCTATTTTGTAATTGAGCTGATCCCTTGTTTATTGGAACAGCTCTTATATTTTGAATTGTAAGTTATCAATACAGTAATATAAATACGTGCTTACACCAGAGTTACTGGTGTGGCCTTTTCTCCCATTTTCTAAGTCTTTCATGGTATTAAGAGCTCTTATTATCTAACGATTTTTTTTTCCCCACTTTTCCCATGGCCAACTCTGATAGCTCTGTCCTTCCTCCCAATTCCACCAACACCAATGACCAAAATCCTCCCAATATCAACAACACCAATAACCAAAATCCTCCGTCCACCATCAACAACCAATCTCATCAGCCTCCACCTGCTGTTTCCACCATCATTTTCTAAGTCTTTCAAACTTAACCACCTACAAAACTCAGTAGGTGTGAAACCATATTCATTATATGTTGTATTTTATTTTGTCAAGTTCCGATTTGAGACTTTTATTCTTCAACAATCTTTACAAAGACGAGGCTTATAATACAATTAGGCACTTCCACAATCATATTTTGTAACAAAACCCTCGGATAAGTACTGATCAATCTTTGAATTTCGAAAAAAAACAGGAAGCTTTCCTCCATCATTAACAAAATTCATACAAAAGGAATACAATATGTGTCAAAGGTCAAATTTCATTTGTGTAAGCATCATATAATGTTTGCGTAAGAAACAATCCTAGCCTCCCATGGGCTTAATATGTTTAATCAAACACTATATAAGGCAATGCACCAAACTTTTAAGCTTCAAAACTTGAAGCTTAAACGCCATGGCTTCTCTTTTATTGAAGAGGATGAGCAACAAAGTTTCAATGTTTGTGACATTTAATATTTTTTAGTGCTCTGTACCCAAAACACTATGATTAGGACGGTCCATGCCAAGAGTAAAGTGAGTGCTCCCAAACTAGAAATCTCTTCCTTTTCCAAAAAAAGAAAATATATATTTGTGGTTCTTACTATTGTTTTTTTCTTTTTTCTTTTTAAAGGTTCACATATATAGTCTATATGGGTGAAAAGCATCACCATGATTCTGAGGTTGTAACCAGTTTGCATCACGACATGCTGGTCTCAGATTTCGGGAGGTATTATGTTGTAAACCCATTGTATATCTTTGAATTCAGAACCTCTTTCAATATTGGGAAGATAAGCACCACTTAAATGAAGAGCTTAAAAAAAAAACCTTAATACCTTTACGCTGATTAAATGGAATGTTAGTGTCATATGATTTTATATGATAAAATCATTTTCACACATACTATAGTTGAATAAAAACGAGGAATTGATGAAATCCGGGATTGCACAAGTATTTTGTTTTTTCAAGACTTTCAAGTTGACTATTTGCCTAATTATGTCCATGCAGCAAAGAAGCCGCTTATGATTCTATGGTGTACAGTTACAAGCATGGATTCTCCGGTTTCGCAGCTGAAGTCACAGAATCTCAAGCTCAGAAGATTACAGGTAGGTTTTCCTGTTTACACTGGCCTCAACTTATTAAAGAGATTCAATTCTTGTGGCTCAGCAGTCAAATTCCAAATATTACTCTCACTGATTTAATCTTTTGCCTAATATCCATTGCTGTGTCTTTTTCAACACAAATGTCAAGGTTTAATCTTTTGTGTGCAAATATTGTATGGAATCGCCCCATCCACTCAATGGTGGGTGTGATTTGACCGTTGCAAGGAACCGGGTTTCATATTTGAAATGTGGTTGCAGGCTCAACGCCATTTGGTTGAGAAAAAGATTGAGCGAGTGGCATATAACATATCACATATCAACAATTATGGAGAACATCACTCTCTTTCTTTCTTGCTTTCTTTGCATGGTCTGGTTTTGTTTTTCCCCTTTCAGGAAAAGCTTACCCAACAATTGAAACAGAAATTAAGATGATCAGGTGATCTTGTAACATTAACCAAGAGTTTTGTTGTTTGTTTTGTTTGGCTGAAAACATCAAGAGTTCAAAACCAAACATTATCATTATGACAAAAGATCTTCGAGTTGTGATGCTTCCTGGTCTGCCTTTGGCCATATTATGCCTTATTTTCAACTTTCCATAACCTTTGGCAAAAACCAGAGTTCATGCCCATTCCATTTCCAGGAGGAGCTGAGGCCTCTGTGGCGTATGATCTGCTGCAACAACCCATTATGCAGTTCATGGAACGCGATCAGAAGCTGCATCAAGAAGATCATTTAGGATATTTGGAGCACTTAAGACATGATGGAAATGATGACGTCAGCACATATTGGGAGCTGGCTGGAAGATACATGCCGGCGTTGACTGTTGAGTGTTGACTATCTGGTGGGCTGGGTTGATTGCTGGTGTTTGGGCTTGGCTTAGGATTCGCCAGTTCTATCTTTCATGGCTTTCTTTATCCATTCTCTCCAAAGCCACAAAATGCTTTTCGTTGGGGCCTGCAACATTTCTTATTGGTGGTGAAAGCCGAAGAAGACTAGAAACAGAGATACTATAATATTGGTGGTGATTGCATGCTCACTCAATGCTTTTCCAACGCCGCCAATATTACGTACACTGTTCAGCTTCAGCACATGCATGGTTTGGTTTTTTGTGTTCTTTCTTTTCCCATTTTCAAGGGACCAGTTACATTATTTTGGGAACATTTCAATTTTCAAGATAGATGCGTAATGCATTTGGTGAAAAAAAAAACAAAGAAGAAGAGAAGAAGATAAAATTAAGATCTTGAAAGTCATTACAGGCAATCCTTGGGAATGTGCATGCTTGGGTACTCTACTTGAATGCTTAGCCAGAAAATGTGGATCATGTGTTTGGACGTTTGGTTAGCAAGAAACGCATATGTGCTTTTCTATTTATTTTTATATAAGCGATATTGGGGAGGGGAAATTGAACTTAGAACCTTGGATGCATGAATAAATATTCTTAACCACTTACGCTACAAGCTCATTGCTTACGTTTTCTTTTATGGTTAAAAGAAGTGGTCTATTTCAAATGTTGGGTTTATTGTTTAAAGAGCTTTAAAAAAGAAGTGTCTCTATTTGTGTTTTATTTGGCTATATTAGGTGAAGAAGAGGGTTATGATTAGCGAGGAACCAACTATTGTCCGATTTTGTTTGTTATATGATTTCCTCGACTTAACGATATTCATAAATTTACAATAGAATTAATTTTATATCATATTCAATGACTTGAATAATTTGGTATCAACAAACACATCGACATTTACATTATTAGAGCAGCTCCAGTGCTGCTATCAAACTGGGCAAAAGGCCCCCCTAGCAAGCCCAATGCGGTTCCAGTGCAGCACCTGTAGCCCGGGCAAGCCCAAGGGCAGATCTTGACTGGGCTGTTGCCCTCGGGCTGCTGACGTCAGCAGCTGATTTTCAATTTTTTTTTTATTGTTGGATCCACCAGCCCACATTGCCCAATGGTTACAAGCCATGTGGCTTCTCCTAGAGCCTCCAATCAAAAAATCTTGCACAATCTAACGGTTGTCCAATTTTTGGCTAAAAAAAATCAAAAAATTCAGGAAATTTTTTCTATATATACCTACAAATATTATTCACTTTCCACACCAATTTAATTTCAAAATTTTATCCAAAAATGTTATCTTGATTTTTAGGTGAGGACTTTACGATAAATATTAACACTTGGGAATTGAAAATCTTTTTCGAAAAGCTTATCAAAATCAGCGGTTTAAGTATAAAAAATAAAAAGTAAATTTAAGTGAATAGTAATTGCCTTAGACTTGCCCTAGACTTAGCCCTCATGGGTGGAACCACAAATGACAAGGCTGACACTATTCACATGAATAGTGGCAACCCTTGCCCTAGACTTAGCCCTTATGGGTGGAGATGCTCTTAATCATCTTGACATAGTGTTCAATGACCTAACTAGTACTGTACATTTGCATGTCTGTTATATGATTTCCTCTACCCAATGAATAATATAATTGTGTTTGTTATATGATTTCCTCGACTTAACGATATTCATAAATTTACAGTATAACTAATTTTATATCATATTCAATTACCTGAATAATTTGGTATCAACAAACACATCGACATTTACATTATTAGAGCAGCTCCAGCGCTGCTATCAAACTGGGCAAAAGGGCCCCCTAGCAAGCCCAATGCGCTTCAGCGCAGCACCTGCAGCCCGGGCAAGCCCTGGGTCCCACCAACCTGGGCAAGCCCAAGGGCAGATCTTGACTGGGCTGTTGCCCTCGGGCTGCTGACGTCAGCAGCTGATTTTCAATTTTTTTTTACTATTGGACCCACCAGCCCACATTGCCCAATGGTTACAAGCCATGTGGCTTCTCCTAGAGCCTCCGATTAAAAAATCTTGCACAATCCAACAGTTGTCCAATTTTTGGCTAAAATTTTTTTTAAAAAATATCAAAAAATTAAAAAATTCTAGAAATTTTTTCTATACATACCTACAAATATTATTCACTTTCCACACCAATTTAATTTCAAAATTTTATCCGAAAATGTTATCTTGATTTTTAGGTGAGGACTTTACGATAAATATTAACACTTGGGAATTGAAAATCTTTTTCGAAAAGCTTATCAAAATCAATGGTTTAAGTATAAAAAATAAAAAATCTATTTAAGTGAATAGTAATTGCCTTAGACTTGCCCTAGACTTAGCCATCATGGGTGGAACCACAAATGGCAAGGCTGACACTATTCACATGAATAGTGGCAACCCTTGTTTGCCCTTGCCCTAGACTTAGCCCTTATGGGTGGAGATGCTCTTAATCATCTTGACATAGTGTTCAATGACCTAACTAGTACTGTACATTTGCGTGTCTGTTATATGATTTCCTCTACCCAATGAATAATATAATTGTACGACGAATTAGGATAGGGTAGGTCAGCCTACTTCCTTATATGACTGTCAAAAGTTTTTTATTTATTTATCCAAGATGTAGTGTTCAAAGGAAAATATTAGGCTTATCACATTTTTATACCACATTGTATACCACATCTCTAATAGAGGTAGGCCTCATTATATTGGCGGACTCCACCTCTACTAGAGATGTGGTATAAAAATGTGATAAGCCTAGCATTACCCGTGTTAAAAAACTCTACTTCGCAGTATTTATATAGTCGCAACTCATCCACATAATGCATGAACAAAAGTCATTCTTATTGCAAATTCCATACCAGCAGAAATATTACCATGGCAAAAGATCATCTTCATGTTGTGATGCTTCCATGGTCTGCCTTTGGCCATATGATCCCTTTCTTTCAACTTTCCATAGCCTTAGCAAAAGCCAAAGTTCATGTCTCCTACATATCCACCCCAAAAAACATCCAAAGGCTCCCCAAAATCTCACCTGATTTACAACCCTTTATACAACTAGTCCCCATTCCACTTCCTGCTTTGGATGCTGACCTCTTGCCACCTGGTTCCGAGGCAACTGTGGACGTCCCTTTTGAAAAAATTGACCAATTGAAGGTTGCATATGATCACCTGCAACAACCCATTAAGCAGTTCATTGGGGATCAGTTGCCTGATTGGCTAATACTTGATTTTGCTCCTCATTGGGCGGTGGAGATTGGCCAAGAGTATGGTGTTCCACTTGTGTTATTCTCTGTTTTCTCTGCTGCTACTTGTACCTCGAGTGGTTCGGCAGAATATATCTCAGGCGCAGATAGAAATTATGCTCCGCCGTCAGTAGAAAGCCTGACGTCGAAGCCGGAGTGGGTTACTTTTCCCTCACTGGTGGCATTCAGAGAGAATGAGGCTGCTCATGTGCACTCAGGCTTCTATGGAGTAAATGGTTCTGGGATAAGTGATGCTGCAAGGCTTGCCAAGATTCAATCTGCAAGTCAAGCTTTAGCTGTTCGTACTTGCAATGAGTTTGAAGGAGAATACTTGGAGATTTACAAGAAAATCACTGGAAAGCTTGTGATTCCAACAGGTTTCCTTCCTCCAGAGCAGCATGCAAGAAGGGCAAAAGGGGAAATTAGTTCTGATGGGTCACCAAACAATGTGATCTTTGACTGGCTTGATAAACAAAAACCCAAGTCAGTTGTGTTTGTTGGGTTTGGATCTGAGTGTAAGCTGAGCAAAGAACAAGCCTTTGAGATTGCTCATGGGCTTGAGCTATCAGAGCTTCCATTTCTCTGGGCACTCAGAAAACCCAATTGGGCTGATAGTGATGCTGATGCTCTGCCTCCTGGTTTTGTTGAGCGCACATCAGAGAAAGGGCTTGTTTGCTTGGGATGGGTGCCCCAGATGGAAATTTTGGGGCACCCATCAGTTGGGGGGTCTCTGTTTCACTCTGGATGGGGCTCTGTAATTGAAACTCTGCAATTTGGGCATGTTCTTATTGTTTTGCCATTCATTATTGATCAGCCTTTGAACGCAAGGCTTCTGGTGGAGAAGGATCTGGCTGTTGAAGTAAAACGCACGGAAGATGGGTCGTTTTGCAAAGATGATATAGCCAAAGCACTGAGACATGCAATGGTGGCAGAGGAAGGAGAGAAACTAAGAAGCAATGCAAGGAAAGCTGCCAAAGTTTTTGCAGATCACAAGCTGCACCAAGACCACTACCTTGGCCAATTTGTCCATTACCTTAAAAATAATGTCCCAAGAAGGTCATTTTAGAAGCTCATTATTATTTTTATCTAATAAATCTAGAATGTTACCCAAATTAGTTTCAGATCATAAGCATTGTGGAGGTGGATATCTTCATACTTTGAGATTCTGGAACTTGGGTTATTGCCATTCTAGTATTTTTAGTGCATCTTGTGATCTAAAATCTGTCTAGAAAGTTTGATGTTTCTGTTGCCATATTTTTTAAATTTGGAAGATCTAATGTTCAAAGACCCTACTTCGTTCGCAATATTTATGTAGTCCAAACTCATCCACGTATTGCACGAACAAAAGTCACTCTTATTGCAAATTTCATACCAGCAAAAAATAATACAATGGCAAAAGATCATCTTCATCATGCCTTTCTTTTTCGACTTTCCATTCATGTTGTGAGGCTTCCATCCATGGTCTGCCTTTGGCCATATGATGTCTTTCCCTTTTCAACTTTCCATAGCCTTTCGACATACGTAAATGTGAATTTTCCAACATAATTTTACTAATACTATTTAAATAATGAGGTTTTATTATTTTAGGTTCGACCTATTCGAGATGTTGTGTATCTTAATTACAATTCCTTATTTCAAGGGAACACCCTTTGATTTCATCATAGAGAAACAAAACATGTATGTTTGGTTTTGCTGCTGCTCCCAAGTCCAACCTCAGGGTGCCTATGTATCCCTCACGAGAATCAAGCCACTTGTAATTCAAAGAATTGCAATGAATAAATGACTCATTGCAAAGAAAATTTGATCAAAATTGTATTGAGAAATGTTTGAGAGAATTTAGTTGAATAAACCAAGGATAAGATATGGAATTGTGTTTGGGGCGAATTTCGTTAAAAATAAACTAGGGACTTTGTTTGGATTTAAGATTTGGGTGTTTGGATTGAGTCTCTAGATTGCCTATGTACCCTTTCGAAGAGATCAAACTAACATAATTTGAAAATTTGAAAATTAATGGGTAAGTATGACCCACTAATTTAGAATTTGTGTCTTTGAGACAATATGAAAATTTTAAGATTTTCATAAGTAGATGACCCATGGGAAAGATTGGATGGTTTTGTACTATTTTCTTAATGTCAATGTCCAAAATTAAACTAATGGGCAATTTTAATGAACCCACTAATTTGATCATTGACACATGCATTTGTATCCACGCACACGAGTTGAAGGATTTGGTATTAATGGGTTCTTGTGATTGACAAACCCGTTAATCCATATTGATGCTCCTTTGGTATCTTTTAAGAGTGAGCTTGATGCTCGAAGCATGACCAATCATTTACTTGGATTGGAGTCACCGTCACAACATGGTTTAGTCGCTTGGCAGTCCTTTCTGAATAGCGTCCTTGCCATAGTGATTGATTCCCATATGTCTTGTTGGGTTTTTGTGGGTGTGTTTGGTAGCCATCTTGCATTTGAAAATTGAGGTAGATAGACTCGAATGTCATAAGTATATTATTGAGCCTCCTTGACCGTCAACTCAATTGATTTAACTATCGTGAACCTTCGCTGACACTCTTGTGCACTTGCTTAGCTTGGTGCTGCAAGTAGTGAACTAACGTCTTCGTCACTTTGCTTTCATTTGTTGCTGACACCAAAACTGATGTGAGGGACTTAAAAAAGCCTTGATTTCAAACCTTCGCCTTGTCTTTTGTCAGTCTGAAGCCCAATGCTTGTTTTATTTTGTAGAACATATTCTTGAGCTTAATGGACATTTACAAGGAATGGACCGGCTTAAACAATCACGCCTCTGACTATTTTTTTAGTCCTCTTGAACTGGCTGGGATTTCATTGATTTTTCTCCCATAATCTAGGTTTTGGCAGAACACATCTTGCAGCAAACCCTTTTTTTTTCCTTCCCTTGTTTGTAACAATCAAAGAGAATCCAATGATCAAATTTTCTTTGATAGCCAATCAGCCATATGGCCCGTTTTCTTCAAAGTCAAGAGAGAGGTTATACGACATGTGGCCTTTCTTTTTTATTATTTTTAAGCTATAGATTATTCCCATCATTGTTTGTGAAAAAATCATTTATGGGAGTGCCATATTTGAGAATGGGGCAGTGGCCTTATTAGTTGCACCTTCAACCGTTACAAATGTAGCTGTAACAGCTGCAGATCACCCATGATATTAGCACCAGCTGTAGTCTTTCCTTCTTAAGAATCTTGTAATTATTTTGTAATCTTTCCTTGATCATAGCAAGTGTAACATCTCCTTGATATCAGCTCTTTTGAATTTCTGTAACTGATTCATACTCTGTATAAATATAGAAAATCTCAACACTATTTGGTGTGAGGAAATCTAAACTTTACAGGCCTCGTCATAGACCATGCAAACCATCCCCACAGCTACTGACTTCTTTCACTCTGTACTTTTTGTCTATAGGCTTCCCTTTCTTTCTTTCTTTTTAGGGTCGAGAAACAGATAGTGCAGTGGGTTGAACACCTCATCCTTTTCTTGTGGGTTCAATACCCGAAGACTTGTTGAGTGAGCTTCATTCTCGTGGGTTAAATACCCAATATTTGATTCATAGTTTTTCCACCAAAAATGGATTTATCATTCAATGAAAATTTATGAGTTTTCCCCTCAAAATGGATTTATCATTCAGGTTTGCTTGGCAGAGCGTGCAGGTTCGCTCGGCTGAGCATGAAGATTTGCTCGACAGAGCATTATTGATTCGTGGGTTGCCACCCGACATGGGTTACCATCCATTTGTTTGATTTGTGAGTTTTATACCTAAGCATGGAGGTTCACTCGGCAGAGCATGAAGATTTGCTAGGCAGAGCATTATTGATTTGCGAGTTGCCACCCAACATGGATTGCCATCCATTTGTCCCCAAGCATTTATAACCAAACTTGGAGGACCTCAAGAGAGGAGCTTTGTTGCAGATGCAAAATGTACCTTCGACTGCTTCTGATGTTTTTCTTCAACACGGCTGTGCTCCACTCTTCCGCAAGTCTTGCGGCTTCTCCTTTATCTTGTTTTTGTATCTTTGCAGCCTGCTGGCTAATCCTCCCTCCCCCCCTTTTTTTTTTCTTTCTATAGCCGTGCTTTTCTAGGCTAGATGTGAGAGATCTCTTTTGTGAAGGATTCTTCATTCAATAATCAGCTCCACCAAAACAGGAACTGCCAACCTCTCTTGAGAGTTTTCATTGGTTGGTCAAACTCCCCTCTTTTTTTGAATTCTTTTCCTATATATGGATTACCAAGCTGCAAAGGTGTGAGGAGATTTGTTGAAGCACGCCACTTTTGAATTGCATATCATTCGGCCTTGCAATTTGAAATGCCCACAGGATATATCATATATGTGTAAAAAATCACTTGTGATTTAGCTAAGGAAATTGTGATTCACTTGTGCTCCATCTCTGCCTCAATTTGAGGCTTGCTGGTTTTTATTGCCTGAAAAACCAGTTAGGTAATAATTTAGCCTATTCCTATACCTGCGTTGGGGAGAGTTTTTGAGCTAAAATCCCAAATTTTATGTTTAGCTGCACTTGCATTGGAGATGGCCTAACCAAAGACAATGACGATCCATGCTCTTTTTTTTTCCTTCTAACAAATGACTTCTTATTTTTTGTGAATTTTTTTGGTTCAACACTTAGAAAACCCAATAGGGCTGATAGTGAAACAGACCCAATAGGGCTGATAGTGAAGCAGATGCTCGGCCTCTGGGTTTTGCTGACCGTGCATCAAAGAAAGGGCTTGTTTCTTTTGGATGGGTTACCCAGATGGAAATTTTGGGCCACCCATCAGTTGGGGGGCCTCTGTTTCACTCTGGATGGGGCTCTGTAATTGAAACTCTGCAATTTGGGCATGTTGTTGTTTTAACATTCATTATTGATCAGCCTTTGAATGCAAGGCTTCTGGTGGAGAAGAATCTGGCTGTCGAAGTAAAACGCACAGAAGATGGGTCGTTTTGCAAAGATGATATAGCCAAAACCCTAACATGCGTGCAATGGTGGCAGAGGAAGGAGATCAGCTAAGAGGCAATGCAAGGAAAGCTGCCAAAATTTTTGGCGATCAGAAACTGCACCAACACCACTACCTACGTTGGCCAATTTGCCCGTTATCTTAAAAATAATTTTACAAAGACGTCATTTTAGAGATTCTGGAGCTTGGGTTGTTGCCATTCTAGTATTTTTAGTGCATCTTGTGATCTAAAATCTGTCTAGAAAGTTTGATGTTTCTGTTGCTTGTGAGTTCATGCCTATGTCCGAAATAGTAATTGTGGGTTATTTTACAACTCTCTCTCTCTCTCTCTCTCTCTCTCTCTCTCTCTCTCTCTCTCTCTCTCTCTCCCTTTGGGTTATTTTACATGAAGCACATCCACATAAAATAAAAATAAACATTGCATTCAACTGCATGCCAGCACCAACAATAAACCTTGCGGTCCCAAGGAAAGCATTTGTGGCTTTGGAGAGGACAGAGAAAGCACCATGAGGGGCATTAAATTTTTATATTTATTTTATTCTGTAACTAGTAGATCATAAGAAACTTTCAAGTAGTGAATTTTCTCAATTATATGGATGTTTCTTGGGATTGCCATAGATCAAGAAATGGATGAATTTGGATTCTCTGTTGGTTTGATTTTGAACTTAAACTATAGTGTAGGGTTCAAAAAACCAAGAAGTGCTATAGAAAAAGAAAATCCAAATCCCAAACATCACCAATCAAGCTACGAGTAAGACTTCCCCATCCTCGTTGCATTGCCTCCGTTCTTCTAATTTCTCGGTCCTATAAAAGACGTCAAGAGAGAGAGAAAAAAATAAGGCAATGAAAGGAGAAGTTTTTTTCTCACCAAGCCAACCCATCAGACAGCCAACACTTTCAACACCGATAGCTACTAGGGTTGGTTGGTGGACAAGCATTCATTATTTGTTCTATCGTTTCTAGCCCCCCAACTATTATTGAGCATAAAAGGCCCACCCATGCAACCAAATAAAGTTTTGCACGGTACAATTACCACATTTTTCCGAACACATCTTATCATGTGGGCTACGTATAAGTTAATATAAAATTTATTGTTATTTATTTCTACATTGCAGACATGAGCTTAGTTCAGTTGGTTAGGGTGGATGTGTTCTCCTCTTTGTATCCAAGTTCAAATCTCCCTCTCTGTAGTTTAGATTCACCTGTGTCATCAAGATCTTCCATCAAGCATATATTTCTGTATAATCTGAATACAGTGATTATGGTGAATAGCAGTGGACGACGGCAAGTTGGCCACTGCTAATCGCACAACCGACAATGAAAATTTCGGACCTAGCATTCTCACCCCAATAGAGACCCACAAACAAATGCCATTCAATGGTCTCAAGAATTTAGTTGTTCACATAGTTTGGTTCAAGTAGTATCTTTTTTTTGGTGTGGGGGTTGGGGTGTGGTCCGGAGACAATGCAAGATGTTGAAGGGAAGATACGTGGTTGACATGGGAGGAGAGGATAGAGTGGGGCGGCTGAAGTAATGGCATTTGAAAGGAGAAGATGATTGAGGATAGGCATGTGGGTAATTGATACAATACATAAGGGGAGTTTTCAATTTAATACAATTTTGCTGATGTGGTTGAATCTTAGTCATAAGATTAATTAAATGGTTAAGATTCCTTTAAATACCTATAACTGCGCCGACACTAAATGCAAAAACTCGAAGTCCTGTTATAACATAAGTAAAATGCTAATATAATAATACTAACCAGAATTATCACACTCGTGATAAATTTTATTCCAACGCATGACATGCAATAATAACATTAACGAAGATCAAGAACAGAAATTCATGAACAAAAGTTCTGTTTCCATAATTGGGTTATTTTGCCAATCTAACAGGGAAGATCTAGGATGATCTTTTTGCAACATTATTTTTCAGAAAATGGACAAACTGGCCAATGTAATGGTCCTGGTGCAGCTTGTGATCTCCAAAAACAGCTGCAGCTTTTCTTGCATTGCTTCTGAGCTGCTCTCCTTCCTCTTCCACCATTGCATGCCTGATTGTTTTGGCTATCTCATCTCTGCTAAACGACCCATCTTCCTTGCGTTTCACTTCAACAGCCAGACCCTTCTCCTCCAGAAGCCTTGCATTCAAAGGCTGATCAATAATGAATGGCAGCACAACAAGAACATGCCCAAATTGCAAAGTTTCAATTACAGAGCCCCATCCAGCGTGAAACAGAGATCCCCCAATTGATGGGTGCCCCAAAATATCAAACTGGGGCACCCATCCAAAGCAAACAAGCCCTTTCTCTGATGTCCTGTCAGCAAAACCCTGAGGCAAAGCATCTGCATCACTATTTGCCCAGTCGGGTTTTCTGAGTGCCCAGAGAAATGGAAGTTTTGATAGCTCCAGCCCATGAGCAATCTCAAAGACTTGCTCTTTGCTCAGCTTACACTCACTCCCAAACCCTACAAACACAACTGACTTGGGTTTTTGCTTGTCAAGCCAGTCAAAGATCCCATCATCAGTGGTAATTTCTCCTTTTGCCCTCTTTGGAGGTTGCTCTGGAGGAAGCAAACCTGTGGAGAAAACAGGCTTGCCAGTGATTTTCTTGTACACTTCTAAGTAGTCTCCTTCAACCTCATTGCAAGTTCTAATTGCTAAAACTTGACTTCCTGAAACAACTTTGGCAAGCCTCCCAGCACCACTTATTTCTCCATTATGTGATCCAAAAAATCCCCTTGGCACATAAACAGCCTCATAGTCTCTGTATGCCACCTTTGAAGGAAAAGTAACCCAATCTGGGGGTGCTGTTAGGCTTTCCGGTGTTGGCAGAGCATGATTTCTCTTTGTACCCAAGAGATTTTCTGGTGAGCCAAAGAAGACACTGGTAACAGCAGAGAAAGGAGAGAAATACCCAACTGGAACACCATACTCTTTACCAATATCAACCACCCAATGAGCAAAAGAATCAGATATTATCCAATCAGGCAAATGCTCCCCAATGAAGTGCTTGATGGGTTGCTGCAGCAGATCATATGCAGCCTTCAAGTTGTCAATTTTTTCGAAGGGTACATCCACAGATGCCTCAGCACCTTCTGGCAAGAAGCCAGGCTCCAAGGGAGGAAATGGGATGGGGACTAAATGCACAAAAGGCTCTAAATCAGATGAGATTTTGGGGAGCCTTTGGATGTTTCTTGGTGTGGATATGAAAAAGACATGAACTTTGGCTTTGGCCAAGGCTATGGAGAGCTGGAAGTAAGGCATCATATGGCCAAAGGCAGACCATGGAAGCATCACAACCTGGAGATGATCTTTTGCCATGATATGTTATGTTTTTGCTCAAATGGGATTTGCCAAAAGAGTGAACTTGTTTATATATATCAGTGGATGTGTGTGTGGGGCGGGCATTTACTGTCTTGATTTTACAAGGGTTAGTAGAAGGAGTGGTCACAATGAAGTTGCAAGGAGTAATGTCAGAATAAGTGTCATTTTATTTCTTTTACAAAATTAGCTGGCTGCATTGAATTGAACCTCTCCGAATTGGAAGACTCCAACTAATCCTTCTGGCCTCCTCTCCATCTTAAACTACCCTTTTTTTTTTTCTTGTGTGTGCGCGTGTAGTTGGACTTGGAACACATTTTAAGTACGAATGGGACAAATGATCAGTTATATGATGTATTAGGTCCTTGACGTGATGCTACTCCACTTAACAAGTCAAATGTATCGCTTAATGAGTTATGATGACCCAACAAGTATTTATATTTGGGAACTGATTTTCCCACTCCTCTTTTATCCACTTACACTCCCTTTGTTAAAAATTGTACGTTCCCACTCCTATTTTCTCCACTTACACTCTCTTTTTTGTTATAGTAAAAACAATTAAAAAACAAAATGGAGTGTAAGTGGACAAAAGGGGAGTGGGAAAATCACCACCCTTATATTTTTGTAAGAGTTCATACTATCAGTGCCGGCCTTGGACATGAACAGTCAATGCGACTGCCCTGGGTCTACTGTCAAGGAGACACAAATGTTTTTTTAATTTTTTTTATAAAGAGGTATATTATGTTTATTATATATTATTTTCATGAAGAAACTATATAAAAAAAATGCAATAATTCTACACATAAATTAATAAAACCAAACAGTCAATTAATTTTTTAAAATAAACAAATTTTATTAAGACAAATGAACAAACTGAGAGATGACAAAAAGTCCATCACAAAATTAATCTTAAACCCTAAATTCCTGCAAATCAAATAATCATATACAGTCATCTAATCCAATAAATTATCCACACACAAAATCATCAATATTCATCCAATCCAATAAATTATTATCCAATAAAAATATTAAGCATTATCATCAATTAGAGATTTAGAGTTTAAAAATTACTTGAATATGAGCTTTTCTACACCAGCTAGAATCACAAATCGCCACTTCCTAGAAACATAAAAAAACCCAATTATATAATGACCCAAAAGATTAAATTCCTCAACAATCAACAAAAAAGAATGTAGCACAGAGTTTTAAGTACACCAAGAACAATAAGTCAAGCCCACAAGCCAAATAAATGAGGCTCCAAATGCAGCTCTGAACCTTTTCAGCCATGTTGAGAGTAGAAAATAATAGAATTTGGGAGTTTTAGGAGTTAAGTATCGGCTGGGTTTAGGGGGAGTTGCTGGGCCATGTCATTTTTAAAAACTTCCAGGGTCAAAACGACGTCGTTTTGCCCATGAAGTTTAAAAAAATAATAATAATATAAGTGCACTGCCCTTCTTCTTCCTCATGCAGCTCATTTCTTCCTCAAGAAAAACGTCGAGCACCTAGTGTGCAGTTCCAAGGGGTCTCTCCCCCAACTCCAAGGGACCTCTAAGTCAATTTCCATGGCTTCCAAGAGGTCGTGGGACCCCACTGTGACTCCGCCACTGACCAGTGAGGGGTTGGAATTTCTGAACAATTTCCATAGCATGTTGGAAGCAAGATAGAAATCCCAAAAACAAAAACAAAACAAAGCAAAACCTTGTGGCACTGTTGGCTGAAAGGGAGTGGTTGTTATTAATGTTTCACATCTTAGATAGTTAGATTATAAGAACGGTCCAAATATTGTGAAATGCAGGTAAATGCACAATCTCTAAATGTAGAAGCTTGGATCCGAGGTTAGAGCCATATATGAAATTAATATCTTTATCTTGCAAAAAGAAAAATTTTAACAGTGAAACTATTATTAGTATTCCAAAAGAATTCTCGTGCAGTCTTTACTTGCGTAAATATAAACATAGAGAGATTGCTCTTACTACAAGAATACAAAATGCCTTTTTTCGGAGTGCCAATAACTATTCATTTTAGGCCTAGGATAAAAGTCACTTTTGGTCCCTGTAGTTTGACACTTCAATTACTTTTGAACATGTAGTTTCAATTTCCTCACTTTTGACCATGTAATTTCATATTTGTAGCAATTCAAGGATATGTTAAAATTTCCGTCAATTTCTTTAATGCAGCAACCACGTGCCCCTCACGTGGAGAGGTAATTTTATTAGCCCAAAACCCCACGTAAAAGCTCGTCTCTACCTCTTCCCCAGGGCGTGCAAAATTGGCTATTTTGAAGTAGATTAGGAATTAGGATTATGGCTCCTAACTGTTGTTGTTTCCATAAAGAAGCAACAACGAGCGTGAAGAAGATAGGTGAAGTCAATGGAGGCTTCAATAATCCTAGTGAACTCAGAATCTTTAAAGGTTCAATTTTTTGTGCGAAATTGTTTATTTTATTCGACTTTTCAATGCATATAAGTGGGTTCCAAATTCTTTTGTGTTTTTTTGTTGTTCGAATGGCCTTGTTTTGTTATGTAACTTTGGGTTTGGAAAGTTATTGCTTTGTTGCTTTTGCAGTTGCTGCTTGAACTGGTTGGTTTTACATTTTGTACTTCATTTGCAAGGCAGCCACTAACTCCTTCAATTGCTATAGTTGCTGTAGTTGTTAGTGGTGGTGGGTGTGAGGTGGTGAATGGTGGAGGGAGTTGAAGGGGGAAAAGAAATTGGTTATTTGGAAGATTGAATATGTAGGGAGAGAGAGAGGGATGGAGGAGATAGAGATTGGTTAGGTGCTGGGAATTTGGGATAGTGGAGGGAGGATTTTGAGATTTTGGTTGCCCATTTTCGCACCTTGGGGAAGAGATAGAGACCAACTTTTAGTGTAGGGTTTTGGTCTGACAAAATTGCCCCTCCATATGAGACCAAAATTTTTATCTTGTCCTCAAATTACTACAAATATTAAATTATATGGTCAAAAGTAGTAGAAATGCCAAACTACGCGAACCAAAAATGACTTTTGGTCCTCATTTTAATTAAAAAATCAAAGCACAATATCGAATTGACGAACCCAACCCAAAGCACATCTCCAATGGGCCTAAATTTGGGTTTCTAAAACATGAGGGCCCGCCTGAGTTTGAAAACAATCATTCCACGCGAATGCTTTTGGGCCACACAACATGTGGGCGCGGGCGGGTCCCACGGAGCACTCACATTTCGTGTCATTCTCCTCCACCACTCAGCAATTCTATGGCCCATATTTGAATTATATCTAATCCGACAGTACACAAATCCAACGGCTAACCCAAACTCATTATTTTTACTCTCTGATTTCTCACTCCTGTTGAGATAATAACATAAACAAAGTTACTTTTCTCTAATTTTCACTGAGATTTCTTGGGAATTAATATTTGTTTTCATGGTTGAAATGTTAATACAAATAAATTACCATAATATGAATAAAATTAACTCAAAAATATTAGTAAATAATCAAATTAAGACTTATTAAAGATATAGCAGTCAAAATTCAGCAACCCTAGCGGAGCACCCTCCGTCCGTCGGAATGCGAAGATAGTCTCCAATGGAGTAGGACTTGGGTTTAGCCTATTCGAGATAGCATCAGGCCAACTCAGTCTTTCCAAAACCATCATGGTCAAAAAGGCCCAAGATTGAGTAAGTAAGCCCATGTACTATTATTTCTTGGGGCCTACGCGACCCATTTGATCAGCTGCAAATGAAACCTGCCTTATCAAAAGATAAAATAGCAAAATGGAAAGAAGAGAATTGGAGTAGCATGTCGCGCACCCTAGTTGGCAATTGTTAATTTGGGCTGCACCACACTAGAGAAGCCCCAAGAACCCTAGAATGGTTTGGTGGTCCACTACTTGTGCACTACCATAAAAATGTAGTATATAAATATATAAATAAATATACCCCCCCTGACTGGATTTTCCACAAAAAGCCGCAAAAATAGTGGGTTTATCTCATAACTCTTAAGCGTGGCGTGGCTAATGGTCCAATTTCCAAATGGGTAGGGAATTATTTTGTCTCCACCAAAGAAGCGAGTCCAATATTTTTCCAATATTCACCACCAAGAGAATAATATTTATTTATCATCCACCAAAAGATAAATACCAATAATTGTTTTTTCTTTTTCGTTTGCCGAAGTTAGGAATGGGATGAGGTTTTTTCACACACACTACTAATGATAGAGGTTTAAACATGAAACAACTTATCTGCAAATTAATATCATTTTTTTATTGAGTTAAACCCGTTGCCGACCAAGAATTGTTGTTTTATGCATTATTTAAAACAAAGATTGAGGCTCGTCATGTAATGTGATATGCACTTTAAGGGCGTGGAGAAGAAAGTGCTTGTTTTGTTTCGTTCTCAAGTCTCAAGAACCACGTTACAAAGCTTTCCACTAAGAATATACTGGGATTTAGACGTTTTGCCTTTTCTTGGGAATTGAAGGCTCTCCTCTCTCGTGAGTGAACATAACACAATCTTGTGACTTGCTACTGTTTTTAGCCTCTATATTAGCTTTTCGGATGTTCTAGGCCGCATATATGTCTAGTTGATCATGGCAGTGTGTTCGTTCTTCCATTTTGGTAAATTATACTAGTTTCGAGTATCATATTCTCAAAAAGCAAAAAACAAAAACAAAACAAAAAATCAAAGAGTAGGTGTTAATTTCTTTTTGGTTTTTTTTTCCATGACAAAGAAGCCAAACTTCCATGCCATAACCTATCATCCATCAACCTTCACGGGTTGTCAGGGTTCGTTTTCAATCCTTTTCGACTTTATATATCATCCAAAACACTTCTCTTCAGAAATTAGGAGTGCTTGATTTACATTTAACAGAAATTAATCATAGCCCAAAATAACTTGCCATGGTTTGCATACACGCATGCACATAATTTTTCAGCCTTTTTTTTTTTCCATTTTAAAGCTAAGCATCTCAAATGATGCATGCCTGAACTTGAAGAAATTATTGTATGTATTTGATTTATCACGTGACATGTTGATGTGGTGTATCGAATTCATTCAATAAAGAAGGATTCCATATGGATTCTTCTCTTGTGCTAAAGAATATAAGGACCTCCATAATTCAAGTATACAATTACATAGACAATGCATGTATACATGTTAATTAGGAGAGGCAGAGAGGCTTATATATAATTACAATCCATATAATAATCTGTTTAAAAAGATGGAGCCCACCAGTTTGTGACCCGTGAATCCATGAAGTGGGTCGGCAACGCCTGGGCTGAAGTATGAGCAAAAGTGAAATGATCACGAGATTGGATGAATTGCAAACTTCAAGAAAGTGATAAGAATGGGACCCACTAACTACTTTCCAACAGAGCAGTCCAAATATTAACGATTTATTTATACCACATTGTATATCACATATCTATTATTCGAGCATTAGAACAATGCGTAATAAGCTCGTGAGGAGTTGCAATAGGCAGCGTTAATGTTTAATTTATACCCTAAGGAAACGCAAACTAGGGAGAAAATGATAGCTTCTTTTTTTTTTTCTTTGTGACATTATCAGTACCATTAAAAATTCAGAAGTTTGACATAAATTTCCAGGTTTAAAGCACCTTTTGAATCGCCTTCAAGGGCAGTTGAACTAATTCTAACCATATCTAATAATAACACACACCAAAAAAAAAAAAAAAAAAAAAAAAAAAAAAAAAAAAAAATTTGAAATAGCATAGTTACTGGTCGGCAAAACAATTCAAAATTTTTTAACCGAAGAGTATTTTACATAATTATATTTATATGAATTCACGTGATTGTTATTAGAACTTGATGTAATACATTTCACTTAAAATTTGCTTGTGATCATTTAAATTCATTTTTAATTTTTATGTAAATTTGGAGAATAGATTATTTCATACAAGTATATATGGGTTTAGTCAAGTTAGCTAGAATAGATGTGTTCCCCACTATACACCCGAGTTCGAATTTCCCTCCGCATAGTTTAGATTTCATGCAAGAAGCCAACTTAACTTAATAAATGATGTCCCTTTTCTTTCTTTTTTTCTTTAACTATGTAAAGAGAGACTGTTATAACCGTTGTTCTTTACTGTTGTCATATGCATGATTGAGTATATACAGATATAAAACATACCAAAATAAATATTTATTAAACACATAATATGAAGCCAAAAAATTCTTTTCTTTTCTTTTGATAAGAATGACAGAGACCAATGAGAGCAAGCATTGCATAGGTGTTCACAGCTGAACTTCACCCCTATATATATACCCCCATTAATTTGTTCTTCTCTGCAACACCTGAAACAAATTCCAAGCTGCCTTTTTTCCAAAATGGAGTTGTTGGGAAGAAGAACCCAAGTAAAACCTCAAACCTCTTTCTCTCTTTCATTTCATTTTCCTGCATTTTCTCACCATCCAAACATGAATGCATTATGTTGTTCTGTTACCTACTCTTGGCTTCTTCTTCTTTTTTCTTTTTTTTGTTGTTGGTGTTTTTCCTAATTCTTTTCTTGATTTTTCAGGTGATTACATTATTCCTAGTACTTGTTGTGGTGGGGTTACTAAGAGGAGCAGAGAGCAGAAAAACCATGAAATTAGAATCACTTGAGTACACTGCTATAAGCTGCAGAGCTCACAGTGCCTCGCTGACTGAATTTGGAGGAGTTGGAGATGGAAAGACATCAAACACAAAGGCTTTCCGGGCTGCAATCAGTCAGCTGAGCCAATATGCAAGTGAAGGAGGTGCTCAGCTCTTTGTTCCAGCTGGGAAATGGTTGACAGGAAGCTTCAACCTCATCAGCCACTTCACTCTCTATCTCCACAAGGATGCTGTTCTCCTAGCTTCTCAGGTCTCTCTCATTTTCCTTTCTCCCCAAAGATGCATATAAATATTTCCCATTTGTTCTTTTTAATTTTTTGTAACTATTTTATATTTATGAAATGGGGCTTGATCTTTTTTAGTACTAATCTTTGTACTTGTGTCTGAAACGACGTTGTTTTGGAGTTTAAGGTTGATGGTTCAAGGTTTAGTGTATTGATTGATACTGTAACGACGTAGTTTTGGACATAAACACAAAATCAACGATCCGAAAAGGATACATATTGTATGTTTTGAGGTTAATAAATCTACTAATCAAATGATTTAGGATGTGAACGAATGGCCTGTGCTCAAACCCCTGCCATCTTATGGTCGAGGAAGGGATGCAGCAGCTGGAAGGTTCAGCAGTCTCATATTTGGAACAAATCTCACTGATGTCATTGTTACAGGTTGGTTGTTTTGTTTAATTTAATTTTCAGATTTATGATAATTTTATTTGGCTCAATTTCAACTGAATATGACCAAATTCATCGGGGCCCCATCTGATCATTTCAGGAGACAATGGCACAATTGATGGCCAAGGTGAATTCTGGTGGCAGCAGTTCCACAAGAAGAAGCTAAAATACACCCGACCTTACCTGATTGAGATCATGTTCTCAACCGATATCCAAATTTCAAATCTAACTCTCCTAGACTCTCCATCATGGAATGTTCATCCTGTTTACAGCAGGTAACCAAATATGCTCCACCAATAAAAACTCATTTGTCGTACACTCTACTAACCACGTTTCTCATACAATCATAGAAAAATGCTTAGGAGAATCGCTCGGCCGTTGGCGGTGGTTGTCAATTGTTGATACATTCTGAGATTCATTTGCATCAATGGTTGACAGTCACTCACGCACGTGAGCAATTCTAGAGAAGACTGCTTTTTCCAGTTTCAAGGTTGTGTTATGATTAAGAAATTGAAATTATGATATTGCAGTAATATTCTTGTGCAAGGGATTACGATCATCGCTCCAATTACATCTCCAAACACAGATGGGATCAACCCAGGTTTGTCAATTGAAACATCATTTAGTGGTCCAAGTATATAGAATTTTTAATGACAAAATATATACTAAAAACTGGTATACATTTTTGTCATTTTTCGAATGCAGATTCTTGCACCAATACTAGAATTGAAGACTGCTACATAGTCTCTGGGGATGACTGTGTGGCTGTGAAGAGCGGCTGGGATGAGTATGGTATAGCATTTGGACGGCCTACAAAACAACTAGTAATCAGACGGCTCACATGCATTTCACCCTATAGCGCCACCATTGCATTAGGCAGTGAAATGTCCGGCGGGATCCAAGATGTCAGAGCCGAAGACATCGTGGCCATCCATACCGAATCGGGGATCAGGATCAAGACAGCTGTAGGGAGAGGAGGGTACGTGAAGGACATATATGTGAGGAGAATGACCATGCACACCATGAAATGGGTATTTAAAATGAATGGGGATTATGGGTCACACGCTGATGGCAAGTACGATAAAAATGCAATCCCTGAGATCAAAGGGATCAACTATAGGGACATGGTGGCTGACAATGTAACCATAGCTGCAAGATTGGAAGGCATTGCAGATCACCCCTTCACAGGGATTTGCATTTCGAATGTGACCATTGGATTGGCGGCAAAGGCAAAGAAGCAGCCGTGGACATGCACCAACATTGAGGGGATTACAAGTGGCGTGACGCCTAGCCCTTGTGACCTGCTGCCTGATCAGGGTCATGACAAAGCTACAGCTTGTGAATTTCCTGCAGATGATCTACCAATTGACTTGGTAGAGTTAAAGCAGTGTACATATAGGATGAGCTATCTATAACAATCCTAAAATGATGTACCATTATTAGTGTTTTTCACTGTAATATGAAAAAAGCTAATTTATCAGACTACCAAAACCTAAATACCATATTTGAGGACAAGAATCTGGGGAGGATTTTTCACATTTCAGTAAGTTTAAGAAATTTGAAATATGAATATGAACTACGTCAAATTTCCAAAAACTGAGTACATACAAACTCAGACATCACCCACCAGCTTACAAGCATGCCCTCCCATACTTACAAATTTTAGATGCCACTGTCAAAAGTTTCTAAATAAGCATTTTATTCCATTTTACAACGAAGCCATACAGGAAGTTCTCTTATAAGTCTTAACAGTGGGTTAAAATAAAAAATAAATAAAAAAACTTGAAAGCAAAATGTACACATTTACGGGTATTCACGACAAATTATAAGATGACGAAGTACACCTATCATATCGAAACAAAGCAACAGTTCATATTCAGACCTACCATTCTAAACAGAGATGATCACAAGACCACAAGGCCCTACAACAGTGCTGGGTAACGGTCATGATAGTATTAAAAGCCGCTAACCTCAGCTCCTACGTCTACAGCCAAAGCACAAACCTACACCAATGAGGGATTGGAGTTCTAACTGAAGAGGCAGACTTGAGATTCAGCTTTTGATCCCCTTTTACACATTTGACAATTACAGACATCCAAAGACGTGATAAAGTTGAATGAATGACATCTCAGGACAATTTCTCAGGAAATCCTCCAGCACAGTTTTTATAATGTCTTTCTTCCAGTAGAGTATCATTGTAACCAGTTTTGGGATTACTTTCTAAGTGCATACAACAGATTATAGCATGATCCTCAGTGAATTGGATCTGGATTGAACTTTACAGATTCTCTCCAGATGAGCTCCTTGATGTTCTCTTCTGTAAAGGATGGTTGCTCAAAATCAAAATTGAAAGGCATCGGGCAGATGGGCTCCTCGTTGATATCATGAAGAGGTGCCAAGTAGGGGTGGCAAAGAGCCTCGTCAACTGCAAAGCACCAGCGAGAACACTAATCATCAATCCAATTAACAAGAAGAACATTATCAAGAAGTCCAGTTGCTCTAGTAATAAGCTCAGAGACATACCAAGCATTAATGCCTTCATTAAGTACAACGATTTGTATTGAAAACTACAAAGCGATATTTCCTAGTTAACTGCCAAACTCTGGAAATGGAAACAAATGCATCGCTATTTCTAAATTCAAAATTCAAATATTGTTTCTGCCAAAATATATCAGAATAATGAATACTAAATTTTCTCATTACTATGTTTTCTACCATTCATTATTTTCTGATATTTTCTAAATGTTCCAGTTCATTACCAATGCTGCAGGGTTCTGAAACCCTTGATATCATTTATGTCATAAGCAAACTGGTTGAAGTGCAACACAATGACCAAGAATACCTGTAATGCGCCTGTTAGGGTCAAAGACAAGCATCTTCTCTAGCAAATCAACAGCGCCAGGAGACATATTAGGAAATCCAACAGAAAAGCTCTGCTTTGGGTACTGAGGTAGTTGTCGGACATATCTTCGAGCATTATCACTTCGTAAAAATCCAAGGCTGGAGTCATCAGGTGAACCTAGGAGCTGTTCAACACATAACAACAACAATTACGATCGTTTCTGAAAGAGGTATTCATTGTCTATCTCTCACAAAATCGTATACATTAAACTTCTTAGAAATTCACTGTTTCCCTTTGTTGTCCAGAGAATCAGACAGGTTCAGGCACTTTGTGCCATATGCCAACAAGAAAAATAGCCAAATGTATCAAAGAGACTTCTATGACTTTTTTTTTTTCTTTTTTTTTATAAGAGACCTCTTTGACTCTTGAATCGGAAAATTTGTAAAGTGCAGTGACACAACTGTCTAGATTCCACAAGCAAGATTTAGAAACCATGCCTCTGTTATGAGTCTCAGCTGATGTACATAGTCTTTGCCAGGGAACAGGGGCCGTCTGGTCATAATTTCCCCAAGAATGCAACCTACAGACCATATATCAATTGCTGCAGTGTACTCCGAACAATTGAGGAGTAACTCCGGTGCTCGGTACCAACGAGTAACAACATACTCAGTCATGAAATCAGTTTCAGATGTTGTCCTTGCAAGGCCAAAATCTCCAATCTTAAGGTCGCAATTTGCATTCATGAGCAAATTACTGGGCTTCAAATCACGATGCAAAACATTTGCGGAATGTACATATTTGAGCCCTCTTAACAACTGATACAGAAAGTACTGCAAAGGAGGCATTTAAGTATTAGTGAAAGCTCAGGCTTGTAACACATAAATCATGATCATGACAAACATTGACAAACCAAGATTAAAATGCATAGAACTTTATCTTAGTTTATTCTTGTTTTCTGTATCTATGAGGTCGCATGTAAGAACTTCTAAAGTATAGTCATTTTGAAAATAACAGATCCAGAAAACTCACAAATAAACATATAGAGCAGTCTTCCAACAAAAGAAGAAAATATACTTGCCATCTCATTGATCTATAAGTTAATAAAAAAAAGAACAGAACCTTGTTTGCAAGATGCGATGAAGAGAACTTGTTTGCAATATGAGATGAAGAGAAACTTGTTTGCAAGATGAGATGAAGATTTCCTATCACGATTTATTATCCAGCTATTAAAGGATATGTGAAAAGGTTGACCTTATTTAAAACTGAGTGGTGAAAAGATTGACCCTATATAAACCTGAGTGGTGAAAAGGAATATGTCTACCATCTTTAGTAGTTGCTTAATTCAACCTACATAAGTGACAAACATGTATTGCTATAACCAGTAACCTAACAAATAGAAATCTAAAACCCAATTATGAAGTAATGGCCTTTGAAACAAAAACAAAACTACTGTCAACAGTTTAGAACCTTCCTGAGTATGCTCATAATATAAACCAAGAACCTACTGTCAAAAGTTAAACTTTCCAGTGGATGCTCAACTATAATAACTAAAAGGGCATAGCCAGCATAATATAAACCAAGAAAGAAAGATAGTGCCAACCCGACAATGATCATCATTCAAAGGTTGGTTGGACCGTATAATCTGATGAAGATCAGTGTCCATTAATTCATAAACAATGTAGACATCATTGAAATTCTCCTTCTGTGGAGGCCGTATGATGTCTTTGATGGCAATAACCTGCAACATAGAAAGAGCTGTCAGTAAGCTGTTTACCCCCGAAAAAACATAAAGAAACAATTTAGCATGATCATGACTCTAAAGTTTTTGAACAATATCTGTGCAAAATGGCAGAACTAAGTCCAGGTGAAATTCTAGAAATGCTCAAATGGAGGGTTTATGGCAGAAAACCCCTTCCCAAACTCTACCCATTAAAGATAACCTTGTGCCAGACCCACTCTGTGGCTGGTGGACCAGGTCTCATAAAAATACTTTAATAGACATGATCCCTCAAGGCATCTGAAAAGTTCTTGTAAGTATCTCAACAGAGTTACATAAGGAACCGTTTTAAGTGAGTCTTCTACTGACACAGTGTAAATTCAAGACGAAATTCTTTTAACATAGGTTTAAAATTACAAATTACAAATCATTTAAAGGGTCATTAATGAAAGAGCTGCGAAACCTATTACTCAGGATGTGATCAAGAGAAATGGATCATTTTTGAAAAAATTTAAGTGGAGAATAATCAGATATTATGACAAAATAAACTGATCCTCAATTTAATGTTTGATAAACAAAAAAAGTATCTCCAAAGATATAGTGATGACAATCGGGGAGGGGAGGTATAAGAGATTTATTGTAGGAACATAAAGGACAGAAGGCCACGAAAAATTACATTTTCATGATCCATGTGCCGAAGAAGTTTAATTTCTCGTAAAGTCCTCTTGGCATCAATTCTGTTGTCAAATGCATTACCAATCTTCTTAATGGCAACCTCCTCACGAGTCTCAGCATTCACAGCAGCACTGAATGCAACCAAAAAATTTTATCTTCCTCCAAATTGTTGATAACACATAGGATAAGTCAGATAAGAGGAAAAGAGCAATTCTTATTTATAAACTTATAATAGCACATCATTATCCCCAAAAAAAAAAAAACTGCACTCAAACACACTAGTCCTGCACTAAGCCACAATATTTCAATATATCATAAGATTTTAAGCATTAAAAAGAGAGAATTATGACTTAGGGATACACCAGGGCAGAAGATTGAGCTCATTTTAGTTCATGAAACAAGGACAAGAGAAGATCAAAAATAACATGGGTGCAACGCAATTAGCAAGGAAGGATTGCACGATTACAGATGGACGGACTGACTGTTATGGCTATGAGTAGGCTCAGTGGCAAAGAGAATTCATGTTGAGAACCTAAACATGTTAATAGAACTTCATGTGGTCAATACTTATCCAGGATAATGCTTAGTTGAGCTCAGCCGAGCAAATATCTCTTCAAGATATACTCAAAACACGTTGATTAAACTCATTTCTGGACTTAAATTTCAACTAAAGGACACATAGCACATCACTTATCCCAGCTTGAACACAAATCATAGCAACATGAATAAATCTTAATTTATTGTAGGCAAAAGCCCGACTTTAATTACAACTCACAACATTCATAACATTTTTATAAACGTACATAAAACCCCAAGTTCTATCCTGGTTTACGAAAACAAGATTTCCCAACCAACAAATCTTCATACCAAAAAACACCCATAACCAAGTTCCTCTCCTCAAGAAAACAAAACCAAAGAAACAAAATTAAAATTAAAATTAAACCCAGAAAACAATATTTCTCTAACAAACCCGGCTAAATTGCAAGACGAGAGATCTTTAAAAATACCATAATCCCACATACACTCAGATTGAATTAAGTAAACGTTATGTCATAATTAGAAAGTACTTTTCCCTCTTCTTGAATCAAAACTCTCCGATTCTACCAATAAAAGGTACTTCCATACAACCAAACTATTCCCAAACGATCAAGCAACAACAATCAACACACCATCCGAAGCAAACCCAAAGCTAAAAAAGCTGAACAAACAATAAAAGCTCAAAACCGAGTACAAGTTCTTACCAAACAATACCATAAGCACCTCTCCCTACGGGCCTTATGGGAGGGACGTACTTCCTAGAAACCTCAAAGAAGTTACCGTACACATTGTACTGAACATAGCGTCCACCGTGGGCAGGTACCCCTTTGATGTTGTGATCACCTGCTGAAGCAGAGCTGGATTCCATAGTTAACCAGGGATCCGAATCCGAAATGGATCAAGAACCAGTTAGGATTTCGGTGCTAAAAGGCTAAGACTTGTAGAGAAGGAGCTATAGAGAGCGCTAATGATGGAGGAGAATAGCTACTAATGCAATATTTGGGGAGGGTGTGTAGGTGTAAAGGTTTTGACATTTCCTTCTTTCTTTTAGGGGTTCTTTTGGAAAATCCAAAGAAATGGGGGTGTGAACGAGAAAGAGAGATCTTTCGAGGAGGCTTTTGAACTGGAAAAGCTTGGGTCCCCCGTGAGGAAATGGACTTTTTGACTCTTCTTTTTGTGAAGGTGGGTGTGGTATCTGTGATTTTGGAAAAAGGAAAAGAAAAAGAAAAATAGAAATAGTGTTGGGTTTGAAAATTATGTTGATAGTCAAATGCATGGTTCTTGAAGCATCAAAAGTTTACATGAAATTTCTTCCAATTTTTGGTGTTCTTTTCTTTTGACTGTTTTCTTCCAATTTTTGGTGTTGCTTTCTTTTGACTGTTTCCCTTCCCTTCCCTACCCAAATTTCTCCAAAAAAAAAAAAAAAAAAAAAAAAAAAAAAAAAAAAAACATAATATCTTCTTCTAAAGTTTGATTGTCGTTCACACAAGCATAAATGATTTACTATTAATTGTTGACTCAGACATGAATACGAATATAAATTATTGAACCCAAAAAAAGGAAGCCATAATATCTTCTTCTAAAGTTTGATTGTCGTTCACACAAATATAAATTATTTACTATTAATCGTTGACGCATACATGAATAAGAATATAAATTATTTAAACACGTATAAATAATTTATTAGTGTAGATTTCACATTGAATCTCATATTAACTAACAATTTCCAAATGTACGAACGGAGGAAAAAGAACAAACGATTCTAGAAAATCTAAAGTCGAAGTTTTGAACCATTTGCCTTACGTTAAAGGAAATTTCCTTCTAATATGAAGTCATGAACACAAATTTCATAGTAATGACTACTAGGCTAGGCTGCATGATGTCATTGGAAGTCCAAAGTTCTATTGGGGGCCATGCCATTTCAATTCTTCAAATAAATAAAGTAGGGTCATACCGTAGTGAGGGATGGATTGGCTACTTGGGTAGCTTTAAGCTTTGGTTTAGCTAAACACATTGAATATGATCCTCTTTGGTAGGTAAAGTATGAATTTTTGACAATGATTGTGCTTTAAGATAATGGCAAAATTGCCGTATTGGTTATGCAAATGGCAAAGTCTTGCATTCACAAGTCAAGCTGAAGTGGTGGTCCTTGTTAGATACAAGTTGGTTTTGGTAGGCTAAGGCTGGAGACCTTTTTTTGACTATATATCCATTTTGTTTTGTGTTGGAGAGATGGAAGGAAAGAAACTAGAAAGCTGACCAGTCTGCGTAAAGAAACGCAAATGGGAAAGCCTTATGTCTTGGGTCTTTTTAGAGTCTCGAGTGTTGAGTGGGGGAAGTAATAGTAAACCATTTCAATGCTCATGTTGTTTGATGTCTCCATCTTAATTCAAATATTGAACAATCAAGTTGGTGTTGTCTCCTTGCACCAGGAAGGCTGATAACGTTCCCAAAGACTAGCTTCTCTTCTAAAATCCCATGTTCATGCCAAAAACCTGCAATTCTCAGTGGAAAAATCTGCAATCTTATCCACGCTAACTGCAGCCCTGCATTTGGATGGGGAATGTAAGAGTACTGAGGAATTTGAAAACTAAGAACTTAAAATGGCGGGATTTAAAGTTTTAGAAATTGTGAAGTTTCATGTTTAGCAAATCTAAAATTACACTACAATTTAACGTTTATCTTTATATAGACATAAATCTATAATAAGCGGTGGGGCTGCTAGTAGTAAGGTGGTAATGGGGTGGGAGGAGAGTGGTGGTGGAATTGGCGACATCAATGGGATTGGGGTGGCAACAACGATGGTTGTGGGGGGATGGTGGCGGTAGCAATGACAATAGGGGCAGTGGTGATGGTCATGGAAAATTGGAGTTGTGGTGGCAGCTACAGCAACGATGGTTATGGTGGTGGTAGTAGCAGTAGCGGCCAGTGATAGTAGTGATGATCATGGCAAGTTTAAGTTTTTTAATCCCTCCGCCCAAACACAGGGTAGAGGAAGTTCAAGCAGTTTGAAAAGAGTACCAGATGATAGAGAGTGGGAAATAACCTAAAACTTTCTTGGGGAAAAACCTGTGAGGTCACTGGAATCAGGTGCAAAGTAGCTTGACACATTACCTACATCTTCAGTTGGCAAGTTAAGGAATAAATGCTCAATGCTGCTTGAAACGCACCTAGTTTGATTCATTAGCAAAATGCACACCAAAGTCATTATTGTGTATGACAATTTCGACCATCTTGCTCTCTTTTTTTGGGTCCAACCAGAAATCCATGCTTCCGCGGGTTTAAAACCCTCTTAGAAAAAGAATCTTAATCATACCATAACAATAAAAGAGCCTTAGCATTTTATAAAGATACTTCTAGGCATGAGCTCATTCACTAGTGAGGTTAAATTTACAGATTTTTGCAAGATGTCATAAAAGACGAGTATACACTGTACTACCATGCATTGTGCATTTGCGCCAGTCTAGGAGAGAAACTTCTTGCTGGAAATCATCCCTGGAACATGCACGACATTGGAAAATTTAGGTAGTTCTTCCATCCAAGTAGCGAACAAATTCTCACGAGTGAACCATAAGTGAAAACAAAGAAGGTGAACGCGCATATATCTTTAATTTAAAACCAATGGAACAAAATAAAGCGATAGAATAGCTAACTCCCACGGTTTCAAACCAAACCCTTTCATATATCATTAGCAACCCATAGTTCAACATAGTTATACAAGGCAATACAGTAATACTACAACTACAACTCACAACATACTGATTACAACAAGCCATACAAGATGGTATACTTACAAAAATCAGAAAACATAAAGCCCCATACCTAAAACCATCTTTATAAATAAAAGAGAATAGCTTCGCTATGATCATCTCACAACCTGCGCTCCTACATTTCCCGCCAGCATCTGGTCTGAGACTGCTCCCCCTGATCTTAGTTTCGAAAGCAAAGCATCGCGTCCGGTTAAAAGGATTTGGAAAAAGCCATCCACTTCCTTTGTAAGAAGATCAAGTCCCTGAGAAAGTTTCTGTGCCTTACTTTCTAAATCAGAAATAGAACTGTGGAACGCTTTCCCTTCAGCAAGGCCCACACCATCTTGGATCTTGGGATACAACTCCTTTACAATACCATCAACTGCTTCCAGCTCTTTAAGTACCATGAATCTTCCACTAGAAAATACATTTCTAATTTCCCCATTTACATTACCCTGAAAGTCATTAAATGCTCGAGCCCACAAATATGTCTCAGCAACATTCAAATCTAACAACTTCTTTGCAGAACCAGAAAAGGCTGCAGCAAAGACACTACAAACAGATACTGTCAACACCTTCACTCCATACATAGCACGCATTAGAAGTTTCCCTTTGGCTGAGTTCTTTACCTTTGGCAGATCAAGGGATTCCACAAGCTTGTCTAAAATGGTGCTACAGTTCTCAACTCTGGGGTTCTTTGAACCAATATGGTGCCTCCAGCCATCAAGTGAAGAGCGGGCCCGAATAAATTGGTTAGAAGAGGTTGAATCCAAATTATGCAAGACGCACTGAAGAAATAGATGGCCCTGGTTTAAACGTGAGATCTCAGAGCTAAAAGCAATGCATACATCAAGCAACTTTACACTGATGTCCAAGTACACATCAATCCATTTCTCATCCCAGTCACTCACAGGGAGGTCAATCTCAGATATGAGGGTTTTTATGTCATTATGAGTTCCACAAAGAGACTCCATCGCCAGTTTCATCCATGACAAGCTGAGGACATCATCCTTGTCTTTCGGGTTAAGCTTTCTCAACCTCCCAGCCAATGTCTCCTCAAAAGTGTTTAACAGTGCAACAAGCTTTGGAGACAGATGAGAACCCTTTGGTGAAATCATCCGGAAAGGATTTCCAAAATGGAAGAAAGGTCGGTGTGGTTCCTGTGGACGACTCATTATGGTGAAAACGCTGCAAGAAGAAGCGACTTTGATTAGATATCATTATGCAAATCAGCCTTCAAAAGGCATCCAATAGTGAGGAAATCATTAACATGCTGAGATATCGTGTTGGAAATCAGCCTCATAAACTCATCCCAATGAACATGTCAGAATCAAAAGCCACATGAACATCTACCAAACTAGCTCCTTTTGAAATCAGATTGTTGGACAACCTCTATCCACAATGACACATTGCAAGGCAAAAAGCTCATTACCATGTGCTAGCCAGGAGATGACAGCAAAAAATAAAAGAAAATAAAACTCAAGAAAGATCTTTATGCCACCTTCCAGTAATTTTGCAGGTTTGCAGGCACTAGAATAACAAAATTATATAAACACACAACATGCCAAACTGAGTAGAGAATTTTGGACAAATAACCTTCATTTTAACACATTAACGACTTTTAGCATATTTTCTCAAGATTTAGAACTATAGCCACTCGAGGCTCCTCCAGCAGTGCTCGAGCCCCTATGAGCAACGCTGGGCCCTCTTTGGACCCCTCGAGCAGCGCTGGAACCCCCATCAAGTGGCTAAAATTCAAAAGTGAAAAATTGGGCTAAAAGTCTTCAACATGTCCAAAACTTGGTTGGCTTTCCGAAGTGAGTAAATCACCCAAAGAATAAGCCAATTTGAGTTGACAATATCTGCTGCAGATAGATAAAACAGAAAACACAAGTATTCTTTATTCGTTTCTTCCATTTCAATAGCATGCCACTGCAAAACTTCAAACGATTTCCATGCATGTCAGATGAGTTATTTGTAACATTCATTAAAATAAATAAAAAAGATTAACCAAGAATTACTATGCCATAACCCCCCCCAAAACAAAACAAACAACCCTCTTAATTCTAGATTTCTCTTCAGGAAAATAAAAATAGATAAGCTGAGACTTGGCTGAAATTCTGTTTTCCACCTAACGGAATCAAAATAAGCTCAGGCAAAGCAAAACTTTCAAGGAAAAAATAAATCCTTTACTGTCATCCTATTTTCTGCCACTTTCTATGGTACCAAAGGGACGGTCAACAAATAACAAGACCGGAATTCCAAGCCATATGTTCTTAATAAAGAAAACCTCAAATTTCTACCCAAAATTTCAAGCCACAAACTTTAGCCTCATAGATATAAACATAACATCACAAAGTATTAGGATCTACAACAAAATTAAACAAAAAGAACTAAAGCTTTACCCAATCAAATCATATAAGCGCAGCAGAAATGAAAACATATGCAAACAACATATACATACACAAAATAATAAATTTCTGTTCACCGTGCCACTTACCTAACCGTAGATATCTAGAAATATGAACCGATTGTCGAGAAATTGAAAGCTGAAACCCTAACCCTAAGGTCAATCTAAAGGAAACAAAACTTCAAAAAAATGAAAAAAAGAAAAACTAAAAACTTTCACTCTGATTATATTGCAAACAGATAGTAGATCTAAGAAAGAAAGCTACATAGAGAGAGAAAGAGAGGGCCGTACCTGATTCAGAAGATAGATCGAGAAATTTCGATGAAAGTTTCAGCCTTGGCGACTCGGCTTTTGGGTATCGTTGAAAATGTGAGGCTGCTGAGAAGCTGCTGTTTCCAAGTAGGTGAGGGATAGTGATAGGCTCACCCAGGGATTTACGGGATAGATGGACACGTGGGTCAATATAAATTGGGATGTACGGCTAGACCATTGATATTTCCGTTGGGTTTCGAGGACCTTCGATTGTTATGCTGGGGCCGCACTCAAGGTACTGTTGTCTCCCCTGCTAGTGGACGGTTTTGATTATGCTTTTGGAAAAAACGTGGCGGGTTTTAGTACCTGTGATCTGAAATCAGCGTCAATTCTATGCATTTAGATCATACAGATCGACGGTGTTGATTGGTAGTTGGTTGAGAATGTTTTCATTTTGTTCTGGGCCTTTGGGCTTCGGCCCGCCAGATAACTCATAATTCTTTTTTTACTTTTTTCTTTTTATATAAAAAAAAACTTTACTGAGGGTGGGTTCAAGTCCATTATCATAGGACAGCTAGGCTAATTGGTGAGAACTATGTACACCCTTTGTACTCAAATTTTAAAGTTTATTTTTATAAATTAGACTTAATTTTAAAGTTTATTTTTATAAATTAGACTATCGCTTATATTTAAAAAAATTCTTTATATTAAATTACACCATCGATCACACCCTCTTGTGTTGTGACTCGTGAGTGTGATGTTGCATAGGGCAGTCCTACCCAAAATTAAACTTGAGGATAGCAATAATGGTAGGGAAATCACAGTGGTGGTGACTGACTATTGATTCATTATCATGCAACAGGGTTGAGAAAAATGTAACTTGTTTTGAAGCACTAATCACATTGTTAGTAGAGGATATGAAAAAACACCTCATTGACCTAGGGATCTAGGTCAATATAAAAGGAAAACACTCATCTATCTAGATATTTATCTAGACATGTAAGCATAAAGAATTAGTTTTGTGTACTTGGGACACACCAAAAACAAATAATAAGTGGATTAAAAGATAAGGAGCAAACTAATCAGTCGGCAACGCCTGCCAAGTAAATATAATTGCAAGATTCCCCCTTAAGTCACCCTTAGATATGTGAAAGGGAAAACAAAGATAAAATCAACGTGGTCCGCTAGGTTAAACACTCACACAAATAAATAATAATTAATCGTTAATTAATGTGAATCTCACGAAAGAATCTTATTATAAGTCGACAATAGGTATCGAAAAAACAGCTAAGCCTGTGAGAAGGGTAGGGATAAGCTTGGGCCCTTTGCACATGGCTTTTTTGACAAAATTTGCTTGCCAAAGTCAAACATTTCAACTTTTACGCAACGCAAAGAAATGCATTGAAAAAGTCTCAGACGCTACAATTAGGAGGACAAGCATCGGGTCCCTAAAACAGTAAACAAAGAAAAATTCACTAAAAGAAGACCTATTCACCCAATAAACCAAGTCTAAAATTGCCTGCTGCAGACAAAGACAAAAGGGTTCTCCTCAAAACATTATCGATGGCCGGCTTAAGTTTATCATTTATCTTTGCAAGGGCAAAGGCATGTTCTGGCATTGATGGTGAAGCCAAAAATCATGACCCCAGTTCCAGCCCAGATCCCAGTTGCCCTGCTTGCTGGTCCGACAAGGACAAGAAAAACCACATGAATAAGAAAGTTGCAGGCTTCCAGCAGCTGTTTCAACTGAATTAGCTGGTTTCTGGGTCCATTTCTCAGAAACCATCCAAGGCATTGATGTTGATGTGCTCTTAAGTGCTTCTATCAGAGTGCACGGTTAAAGGGCCCCACCTGCTCATCACCATCTAACCTTGATGCTGGCATTGATGGTGACAAGAAGTTGGAAGCCAACATAACATGATAAAGTTGGACAATCAAATTAAAATGGAATAAACATAAGTAAACTGAGAAAGAATATATATATATTTTTGATGTAACTCTAATGATATCTTGTTTTACAAACAAAACAATATTGATGAATTATGTTTCCTATAAGAATGAAGAACAAATTGTTTGAATTGTACAAATGCATCCGAATACGGTGCACATCCTAAAAAAATATGTAACTAAGCATGAAACAAATGTAAATTATTGAAGATACAGCCAAAATCAGGGTGGAAGAAAAATGAGCTTCAGAAACTTGGAGAGAACTTAAAGCTGTTAGTCACCTAATCTTCCAAGGGCATTATCTCCACCTTGTAGGTTGATGATGGTTCCTACCAGTATCACCTTCACTAGTATCAGAAGTCCCTTCATTCAAATGTTTATCCGCTATCTTCACAACAACATGATCGTCCCGTTGATAATCAGGATCTGATCGGGACGTATCTCTACCAGTTTGGCGTTCCTGCATGTAATGAAAAAAAACTGGATAAGGAATTCCATATCAAGAAAAAAAGGTCATAAAAAATTGTTATATTAGTTCTTCATGATACATACATCACGAACAAGCAAGTCATCAGCCTCAAGCATGTGGATCACATGTCCCATTTTTGGCCTTTTTGTGGCATCAGGATCAACACATCGAAGAGCAACCAGCAGAGCACGCTTAAGTGCTTTTGACCCAGGCATCTCAGGCAGCTTGGGATCAACTATTTCCTCAGCTTTTCGTTTCCCAACCATGGTTTTCAACCATTCAACTAGATTAACCTGAAAAACTTTATTATATTTCAGTGTACAGTTAGCAGGAGCAAAAGAAAACTCGATACATGAAGAGGGATGAAAGGTTTCAAGCTTAACCTCTCCTTGTTGTCGACTATAATCAACAGGGCTTCTCCCTGATATAATCTCCATAATAAGTATTCCAAAGCTATAAACATCACTCTTTTCGTTCAGCATTCCCGTGCAAGCGTATTCTGGGGCAACATAACTAAAGAAACCACCAAATATAAGATTTATTTTCAAACTTTAAGAACATAACTACATGAGCCTTGATGCATATGTTTAGGTTAATCAAAAAATAATTTTAAAATTAAAAAATTAAAAACTAACCCAAACGTTCCCATCACCCGAGTTGTCACATAACTGTTCTCCGAGCAAAGGAGCTTAGCAAGCCCGAAATCAGATACTTTGGGGTTCCACTGGCGATCAACTAGTATGTTGCTAGATTTCACATCACGATGGACAACCTTTGGTTCAAGACCCTCATGAAGATAGGCCAACCTGCACAATGAGGAAACACAAAAGGGCATGAATAAGGATTTTCTTTTTCTTTTTTTTAATTAAGAAAGAAAAAGAAGAAACATGTGAAACTAATATGATCTTAGTACCCTTTTGCTGTTCCCAGTATAACATTCATACGGATATCCCATGTTAGCGGACTGACTTCACCAACATCCCCATGAAGCCATTGATCCAGATTGCCATTGTCAACGTACTCATACACAAGCATCCTGAAACAAAACAAAAACAGAAGTTTTATGACATCTCTAAGACACTCCACAAGAAACACAAACTCAAAACTCAAATTGTAGGATGAATTATTAGTACCTGTATGCACCCTCAACACAGTATCCCAGCAACCTTACAAGATTTTTGTGTCTCACACGTCCAATTGCTTCCACCTCCACTTTAAACTCCTTCTCAGCTTGACCCCTGATAATCAATCGGTGTCATAAGCAAATGCATTACTCACGCGTATAAAAGATAATGAGATACCCAAAATCCAAGGCACAAAGTACCATCCGTTAATTGCTGGCTATAGCAGTGACACACTAAACAGTACGAACAGAGTCAAAAGGACAACAAAAAGAAATTTGGGATAAGTGAATTAGTCAATGTGTGACGAGAGAGTAGAGAGAGAAACTTATTCTGATGCCTACGTACTACATCATGAATTCAAGCTTGACTATAAGCACAAGGAACTTGAAAAAAAGAAGGGTTCCTCTTTTCAGAAAGCATGTGACTTTACAGTACCAATTCTAACAGACGCAAGACAAGAATAACAAGCAGAAAGGGAATCAAACCAAAAAAGAGAGGTAAACAGTGAACCACCCATAAAATTAACCAACAGAGAGGTACTCTGATTGTTGCCGAGAAAATGTAAGAACATAAATTTTTAAAAAACTTGAAACTCATAGAATTACAGGAAAAAATTTCACTCCGCAAACATGAAGTCAACTTCATACGGTTATCTTATAACTAATGCATCTTTCTATCACTATAACTAGAAATGATACAATGATAATCAGACATATCCAAACGCCAATTAGGAATTATTAAAAAAAAATAATAATAAAAACGAATAGAAAAACCTTCTATTTTTAGTTTTGAGCTTTCCTGTTTTAGTAAGGTTATGCAATTTGAACACCCAAAAATGAAGAAGCCAAAAACTCTCAAAATTTTCATTTTTGCTTATTCAGCAACCGAAACAGAGATTTACAAACTAGGAATTCCAATCCATGGCCAATTAAAAAACCAAAATTTCTCATCAAATCTTGCCTAATCAGAAAACCACCAGAAACCACAAAGTACACATAAAATTTCATCTTTTATAAATAAATAAACAAAAAACAGAGTCTTTTTCGAGTACCTGTTATTCAACAAGTTCTTTACAGCGACTTTAGTCCCATCACTGAGAATCCCACTGTAAACAATCCCATACCCACCTTCCCCAATCACATTCTCTTCACAGAGCCCATTGGTAGCCGCCTCAAGCTCTCTCAGAGTGTACCATCTCCCCCACCCCAGATGCGACACCTCGGGCCCCACCACGTTCCCACTCCCATACGATGCCGTCTCACACCCACTATTCAAAGTCCCCTTACTCTCCCCACTCGACGCTCGGTCCGAATACACCACGACCCGGTGGTCAGGCTTCCCGATCTCGACATGGAGGTCGTGAACAATTTCCTGGATTTCTTTCGATATCACTGGAGTGGGCGAGTCGGTGGTGGGCTTGGGCTGGGCCTTGTGGGCCTTAGAGCGGTGGCGCGAGGTGAGGCAGAGCGAGAGGAGGAAGAGGGTCAGGACAATCAGAGACCCGACTAGGATTCCGATGACGACCCAGAGCCGGAGCCCGAAGATTGACGTCGGTTTCGAGAGCTCCGTGTTCACAAAAGCAGCGTCGTACACTGACATTGTGGATATCGAGAAGAAAGCTCAGAAAGATAGATGCTTGGGTTGTGGGTTTGGTCGCATTGGGTCGCCGGAGTTTGATTTTCCGGCGATCGGAGAATCATACAAGTTTTTCAGAGAGAGAGAGTTTGGGAAGCTCGAGATTTAGTGGGAGGTGTATAAATGTAAGAAATGATCTGTCTATCTGTGGTTATTTCTTAATTTAATTTTTTTGGGTTGGTCTTTTTAAGTCCTTTAAAATTTATGTAATGACGTGTGTGTCCCTTGTCCGAGCAGAGCGAGCCTCACTGGCTCTTTTTTTGGTTGTTGCTGGCTTTGCTTCCAAATGGTGGTTGTAGAGTGAATTTTTAGCTTGAGCTATCAAGCAAAGCATTTACTAACATTAATTGTATTTGAAGGGATTTTTTGAAATAGATGGATTTTGTTTTGTATTAGTCTTTTGAATTTGGAAAAAAAACTCTTTTGAATTTTTCAAAACGCATTAAGGTTAGGTGCTAAAAGTTATATTTGAAAGGGATGTAATATTAATGAAAATATAACATATGTGGATTCAAATATCAATTCGTGACCAATTATGTTTGTTAATTGAAAGGTAAACCGGCTTGTGTGTATTTAAATATCGATTCGTGACCAATTATGCTTGTTAATTGAAAGATAAACTGACTTGTGTGTATTCAAATATAAATCTGTGGATTGAAATGTATACCAACTTTCAATTTAAGCCGAAATTGTGTTTACCTTTTCATTTTGTTAATCATGAATGTAGGTTCAAAATGTGGATATCTTAACATTAGGTGAAACGAAAAGTACCGCCCAACCCGAGTAAGTATGTTTAAGTCAATATCTTCTTGATTTATTTTCATGCTCTATTGAACCATTCAGTTGAGCTTAAGACTAAATTGGTACAACCCAAATGTGTTCTTTTTGGAAATTGACTCTACCGAAATTGCACTCCTAACGTTTCCTTATTGAGGAAGTGTAATTGTTAGTGAAACTGGTAATTATTAGGTATGGTTTCAGCCTCAAATCAGAGGGAGAGTTTGCAACATAGTCAATGAATGCACTCCCACCTACTTTAGTTTTCAGTAGGGAAAAAGGACAAGGTAATCTATGGCCAAAAAGTGACCGTTATATATACGTGTACATTTTAGGTTGGGCTAGCAAAGGATTTGTTTTTTCGTCTTTTCATGGAACTGTTAAGTATTCTTGTGTTGGAAGTTTCAGATAGAGAATCTGTCATCATGTAGATGTTGGAAATAAAAACTCTCAAGATTTGTTAACTTCACTTATAAGACATTAGGATATGTTATGCACACATGCAATTACCTTTAAATTTTGGTGCTCTGTATTGGTAAAATAAAGGTTTGACCATAGTAAGTTGTAAGTTTACAATTCACTCAATATTCGTTTTTTTATCGCTAGGTTACAGGTAAAGTTATAATTAAATATAATTTCACAAGGGAAACTATTTCTCTCTTTATTCTTTCTGTAAATTACAGTTTAACATATATGTAAAAAATAATTCATTAAAAATATATAATGAAAATTTATACATACAAAGTAAACTGTGATCGGTGTGAAAGTAGAAATTCCTATTTTCAGAGAAATGAGATAAGTGTTTTTCTTTCATAAACTATGATGTATTGAATAATGTTTTCTTCTTGAAATCTTTTACAAATTATCACCTTAATTAAATTGGTTGATTAATCAGTAGAAATCACGTGCGAAAATTTGGCATTTTTTCAGTCTCCATATTATTTGACAAAAAAAAGAAAAGTTTATTCCGTTTTTATCAGAATCAATCATTATAAAATAAATTAATACAAAAGTACCACAAAGGAATCCCACACAACGACTTTTATCACCACTGACACAGTTACTTATGGATTGAGAAAGTGCTTGATGGCTATTCTGTCACTGCAACAATACTGTAAAATTGCAAGTGGTGTAATGAGAATCTTATATTTATATTCTAATTGACTTGAGTTGAGACTAGGTAACAAAAAAGTTGTGAAACAAAAGCTAATAAGCACCACTAAATAGTGGAAATCCCTATTGGAATTGCGTGGACAGCAGCATGATGACCCATCATGGAATTTGAAAATTGATTTTTTCAGTGTTATTTTTGTGTCTTGTTGTGACAGTTGGGTTTCCTTCAGGTTTTGGCTTAATCAATGAAGATGGATTATTGGACATGACAAATGATTGTGCCAAAGTGTCCTCTTTCTTTATTGTTAATTTTAGTGATGATCATCTCCTTTATGATTATTAATCAGTCAGGAGCATGATTTGGGATTCCTTGTATGGACATGAATAGCAAATAGAGTTGTTATTAGCACTTCAAAATAATCATGATGCCCTGGCTATGTGCTTCAATCTTCAAAGTTTAGGTGTTTTTCAGAGCTGGCCGTTTCGGAATGCTTATGCGCTCATAAGTACTTTTGTTGGAAGCACAACAAAAATTCATTAAAACTTCAAAAAGCATTAATCTAGAAACACTTTAAGGTCACAGCTAATTTACTGTTGATGCACCAAAGAGACAAGAAAATCAATTTGCAGTTTTCACATGTTTGCTATGTCTCTGTCTCGTGTTATCCATGAACCTCCAAAAGAAAACCTATTCTTCAATTGACTTCAGCATTTTAAGCACAAGTTGGGCAGAAAATACAAAGCACCCGTGAAAGGAGTTCAACAATGCCTGCGGAAAACCTTAGAATTCCAATCCAACACATGCTTAACAAATACCATCGTGCAATTTCTAGGAAAATAAAATATCAAGATACAACAGGGCAGAAAGCAACTGCTATAAGGGCTGTTCTAACTGTTAGGTCATGCGAACATTATACATGTAACAAGATTCGATTGTTTCTGGTTCACTTCTATATTCGTTCATTCTTCTCCCCCATCACTGATTCACTGTAAACCCCATCCTGTTCTAGTAAGTAAAAAACAGTAGAGTACTTGAGCTACGGATATGTGGATACACAATGAGTTTAAACGAATAAAGTAAACAAAACAGCCGTCAACAATCATGAGGACAGTGCTCTTTGTGAACTGAGATTGATGACTTGGATCCATGTTCATCATCCATAAGGTTTCCCGCATCAGTCTGCTTTCTTGTCCGGTTTATCGATTGCATCCAACCTTTCAACAAGTGGGGGATGAGAATAGTGATATGCCGAGTACCAAGGATCAGTGTTCATGGCTGACAAATTCTCTTCCTGCAAAACCATTAAACCCCACTTAGTAATGCAAACTGTTTTAGCAACAAGGTAAACGTACAAACGCAGTCACCTAAATCAACTAATTTAGAAACACTGTAGATGACAGAGAAATATATTAATAACTCGATCATAAATGAATCCAGGCAGCCAAATTTATTTGTGGCACATTCATCTGTCTATGATAAAATATAATTCAATGATAAATAAATCCTGGCAGCCATATTTATTTGGGGCACATTCATCTGTCTGTACTATTTGGCCAGTGCATCACCATAAGTCAGAACTTAATCATGGAAGATAAAACGGCTCAGAAAAATCAACAATGTGAAAAGGGATCACAATATAAGTTTTAGTTACAGGATAACTTTGAAATGCCGTTCATGATTTTGAGTTCACAGCCTTCTAAGTGCAGAGCTATCCAATAAATAGAACAGATCAATTAATGTCTAAATGAGAGGGAAAATTAGATAAATTACCTGTAGTTTAACAAGACCAGCTCGAAGTGCAGAGGCATAACCAAGCTTCTTAGCAAAAGCATCAGCCTACAGAGAAATAAATATGATAAATAAAAGATCCAGCGATGCAAGGAGAAAAATAAAACAAATGAAAGAGGTAATTGATGAAGTACAGATTTACCTGAAATTCAAATGATCGGCTCACAAGGTTAAGAGCAAAGCTTACTAGGTGCTGGAGAGGTATTATGGTGTGCTGCAAACAACAACGTGGGGTCAAAATATATTATGCAGATGTTGGGATAAAACATTATCTTCCCTAATAAATAAATCTTGTAAATGTCATTTCAACAGAGAAATAATACTTTATAATAATAAAAAAAGCATATATATTAATATATCAGAGAAATAATTTACTACTATATATATTAATATATCAGAGAAATAATTGACTACTTCAAGGTTAGCAAAATTATAGGAGTTTCTCACGAGTCAAGAACTCCATAAGGATGATGTACTGTTGTACATGTTCGCAAAAGAGTAAAAACTGGACACATGCAGTCTATAGTACTCAATTTCTATAATATTAAGTATTCAGAAACCAAAAGATCACGACGATATAAGAATACAACGAAATTGGCATACCTGAAATATGATGAGTCCAATGATTACTGGCTGGGTATCAAACCCAAAACTTTGAAACAGACTACTTGAGTTTCTCACAAGAGTATATCCCCCAAACTGTAAAAATGTAAGGATCTGCACCAAAAGAGAAAAATCATAAAGCAACCCAACAACATCATTTAAAGAACTTACTCAGATTCAACCTGAAACGTCATTAGTTTCTAAACTAAGCATTCAAATGCAGCACATGGCACAACTAGAGGAAAAAAAAGTAAGGTTAAATTATAAATAAATAAGAATATTTTTAAGAGGACACATGCCCCTTGTCCTTCTCTAGGACAATACATGTTTGATCATCACTACAAACCCTATGTAAGGGTTGTGCTAGTAAGCCAGGGTTATTAGTCACAACCTTAGCCGCTTGCCTTATGTGGCCTAGGTGAGTAGCTATTCACATAAGGACAGGCCATCACACCCGACTCAATATCACCAAAAAAATAAGGATATTGGAGTTGAGCATTCTAAATTATCAATAAAATTGATCAAACAGTGATCCAATTTGCACAAAAATTTACAGCATACCTGCACAGCAATAAATGAATACATTGTGTGATTAAGCTTCCAATGGCCTAGCTCATGAGCTATAACAGCTACAATTTCCTCATCATCTTTGCACTGCAAGCCATCAAATATTCTCATCAATACCTTTTTGCATTCAAAGGGACTATACAGCCACAGTAATCAAATAATAAATTAGACAAGTAAAGATAAGAGATTGGGGAGAAGGCAATCAAGATTATTTTTGACTGATATTTATACGTCCCATTAGCAACAACCTTAAAATAATTATCTTTTTTCGTTCCATAAAAAGTTCAAGAAACTGCAAGATAAAAGGATAAAATACTTATTGGAAAACAAAGAACAAATATTTCAAAAAGTAATGCCTCCTCACCTGTTGAATTAATGTATCGTAGAGGACGATTCTCTTGTTCTTAAAAAATCCATACATGTAGGCCTGAATCGTGATTGGTAAAGATGAGTAAGTCCACAGTATTAACACAGTTCAGAACAAAGTAAATATAACAAACATGAATGAAGGCAACGAAATGCAGGTGCATCATTAAAGCCTTTTTTTTAAACCCAGAAATCCACCCATCCGCAAAGCGGACACAGCTTTGAAACTGGGGCCCCATGCCGAACCCTACAATCTATGGAAGGCAGGAAACAGTAGCAAATAGCTGGGTAGGTACCTTTTGGGGTTTCGAACCTCAGACCACATGGGAGTAAACCATGCGCCTGATCATTCCACACTAAGCCCTCAGTGCATTATTAAAGCATATGAATGGACCCACTGAAACAATTTGCGCAATAAGATTATCATCTAGCTTACTAAGGCTCACCAATTGCAGTTTCTCTATTCCTAGTTCTTAATGCAAAGAAGGTTAACAATGGTAATTACTAGGAGTATGCCTTGCCTTACTACTACTAGTTAACAAAAAAGCAAAGAAGCATGTAGAAAACAGCACAAAGTTTTACACTTTTGACTAGAAGTGCAATGATACATTTTTCTTCTTAGAAAGGCTCATTAAATGTACAAGATTTGAATCCTCACATTGCTGTGACTTGACCTTGTAGATCCATCAACGACAAACAACTTCTTCAATGGAAACTTCAGAGAAGAAGCAAGTTTCTCAATTTTCTGCCTGAGCTCACCCTCTGGAAGCTATTTTCGCACATAGCAAAGAGAACAAGATGATGAAACCAAACATAAAAACAGGAGAAATAAATTTCATAATGACAAATATTTTGAACACTCACAGGTGTGAACTTGTTAAAGAGTGGAGCTATTAGAACAGGGTACAGCGTCATCATCACAAGAGAGAGAACAAACATGAATGCCCATAGATAGATGGCCAGGTAAGCACCTCCTTTCTGCAACCACACAATTGAACATGAAATAACACCAATCAGTGAAGATGGTTTGCACTGTGTCATACTAGATGCAGATAACTTAAAGTTGAAGTATTTAAAAGACAACGCAGAACCAACCCACCTCCCCTTCCCCACTACCCCAAAATAAAAGGGTAGAATAATAACTCTAACCATAAATATCTCAGGATTCCAGACGCAACGATCAATTTAAATCAATTCACATCAACCAAGCACTGCAAATAAAAAGGTGCTCACAAAAATGCTAAGATATGGCTTTACCTGTACAATTACAATGATTGCAGACACAATAGGTGGGCCAAGAATAACAGCAAGGCAGATTCCTTTAACCATGTCTCTGAAGAATAACCATATTGTTTGCTGTAAAACAAACAGATAGCAACAAGATATGAGAAAATAAATGGACGAAGAACCTAAGAAATGATAATATAATAGTGGTAGTGGTTGTAGTAAAACTGATAGTAGTAGTGGTAGTACAGCAGTAGTAAGATTAATACTATCCAATAAGAGAGCACGAATAACCAAAAACTTATTGGAGATGCAACACGATAAGGAAGTCTGATTACACATACAAACCTTATTAAAACCATGACGAGCCTCAACCACAAATGTGGAGTACAGAGAGAATGGCAAATCAGTGATCTGCAGAAGAAACAAACTATTGATTGTAACCCAATAAAGCAATAGATCTTCAAAATCATGGCAATGCAAATACTAATGGGATTGCTAATAAATGCTCAGAACTTTGTAAGCCATGCCACCACAAGTCATTCAGCTTTTCAGCCATGATGTTAAAGCACAACATGACGATTAGTTTCTTATGGAACAATGTTACCAACCTTGTACGAACCAAAACTATATCCACTGTGGAATTATTAAAAGAGCCTTCATACTAGCTGTTAGCCCATTAGCTCAGATAACGACCAAAAACTTGTACAGACCATCAAGGTAATGAATAAACCATTAACAGCAAGCCTCAGCACAACTAGGGCACTAGGCTTCCCCACCACCCCAAAACTCCCCAAAACAACATATATATAGTCTATGAGAGCACTAGATTTATTAATGCACTTGGTACAGGTACACATTTCACAACATCTAAAGATGGGGTTAGCACATTTAAGTAAAATTCCAGTATCCACAATGAAGCTAAAAAATTATCTTACATACTGAAAGAAGAAATCATGTGCGCACCTGTGACCAAATCATAACACCACCTAAGAATGCAAGTGTATGCAGTATCTCATTTTCGGCATTAAGGCCAACCAAAGTCACAAAGTCTCCTGATCTCTGTGATTATTGAAAATAAAAACAAATATAATTAAGCAATGAAAGTAGAGCAGAAAGGGAGGGTTGCACTAACAACATTACCAATTACTAACCTTCCAAAACCAAGGCAACACCCGAAAGAACAAAATTGCCGAGTCCATCAGTATTGTCACAAACTCATGAATAAAATGGAAGTGGCTGAAAGTGAAAAAAGATACATTAGGGAAGCACAACTGTGCACATTTACGTCTATTAAGATTATAAATGAGAATGGCAAGGAAGATATACCTTTTATCAAGACTGTAGGCTCGTGATTTCTCAAATTTTTCCTGGCTGATTACTCCTTCCAAAGTTTTAGGAAGGGTTGGAAGTTTGAGAGCAGTATGTTGGCGCAAATCCAAATAAGTTTCAAAGATGTACATTAATATCATAAAACCTGTAAAAAAAATTAGAAAGTAAAAGCAGTTACAAGCAATGAAACAGGATGGGGAGAGGGAAAAGAGAAAACAAAGATGAAGAAGCTCTGAAGACGCTGGGAATCATTTCAAAAGAAAGTGAGATAAGAAACAATCAAATCACAAGTTGAAAGGAAACTGAAAAACTACCAAATCGCAGCATAGACGAGAAAATTAACAGAAAGAATGACCACAATGGAGAGAGAGAAAAGGGACAAAATAAAAAGAAAAAAGGGGGGAGGGGGGCTGGGGAGTGTAGTTGACAAGTCTTCCCATTTCTTAATGAGTGGTTTGATGACTCTGTTAGCTATTGAGATGACCACTATTTTTCTAACCGTCTTTAGATACCAACAAAAGCTGAGTATATAAAGCAGAAACTATATCTTAAGCCCAATGGTTCATACTTCATGGGAAAGAAAGCGGTAAAGGTAAACCACTTTAGGATGTCATGCCACATTTTGATAAAACCCAACCGTTCAAACTTCCAAACTGAACGAAGTATCCACATTTTCCTAGAAACCAAACATAAATTCTTCTATCTGAAAACATGAAAACCAATCCAAACACCCACAAAGAAACCCCACATCAAGCTCATAAAAACAATCGCAGTTAGACAATGAAGATAAAAACTTCAACTTGAAAAGCCCTAGGATTTCATTAAAACCAAAATTTGGATAAAAATATTTCTTTAAAAAAATTTAAACACAATCCACAAAGTTCTCAGTCCAAAAAGAAACGAAAAGCAAATGAGTACTCACAAAACGAAATTTTGATGCAACACACTTATCTGAATAACAGGCAACAAGACGAAGAAGAAGATGACTCTCAATTAAAAGCAAGCAGTTCAGAAACTTAATAAATAAAAAATCAAAGAAGGCAAAGAAAATGCAAATATTTATAATAAATGGAAGGAGATACTGAAATGGATAAGTACCGATAACAGCTTCCAAAAAGGGGAACTCCATGGCTGAGTAAGATGGTGCAGAGAGAGAGGTTTTGACGAGATGAAGTCGTGTTTCGTACGAATAAATAGAAGCAAACGAACCGGATCTTCTTCTACCCGACTCGATTTTTTTTTTACCCGAATGCTTATAAATCGTAAGCAAACCCTATTAATCACTTTTCTTATCTTTCAGATCAGAAGCACATATAATAAAAAGTAAAAAAAAATCACTAGCCCCAACAAACATTCTAAATATATCATGTTGTCATATTATTAATTTAAATAGTATGTTCAAACGATTATTATTTAGTAAAGGGGTTGTAATTCAAGTGCACTCGAATCTTCTCCCCGAGTATCAAAAAATGTTGTCATATTATTAGTTTAAACAGTATGTTCAAACGATTATTATTTAGTAAAGGAGTTGTAATTCAAGTGCACTCAAATCTCTTCCCCGAGTATCAAAAAATGTTCATATTATTTATGAAACCTTTTGGGCAAAGCCCAAAACTAAACTAAACAAAAACAAATATATCACGCGAGAGGCCATTCAATAAATTATTCATTTTATGTATGACCTATTCATTGTCCGATCTTTTTTTCTTGGTCAGATTCATTGTCTGATCTTATGATTCTTTTTTTGTTTTTTAATAAAGCATTTTTTTCCAACAAAAACAGACTTTTCCCTCTGCGAAGAAAAACAGACATCACACTTCTTTTTGTAAAGTTGTTGCATTGTATTCTATTTAGCATGCATGCACCGATGGGGTGGTAGTTATTTCCGAGAAGGTATACACCAAATTCACATGCATTTTTTGGCATTGATATAAAGGCTTTGTACTTGTACTTGTCGGCATTTAAAAGGTTTTAAAATTTTACCGATCTGAATTTTAAATGTTGTTTAATTCTTTTGGTTGTTTTATTTTATTGATCGTGGGGTTATAAGATTTTAATTTTCAGTCTTTATTTTTATATTTAATAACTTAAATTTCTGATTTAATGTGTTTGGATGTTACAAGTATTGGATGTCTGGAAAAAGTCATTCCTCTTCATATTTGATATACAACCACAACATAATTCTCTCTTCTCCTACTTTCATACTTTCTTTCTCTACTTTCGATTATTATTTTTAGGCAACGGTTATGTGACTTGGAGACATATATCTAACTGTGAACGTGCTCATAGTAGACCTTAAACTTGTGTATTAGGGGTCGTATAAAGTCTTGCAAACCGTCGTTACATGCATGTTGAGAGGCTACAAAGTAACCAATAATGCCTAATTAATGACAACAAATACATCCTTCACTAAATACAACTTGTTTTCCACATAAACCATCAAACTGCTGATCATATAACTTTGAGAAAAATTAGGCATAACTTGCCAGTCATGACCTCCCTTTCCATGTTCGGAGTCCGATACAGTTCAACCTACTTTTCCAACAGTACGTCTCTGAAACCAACAATTAGCTAATATTATTCACCGGCAAATTCTTCAGCCACCTGTTTTCTTAAGCCAAAACCCTCTGCTTGGCTTTAGAATTTGCTTCAGTAAAACCATTTTTGGAACATTCCAATGCTCTACATGCCTGAAAATTTCCATAAACAGCCAGTTAAGCGACAAGGTTGGAAACTTGGAAAGATAAGAAATAGTTGCCTCATTGTAACAAAGTTACCTGCAAACCTTCCCAGAGAGTCCATCAAAATAATACTCTGTGTATCCACTTGCTGCAACATTTTGTTCAGAATTCAGATTAGAACAAGCACTTTTTTTATTGGTTTGTTAGCTAGCTGAATGGTTTTTGACCCCTACAGGATAAAGCTAAAAGCATACCAGATAGAATGGGCTTCCAAGGGAATGACAAGATGCAACTAAATCTCCAGTGACCAATTCCTTTATCCTGCAACCAAAAGTTTGATGAAAACTTTATATCTGTATATAAGTATATATGTGTATGTAGATTATATACATACATAATGAGGAACACATGGAAGGAAATGTGGAATTTTTAAAGGGTGATGTTACCTCAAAATCTTCCCACTTCATGAGCTTCATATTGGACTTCATTAAAAGGGACCCAAAATTTGTGCAGTTCCTTTTGAAACGCTGAAGCCCTTTGAATGAACTTGCTGGATCAGCAAATTCACAATCCTCTTCATATGCATCAAGGGTAAGGTTCCCTAGTAATTAAAGGTAAAGATTGTCCACCAGTTAGCAACTTAGCATAAACCAAATTAACAATTAACGCTCATTTAAAAGAGACGAGAAACAAGAGACCAACAAAATTCAATTGGGTTCTAAAAAACCTGTGACAAAGTATGATCTTTCAAAGTCTTGTTTGATGGATTTTACTACCATGGCTCGATCAACTGCTCCTGACCCATCTCTTGCAAGCTCAAGAGCTGCAGTTTCAGGAGCTTCGGCTTTCGATGGTGGCCGGAAAAATGACGTGGCAATTCCCAGAAGCTCAGAGCTATACCAAGCCACCTTAAGCAGTGCCTTTTCAGGTTGGGATTGTTTATCAGTTGGTGAATCACTTGTTTGATTTAACTTTTCTCCACTGCAACGAAATCTGTAGACACTGTATCGATGGTTTGGCTGGAAATTGACGTACTTCTTGTTGTGCTGCGCAGTGAGGTGGGGTGTAATGGAAGCATGGGAGAAAATATTTGCCATTTAGAGAGAGAGAGAGAGAGAGAGAGAGAGAGAGAGAGATGGTTGTTGGACAGAGTTTTGTGAAGTTTGTCTCAGAGTCACTTAAATATCTAAGGACCACAGTGAATGATAGCCATAAATAAATTGACGAATGTAGTTTCGGTCTTTTAGGCCCTTTAAAGCCAATTTCAACTTTTAACTACCAAACTGGCGACCACATCGACATGTACCTTAAATTTTTCATCACTGTAAGAAAATTTACTGCAGTTGAAACGCCTCTCCTTTTCTAGAGAAACACAGTGTGCTCTTGCCGTGCTGCGTTTTCTATTCAGGCTACTTTTGCTCCTGCGCAGTTACCAATAAAAGTTTATGCATTCAAAGAATGTCACAAATCCTTTCCCTCCAGATTGAGGGGGGATGATAAGCTAGGAGAATACCAAAATATTAGCAAAGCCAGAATACGGAACATTATGCCAGTAGGCAGCAAAACAGAGTGTAGTCTAACATACAACACACCACCATACACCAGAACTGATGTCACGTCAGCTGCTTTGGCTTGACTATCAGAGATTGTATGAATAGTTAGAAGTTAGTGATCCGTTATGATGAGCTGCAATTCCATTACAGTTTGTGAGCTTCAGTAATGTTAGTCGCTTGTATGTATAAACTCTGTCTGATTACTTATTCAACGAAAAGGAATTTCCCGGTTCATTTCATCTCTAGCATTAGAACTGATGCTTAGCTTTCTCTGCAAACTTCTAAATTTCTTCAATAGGACTACAAGTTCCAGGGTTCATGTCAACATATCATCTCGACTGCAGAAGGTAATATACAAAATTTCCTAGGCAGGAATCCTAAATGTTCACCATCAGATTGAACATAAATGCTTCCACTGCCTGAGACGTCTTCCACTTCAATTAAGTGCACGCTGCAACAAGAACACAAATGTATAAAAGGAATCCAACGACAAATCACTACATGTAATAGCTGCGGATGAATTTACTCAAGCAGCCAATTTAAATCATTTGAGTCCTGACATCTTAAGCAATTCAAAACAGAAATCTACATGTATGCATCCTGATGTGATGAGTACCATTGGTCACAAATAAAGAAACAGGGAAAATGTATGCATGGGAAAAGAGGGAGAGAGGGAGAGAGAGCAAGGAACATAAACAGTATGTTATTGTATTCCACCTAACAAGACCTACCTTCTTGAAGATACATTTTTCACTGTTAGATGTGTCCCATTGTACAGCTTATGTAGCTTCAGAATAAAGTCATACCACTTGAAGTCCTGAAGAATCACAACCTGCCAAGAAAGTTTATAACAAAGATCAAACATACTGGGAAAAACATTGCAGTATATGAAGTACCTTATATAAAATATGAAAAAAGTAAAAAGTAAAATTTGTGAAAAATTAGGAAGGTTATATGCAGAAAACACTAATCCACCTCAAAATTGCCGCTGTGAGGGTCAGCATTTGGTGTAATTTTCATGCCACCGCCAAAGAATTTTGCATTTCCGATGCAAAGGGCTGTTACTTGAGAGTATAGTTCCCACTCCCCTTCATTGACCTAAACTAAAAACACTCTATTAAGCTAAAAAAATGGTACGAGTCTGTATGGAAAATAAACAAGCAAGCAATAGGCTACTGACTACTAGTGCACAATGCATTACAAATATTGACCTTGATTTTAAGGTCCTGATTACGGTGCCCAACAAAGGCTTTCAAAGCACCAATAACATAGCACAAGTTGCCAAATCTCTTGTATCTAGAAGCATAGTATCCTGCTTTTGCACTCCTGCAAAATATCCCCCCAAAAAATGGCAACAAGACTTTCTAAGATCAGCATGTACTTTTTTTGAAACTAAATTGTCAAATTTTCCAAGTTAACCTTACAAATGAATGTCAGCAACATTAACAAAGTAATGGGGTTCTCCATCTTCTCCACTAATAACACCAACATCTATCCGTGATCTCTGCCCTGCAAAAAACAATTGTCCTTTTACCATATTATAAATGACAAACACAATACAAATATACAGAATTAGTAAGTGAAAGCTTATCTTCGATCTCAATTCAAAGATGCACAATACAAAAGTGAGCAAAATTTGAAAGATAAAATAAATAAAGCCTAAGCAAGCCACAGAGAGAGAGAGAGAGAGAGAGAGAGAGAGAGATAGAACCTTTGGCTATGCGGTCAATGGCTTCATGAGGATCATTTTTCCTAACAAAACAACAGACATTCAACCATTTAGAGCAAGTCTAAACTTAGAGAAATTTATGAAATGACACCAGATTGCAAGCATGAACTAACCAGCCAAAAGTTCGGGCAAAATCAGACCCAGTCCCCAAAGGAATGAGCTGTACAAAGCACAAAATAAGTTAAAGGATCAATTGAACATGTCGCAGATGAAGTTTCATTTACATACAACAATAAACAATTTGAAACTAAGATTAATAGACTCTCATGGTAATCACTTACACCGAGTGCAGTTGAATGGGTGACCTCTCTATCATGATTTGTAACAGGTTTTCCTGCCCAAAAGAATCCATTGACAACCTGCTTATTACAAGCCAACGTAGATGAGTGAGACCAGTTGACACAATCTTTCCACGAATTTTATAATCTCAGAGAAAGTTGCACCTCATGCAGAGTTCCATCTCCTCCCACCACTATTACAGCATCAGCACCCTCCCTTATAGCCTGCATGCATATGAATGATAGAGCCCATTTTAAACCAATCTTCTATAGAAACTGGATTTAGGTCAAGCTCAAATAATAAAAGTAACAAAGCCCACCTCTCTCGTTATGTCAATTGCATGAGAAGGACCTGATGTTAAAGATTCGCTTATCTGCCCATAACATAAACAAGTCAAAGTATATAAGTTCAGCAAGTGTGCCTCAATACAGAAACAAAACAGATGAAGCACAGGCTGCAAATGAATATTGAATAGAGTGATATGTTCAATGTCACCTATTGAGTTAACACAGACACACACACGATCACCAAATTCACTACAAGAAAGAACCAAAAAGTAAAAAAATAAGCGAAAGGTTCTTCAAACCACAGAGCACTTTGGAGAACCATCCATAATGAACACCTTTTATATGAGGGACAACAATGAAAAATGCTTTACCCAAAAAAAAGCCTTTAATTTCCTGGGCATACATGATTTATGAGTTCATACAATTCATATCACATAATCTAAAGAATGTTTTCCCTTCAAATTAAATAAGCATAATACCAGTTGATAAATAGACATTTCGTGGAAGAAATAAATCCTTAGTGATCTTACTGGTTGCCAAGGCACAAACACAACACAAGCAATGGATGTACAACCAACAGTAACAAAAAATTAGGGGGTGACAAGTTCCAACCTCCAACGAATTAGTTAATTAGAATTGGATCACTGGGTCAAGCTCAAATACGCAATCACTAGGTCATAACCAAAGAGAGAAAAGAAACTCACATTGCAATCGGCACCAAGGCGAAACCTTAGATATGGCAGCAGCTTCTTCCACTCTTTACCTGTCCTCCCATTAGCACCTGCTCCAATTTCCCATTTCTCTAATCAACAAAACCCACTACACACAAAACCACAAAAACAGAGAGAGAGAGAGAGACCGCTAGGATTGACGACGAAAACGAGGTCACGACGGCGAGATGAGGAAGACCCACTTCGCAGAATGGAGCGGTCAGCACATAGATCAGGAGCCTTGGGTAGCTCTGCTCTGACAGCCCATGGTTTCGCCATTGATACTCTCACCCCTGCTATTCCAGTTCCAAATGCTATCTGATTCATGCTCATCTCTTTTCTTCTTTTTTAAGTTTTGGGTTTAATTATGCAGTTTCCGATTTCCAGGATAAAAAAAAAAAAAAAAAAAAAAAAAAAAAAAAAAAAAAAGATAAGTAGTTAATGAGATTTCTCACACGGGCGTAAATTTATGGTGGCACAATGTTCTCCTGTGCATCACACTCTGTAGCAGTGTGAAACAGAGCAGTCATTTCTTTTTTTTTCTTTTTTTTATAGTAAGTACCATGAGGTGTCCAGACCAGTTTGCGCGCACCTCAACTAATCTCCACTTGTAGAACCGAGCATGCTGCTGCCACTAGGTGTTGCAATTGCTGAAACTCAAACTGAGGAGCAAACCCAACCGAACCCCAGAGCCTTACCCAAATGGCGGACAAACCACTGGGCCACTCTTAGTGGTTATTTTCACTCTTTAGGAGATAATTTCTTTTTTTCTTTATTATTATTATTATCTTTTGCTAATATTTCACACGTGACAAAAATATTTTGATGGGAATCTACGTACTTAGTAAAGATCGATATACTTGATAAGGATTAGGAAAATGTTAAGTTTTAATCAGAATTATTTTATGATTGATAGTGACATAAATTATACTCTTTTAGTTTTGAGATTCTTTTCTTTATTAACCACAATTTACGACACAATGGTTTTGATTTAAGCAATGGGCAACTAGCCATTTACAGCTGCATAATTTACACAAGAAGAATAAAGATCATATTCATTGAACATACAGAACTGTTGTTGGTGGTTTTAACTTGGCAGGAATACAAAACAACAGCAAAGTGTCATCCTATCGAAACGGCAAAACCCTCATCTTCGTCCTCTTCCCTTTGAACTGAAATGGTGAGACTTGAGCTTCTTCTTGCGCACGGCACTAACAGGGCCGGTCTCTCTGAATGGCATCCCCATCAGAGCCAAAAGCGTCTGAGCTTCTTTATCTGTTTTAGCAGTTGTTCTAATGCAAACATCCATTCCCCTGCCCTTACCAAGATCAAACCGGATCTCCGGGAACACACTCTGTTCCTTAATGCCAACGGCATAGTTTCCGTTTCCATCAAAACTATTTGGGTTTAGACCTTGGAAATCCCTTGTCCTAGGAAGTCCCAAGTTAATCAGCCGATCAAGGAATGAGTACATCACCTACAAAATAGAATAGTAAGTCTAGTGCATGAGATTGGATGCATTTGGGTTTTTGAGAGAAACAGACATTTTTGAAAAGTATTGCCACAGGAAATACTGGTTCAAATCCTTTGAGCACATATAACACCAACAATTGCACCATAGTTCATTGCTCTTCAATCATAGGCACTCTTTGCCTATGGTAACCTTACAGAAATGAAGAAGCTGCTCCTTTCTGGTTCCGTTATTAACGATATGTTACACAATAGCAACAAGATATTAGTATTGTGTTACCATCATAATGTAAAGAACTTCCAGATGGGCCTACATGATTTACAGTGTTGTCTTAAATTTTCATTAACAAAATTTCAAATATTGAACGGGAGATGATAAGAAACCTGAATAATAGACATGCTCACAAGCAATGAATAAAAAATCAGTCTTGCTAGTACCTACGTAAACGAAATCAAGCAGAAGATAAGATACACTATTAAGGGGGAAAAGCAAACTCACATTTCCTCTAAGTGTGACAGCAATCCCAAGTGGCTGGCCTTCCCTGATCTTGAAGGTAGCAAGGGAAACCTTTGCTCGTGTCTTTACGGGTCTCTGCCCGGTAATGAGCGCCAAGTCATTCATTGCTGCTTCCAATCCCTTAGCATTCTGTTGAGCATCTCCAATACCGCAGTTCACAACAACCTTCTCAATCTTCGGAACCTGCCAAGTTCCACATTGCATAAATAACAGAAATATAACACAATAGTAAAGCGCTGAATCTTGAAAACCGAAAAGATGTTTGGTTAGCCTCTGAAAGCCGAAAATTTATAATCTAAAAACTCAAGTTCTCACTTAGTTCCTAAAATTAGGAGTAACAAAACAACACACTGAGCCATTTTCCAACCAAAGAAACTAACCCCATTTCGTTATTTTAATAACCATTGCATGTAAAGATGCACAACCAATATAATTTTAAATCAACCCAGATACATTGTCTAAAACCTGAAGAGACCCATATCCAGAAAATTAAAATTAACAAAAATCATGTATAAAAAAAATCAAAATCAAAATTAAAATGGTGGGTTTTGTTCACCTGGTGGATGTTCGTGTAGGAAAACTCTTCTTTGAGCTGAGGAACGATTTTTTCAAGGTAAGTAGTCTTGAGCCGACTGACCTTCTCTGCCTCTGACTTCTCCACCAGAACTACCGCCGAGGCCTTCACCGGCATCACCAATCCGCCCCCATTTCTAGGGTTTCCGTACGACAGTCGTAAAGGTGGAGGTGACACAACAACTGGGAATTGACCGTGAAACAACGACGTGGCAGAGCGTAAGAGCGACGGGCAGGCCATTGCTGTCTCCGTTCTTCCAGTGTCCGCGTGTTATTTGAACTCAGACTCAAGAGGGTAGGGGTTTAGGGCGTGAGGTGAGGAAAGGACCTCGGTTTGAAACTTATTTACGATAGTGACTGTAAGAGTGTTGAGTGAGATGGGTTTTCTGTGAATTTGGGCAAGATTGAGGGTGATTACTGGATATGGCTTTCTGTGAATGAAATAGGATAAGGTAGGTACATTTGGAAGAAAATGATCAAGTATTATATGTTAGCCAATTGACCAAAAGAAAAATATATGTTAGCCAATGGTAAAACATGTGCTGCCCAAATTTAATAGCCTTGGTGTGCTGCCCAAATTTAATAGCCTTAGTAAAAATTGGTCCCTACATTTTCTATTTTGATCTCCAAGTTTAGGGTTTTCAATTTATTAGGAAGAGATTTTAATTTTTGATATGATGATAGATTCATATGAATGCGCTAAGTTATTTTTTGATAAATTATTGGATTGTATTATAATTCAGCAAAAAAAAACCTTTTACAGAGAAATCTAACATTAACATTAAAACAATGTGCCACCACTAACGATTATACATGACCGAAGAAACTCTAGCATAGGCATGCCAACTAAGATTGCAAACTCATAGTAATCAAACATAGATAAAGCTTATAAAAACCATGTCATAATAATACAAATTAAAACTATCACAAAAGAGATGTGAGAAACTCTCACAAATGAGAAGTGAGAAAGAAAAAAAAAGCTGACATAAGGATTAAAAGCATTTATGAAACCCCAAAAAATCCAATTAGGCACCTGGATCACTTGAAATAGATGAATATTTCATTCCAAAATTTCCATTATCTGGTATCTACAACTTTAATTGATTACATCACTATTTTATTGATTTTTTTCTTTTCAATTTTTGTGTTTCTTATATTGACATTAATATTCAATATAGATTTTCAAAAAATCTCACTATTGTTGAACATACATTAAAGGTTTTTGCCTCTTCTTCCTCGAAAAACACTCATAAAAATGTTTTCAGTTTAAGGGGGAGGAAGCCACTGTTCTTCCTCCTTTCTCCTTTTTCCCCATGTTCAGTGACATAAGGTTTCTCCTATTTGTCATCGTTTTGTTATGATTTTCATTCAATCATCACAGGCGGCTGCATCTCGACGTCATATCTCCACTAGCATTTCTGCGTCAGATCTCCACCACCATTCATTTTGCAGTTTCTTTATGTTTGGAATAAGTCATAAAGACTCTTTAGGTTCTTTGTGTAGTTCTTACCTCTCATTTTGTGAGAGCTTTTCATCTCTCATTTGTGAGAGTTTTATTTGTATTGTTATGGCTTGATTTTTTCAAGCCTTATATGTTTTTGATTATTCTAAGTTTGCAATCTTAGTTGAGATGCCTATGCTAAAGTTTCTTTGATCCTGCGTAATCGTTAGTGAAGCTGCACCACATTGTTTTAATTTTGATGTTGAATCGCTACGTTGTTGTAATGGCCTTTTGTGACTAATGACTTTTTTTAGTTGAATTATGAAAGCAATCCTAGAATTTCTCAATAACAAAAAACATATGTTAAAGGTTGAACATACTTTCACTGTCTTTAGTCAGCTTTGATAGTTGATGTAGAAATCAAACACAATATAATCTTCTACTTTCAATTTTATGAATCACTTTAGCAATTAGAGTACTCCAGTTCAGCAATTTGATGAATATATTGTCCATATATCAATTGGTCACCCTGTGTTTATGTAGTTCATAATATCAACAAGTAGTAGAGGATTCATACACTCATAAGTTTGATTTTGAGTAATATTCAAAAATTGTTGTTTATAAGATTTAAACTTAAAACTTATTCCAATGTAGTGGACACTAAATGTCACTATACTAAATGGTTGACAATTAAAGCTAGATACGAACGTAAGAAGAATGTTACTTACCTTCTCATTGTGCGTAGCCCATACAGATTTTTTTTGTTATTCTTAAATGTGTATTTTTAGTACTATAAAAAAAAAAAAAAAAAAAAAAAAAAAAAAAAAAAAAAAAAAACCACTCATTTAATTAGAGTACATAGATCATATAGAATTTTTATTTATTATATTTTAAAATTTGATGTAGTCTTTACACACACACACACACACAAACATAACTATTTAGTCAAATAGACATAGCCAGCTAGGGACCGCGCCTTGTTGGGCTTTTGGTTTAAAAGGGATTGGAATGAGCCCGTTCATTGGGCCCGGCTTAAGTGGGCTTTCTGGGCCGAGCCACTCACGGGCCACCTATTGCCTTCATTTTCTTTTTCCTTATATTGCCTTACCTTATTTCCATTCCAAACATTTAAGTAAATGTCTTGTATGTTTACTTGAATTTATTTTTATGTTACCCCATTTACTTTAGTTTATAATGTAAATAAGAAAGTACCATCCATTTAGATTCAATTAAAAATACCATAAAATCAAATTCCCAACAAATCAAAATATGAAAATCCAATTTTAGTATAAGATACATTTTATACCAGTATTGATACCTCAATAAGTCAATGTATAATTTATACTAAAATCTCATAAAATTGTGTTTGCTTATTTAAGATGTAAGGAATATAAACCGCCAAAAATATCATTAAAAACATTAGTATTTCAAAAGTCTATTTTTCACACTTTATCAAAAGTCTATATATCATACTTGAAAAACGGTAGTTCAGTCCATTTTAAAATACTGGATTCGTTCATGATCACCTAATTGTTATGACACAAGTTGAATAATTTTCAATTCGATTGATTTAAGATCTATAAAACTATCACAACACATTGCATTGCGGGATGAAAGAGAAAGGAAAAAATGCAAAAGGAAAATGCAAGGGAAGGTAGAGCTAACTAGACTAGACTCTACCAACATAAAGAGGTGAAAGCAATATATCCATTTATCAATCTAAAATCTAGTATATTAAAACAAAAACAGAGAGAGAGAGAGAGAGAGAGAGAGAGAGAGAGAGAGAGAGAGCGTGCGGTCACGAGTAAAAGAAGCGCGTCACACGTATTCCATAATATTTAAAAATATTATTATTTTATTTCTCAGCGATGTGAAGGTGAAGGAGGTCTTTTCCGCAACAGGAGACCCTTTGCTTTGTCTCTCTCTCTCTCTCTAAACATCTCTCTCGCGCTCTGAATCTCCCACTAATACTCTCTCTCTCTCTCTCTCATCTCGATCGAAAGGAGAACAAGGCAGAAATCAAACCCTAATTTTTCAGTGAATCTGTCTCTCTCGCTCTCTCTGTCTGTCCCTTTCTTTTCATTTGGATCCCGGTAGTTCCTCCATAATAATACCTTAGGTTTGTAAGATCTTAAAAAAATATATTTTGAAGGCAAAGAAACCCTAGGCTTGTTGCTCATCTGATGCTTATACCAACCAGAATTTGAGGATTTTTTTGATAAAAATTTCTTGAATCCACGCAAGGTTCGAGTTTGGATTTGCAGAATAGGTTGATCATACTAGTATGCGTATATATTTGTGCTTCGGTGTTTTGAATTGGACAAAGATTGATTAGGGAGAGTTTCGGTGGTTTTTGGAATATTGGATGTATTGGATATTGTTCTAGATAGAGCTGGATCAGAGAATGGATTTGCTCTATTTTAGGGTCTAGTGGCAGTGGCTTAGACTTTTTTTTGGCTGATTTGTATTGCTCGGGAGTAGAGAAATTGGATTTGGGATTTGGTAATGGGTGATGCCTGAACTGGGCTTGCTAATTTGTTTGCACTGAATTGTATAACTTTGTGTATCAAATTGACTTTCTGGGTTAGAATTGGTGTAGCAATTAGGCAATTAGTGGATGTATTAAATTGAAGCTTCCTGTGGAGGTAGGAAACCCTTGTGTTGATTTGGATGTTGATATGGTTTTTGGGCTTTGCCTTTTGAGCTTGGAGTCGTGACTGTTGATTGAAGAGTGGTTGTTTTTACGGTTGGGAGGACACTCTGATTAGCTTGTAGTTGGGATATACTGTTTGCATCGACTATTTGCAGAATGAGCTTAGAGAATGAAGACACGCACTCACCAGATCAGCCTACTGAAACGGATAACGAAATTCAAAAGTAATAAATTTGTCTTTGGCACTTCTGGTTTTACTAATTGATTTAGTTCTTCTTGTATATCTATTCATGAATTTTTCGTTCCTTTGTCATTGGTGAACTATAACAATATTGTTCCTCTTATGATCCAGGAAGTCGAAAATATCATATACGAGAGAATTCCTACTGTCGTTTTGTGAATTAGATATCTGCAAGAAGTTGCCAAGTGGGTTCGACCAGTCAATTATAAGGTGATATGCCTCTTTTGATTGGTTCGGTTGTTAGCTTGTATTTCTTAAGTTATTTTTGTATTATAGATGCCTGGTTTTGCTGTTTGGTTGGTTACTAATACTGCTTTACTCGTATATCATATTAAGCCTTGTTCATTATGTATGACTGTAGTTTAAGTTATTTTCCTTTTTAAATCAGTGAGTTCGAGGATGCTTTCAAAGATCGGCAAAGGATATCTAGTGGTTTGTCATCACATAGTTTCAGGCGAAATGAGTATGGTTCGTCCCCACCCACGAGAGGGGATGTAGCCGGTTATTCGCGGGCAATCCCTGGAAGGTGGGAAAGTCGTTCCACTGGACGGAGTGATAAAGATAGTGACTCGCAATCTGATAGGGATTCAGGTAAAGTTTTAGATTACTCATATTGGTATTTGATATAGGAATTTTGATGTCCAGTTGTGGATTGATATGGATTTCTCTTCTCTGTAGAACTACAAATGTATTTAAAATATGTTCATTTCCTGTCTTGAAACAATCAAGAAATTTATTTCTGATTGAAATATGTTTTGTCTTCATTCTGTGTCATGCTCATTTCGGTGGCAATATCATCATTTATTCCACCCCTGTAGTGCTGATATCAGGCTAGACTATTTCTCTAGAAAAATCAATTCTGAACTGTTGTATTTCTGCCCTGTTGATTTACTGTATCGATATACAGATTCTGGAAGGCATTATGGGAAGCGGTCTTGGCAGGTTCCTGAGCATGATGGACTACTCGGAAGTGGTTCCTTTCCAAGACCTGCTGGGTTTACTGCAGGGATATCAGCACCAAAAGTTCGACCTAATGATGCGTACCAGCTCAATAAAACAAACGAGCCATATCACCCTCCCCGCCCGTACAAGGTAAGCCTTTTACTTATTTGTGGCTTGAACGTGTTTTTGTAAACAATTTTCAGAAGCAGAATGCCTGCAGTAGTGGATTTAAGTATCCACCACTTTTAAAATGCTGCTGCATTGTTTTATCTATCTTTTTCTTTTTGATAAGATAGTTTTTCTCTTGAAGAACAGTATAATGCGAATTAAAGCCCTCCTAGTTATTCTTCATTAACTTACTATAATTTGTAGGCAGCACCTCACTCGCGGAGGGAGATGACTGACTCATTGAATGATGAAACGTTTGGTTCGTCTGAGGTTACAAGTGAGGATAGAGCAGAAGAGGAAAGAAAGAGAAGAGGTACTTGCTCTTGTCATTGAGGTTGCTTGGTAGAAGAAGTGATTTTTTACTTTTCTTCTGTTCTTGTTAGTCTTTCATATGTCTCTAGTATGGGTCAGTATGTTTTTTCTGTCAGTTAAATGCAAGTTTGAAATTTGATGAATTTCCTCTCAGCTTCGTTTGAATTGATGAGAAAAGAACAGCAGAAAGCATTTCAAGAAAAGCAGAAGCTGAAGCCAGAGAAGAACAAAGGTGATTTTGACTTTGCCACACTGTTGGATGATTCCAAAGATGAGAAGAGACTTTTGCATAGAAGCAGTGAAATAGAAGAGCCTCTTATACCACCAGTTTCAAATAATGATGCTGAAAAGTCTACTTTTCTCTTGCAAACTCCTGCACCCAGACCTCTTGTACCCCCAGGTTTTGCAAGCACAGTCTTGGAAAGAAATCTTGGAGCAAAGTCCTTGAGCCATCCCCATGAAGTGGAGGTAACCATTGTGCATAACATTAATGGAGGTGGTGATTTCAAGGATTACATAGGTCATGTTATCTATTGAATTAAAATTATAACAATCTTGCTAGAAGTGCCAAGAGATATTAGGTTGAGGAATGCCAAAGCATTTTGTTGTCACTTGCATGTGATGTTGGGCTAATAGTTGAAAATTTGTCTCTTTTTTTTTATTTAGATTAATTTTGCTGATCAGTGCATCATGTAGTTTATAGTGCTGATAAATTACCATTTATTAATGCCAACCCAAGATTGAATCTTCCTAATATTTGCATGTTCCTTCAGTTGGGTTCCGTTATGAATAGAATATCTGTTGCTTCTTTGTGATAGGTTGGGAGTTCTGAACTTGATGAAAATATTTTGCATACCAAAAGTAAACTTGTTTTAAATGGGACTTCTGATAATCAAGTGGAGAAACAATCAGCTGAACAAATGGTGTTGGGCAAGCAGCAACATGGAAGTGCAAGTACTCATGCCTCGGTTGATAGCATGAGTGAGAAGAATCCAAATTTGTCACCACCCCAAGGTGCCTATAATAAGATGATTGGCATTGATAGTCAATTATACGATACATCGAATACATCGCAAGATTTAGAAGCCTCAAAAAATAGTGAAGTGATTGATCTCAATGCTGAAAAGCTGGCCGGGAATAAGATTGTTGGTGAATCCAATGAAGGTCATTCTACATCAATACTGGAAAAGCTCTTTAGCAGTGCTGGAGCATTAAACGGTGTTGGCTCCTCTAAGATAAGTGAGGTAATTGTGGTGTCCAATGGTGTTTCTTTTTGTATTTATAGATTTTCCATAAATACTTGCAAAGATTACTACTCAGGACGAGTTTCAAGTTCACAAAGGTCTTGATTTGTTCTGATTTTTTATGACCATAAAGTCATACCATGATGTGATCCCCCTGAACCCAGTATCTATCTTGCATCTGTGCGAGCATTTAACATGCTATTACTGTACTGAGACCTGCTATTGATAGGGTCCATTGGAATTATGTTTAGCAAAGAAGTTTTCCATTTTGGCGTTCTTAGGGTCCAATTTAGGTCCAGGTGAGTTTTTTTGTTTTTTAGTTGCAAGCATCCATCTGCATGTTCTCTTTCACATCGCTTTTCCTTGGTTAAGAGCATTCACAATGGGCTCCTTAAACCACCTCCTCAGCTAAAATTTAGGGAGGAATTGAAAAAACCCTCCTCCAACCATGCTCTCTATCTAGCTCATAAAATAGGGAGACCTCTAGGAGCTCCTAAATCTGAGAAGAGAGAAAGTACTCCTAGTGACTCCCTATAATTAAATGCTTCTATATTTAATATTATTTTAAGCATTTATGCCAACTATTTTTAATTATTGCTTTTGTGTCTACATTTTATTCAAAAATTGAATTAAAATTTATTAAAAACATTTATGACTCTTTAAACTAGAGAGTATGGTTGGAGTTGAAATTTTATAGAGAGCTCCTAAAATAGCTTTCTAGTGTTTTTAGCTAAATTTTAAATAAAAAATAGAGAGCATGATTGTGGATGCTCTAAGTGGAAGGGCCCTCACATCACTTTTAACTGTGCAATTCATGGCTTTACATCCATCTGATGCTTATTGGCATATGTGTCAGTGTTTGTGTTTTTTTTCTCATTTAAATGAAAATGAAGTCATTAGCTTGAATCCCGAGTCTCATTTATATCTTTTGTGCTTCTTTAGCATCATGATAGTAAAGCAGATGAGACATGGAGCCCTGACACTGTCCAGTCTTCCAAGTTTGCTCATTGGTTTCATGAAGAAGGTCTGCTTCCATTGATCTTTTGGACTTTAAAGTTCAAAATGCTTTCCAACATCAATTGTTTATACTTGGAATGGGAAATGTACATTTGAGCTCTAATTAGTTCAATCTTACTGCAGAAAAGAAATCGGGTGATGATCTCTCATCTGGAAGGCGAAATGACTTACTTTCATTGATCGTTGGTGGTGAAAAAGGTGGACCCCACATTTCTGATGGGATACATGATCACAGTCTTCCTACTTTTTCTTCCCAAAACTCTGAACCGGCAGACAGGCTTATGACATCAGATTTAGTATCTCCAACAGTTGGTAACACCAAGCAACCATTTAAAAAAAATAAACCAGAGGCAGTTTCGGCGGTCCTTACTTGTGAAGACCTTGAACAATCGATTCTGTCTGAAATTAGTGAAAGTGGTCCAGACTTGCAGCCCCCTGTTCAAAGGTGGGCTTTACCTGGTAAAAAGCCCGAGCAGCTGAAAGCTAATGTCGATAATCATGCGTCCCAGCACCTACTTTCACTGTTGCAGAAGGGAACAGGCTTGAAAGATATGGAACCATCCCCTAATCAAGAAACAACATTTTTTGAAAAATTACATGACATTGAAGGAACAACTATTGGCAGTGCAGTTCACAGTTCAAAAGAGGACAATGCTGAAAATGCTTCTGATTCAGGGAAGAGTCTGACTCTTGAAACACTCTTTGGAACTGCTTTTATGAAAGAGTTACAATCAGTCGGAGCTCCGGTTTCTGTTAAAAGGGGCCCAATTGGGTCTGCAAGGGTAGATGTTGTAGAGCCTCAGGGGTTACCTTTTCCCGTGATAGATAACAGTCCTCTTCCATCTGCAAATGAAATTGGACCGAACACAACTAGCCATAGTAGTAATGACTTGACAGCACATAGAAGGAAGCAAACAAAATCAGATAAGATAGAAGAGCGGTTGCTAGGCTTTGACAATCCTCAAATTGAACTAGGTTCATCACAGGTCGGAACGGACTTGGGGTCTAAGATTGGTGTCTTTGATGGGCCTGCCGATTTTCGACTTCCTGAAGAGGATAGCTTGATTACAGTCAGTGAACCATTGAACATCCAAAATTTTATGTCTTCTGGGAATCTAGTGAAAAACAAATTGTTCTCCTCCCCAAACACACAAGTTGACATTGCTGAAAAATTGGCAGCTATGAATTCGGCCTTTAAAGATGAAAGGAGTATCATGGTAAGCCAAGAAGGTCCGCCTTTTCTTCGTGGTCCTTATGATATGAGAGAGCCTGATCTCCCATATCAGAACCTTCATGTTCAGCCATCATCTCAACAGCTCCATCATCCTCAGTTGAATCATGGGGGTTCCTTGTTCCATCAATTAGATTCTCATCCCGCTAATATCAATTCTCAGATGAATTTTATGGCGCCAGAGGGCATTATCCGAAGTGATCCTCCACCAAACCATCAATTTCATGCAAATATGGTTCGTCCACCTTTTCATCATGCAAACGCCGGGCAATCTGGGTTTGATGCTCATGCCCATCACCCTATGTTGCAACAGATGCACCTACCAGGCAACTTTCCTCCACCTCACCTGCTACAAGGATTATCCAATGCTCAACCCCTGCCTCCTCATCCCAACCGGGGTGCACCTCTTCCTGCTCATCCAAGCAGTCAGGTGAATAGTTTTATGCAAGAAATGAACCCAATGCCAGGTTTTCCTTATGGTCCCCGGCAGCCCAACTTTGGTGGTCATGGAATGCCGTCACCTGGTAAAGTACTTCTCTTTGCATCTGTTGTTAGTACTTCTGGTTGATTTTATTGTGTCTGCGTGATACTCTGAATTTTTATGCGAATGCATCCATTAAGTGGTTTGTGACAGATATTGTGCACATTTACTTGTATTTCTCCTCTCAAAGCCCAAAGTTTCTGACAATATATTTGTAGCCCTTTCATATTCTGCCTCTTAAACCTCCAAAAATTGCATAAGTAAATTTTCTTGTTTTCCTCTATATAGTTCAACATCGATTGAAATCTTCTTTCCTTTGCTGGAATTTCAGTTTTATGCTTTATAAACATTGAACAAGCTATACTTTATTTTGGAAATTGCATGTGGTATATATACTGACGTTCTTTAAAATTCAGCTCCTGATGTTGCTGGTGGAAGCAACCATCCAGAGGTACTCCAAAGGCTCATGGAGATGGACTTAAGGTCAAATTCGAAACAGATTCGCCCATTTGCTGCTGGTGGACATACTCAAGGGATGTACGGACATGAACTTGACATGGGTTTCGGGTACAGGTAGTTTACTCAGATGTTTGAACTTGTGCATATCTCATTGTATTGAGAGTCTTTTCTTGATGTGCAATTCAAGGGACGGGCGATGTGTTTAATATTGCTTATTTCAAATGGGATCTTGAGGCTAGTGTAATTAATGGATTTTTCTTGCAATTAGCATTTCACCTGGCAATTAATTTGATTGCACGTATGCTTACTTGAATGAGGAAAGTCATGAATCGTGAAAGTCAGAAATTGCGTGAGGATATGGGATCAACTACTCCCCTAATTAATCTAAACTCGTTTATGATAATTGATAACAACTCTCTCTAATCTTCTCTTTTGAACATTCTTCATTTTCCTAATGACATGTGTCACTTTATTTACACTTAAAATAATGTCATTAATACTTGAGACAAACTTGCTTTTGTTTTCCTAATTTACCCTTATTAAATGTGTTGACTTTTATATTTCTTTCAATTTATCCTTTTTCTTTTTACAACTTTCTTGTCATCTTGTTAAAATTTAAATAAGAAAAAAAAACATCAATTTAAAAAAATAAATAAATGAATAAATATATATATATATTCAAAATTACAATCAATCCAATTGCCGTAGGATTAGTCTTTTAACAACAAAAAAAAATTATTTAAAAAAAGACAGCAGGAAACAACCTAAAAATTAGTTCCATGTGGCAGAATTGGATGAGATAGTAAAAACAATTCTTGGAATATCTAAATCATTCCAGCGAATTCCACATCAACATACATCCAAGACCAAGGCATGTTCATACATATTTGTTTTCACGTGAATTTGAATTTTTCACCACACGCGTGGTTCTTCATCAATATATGATATATCACTTTTAAATTAAGGATTAACTACACTTTAGTCCCTAGAGGTTTAGGGTCAATATCGAAATGGGCTCCGAGATTTCAATTTCATCAATTTCATACCCAACATATTCAAATATGACCAATTCACCCCGTCCGTTAGATTGATCGTCTGGTCAAACGTTAAATGTTGATGTGTCAACTGTGAGACCCGCCACAGACCCTGACAATCCATTCCAACTAGTCCACGTGAAGGGCATTTTTGGAAAGAAAAAAAATATTTTTTAAAACAAAAATAAAAATAAAAAATTCCCCAACTCTAGCAACCCTCTCTCTCCATCTCCCATCCACCCTTCGTTGACCCTCCACAGACCCCCCCTCCCCCAATCAATCACAGGCCCTCTCCAACCCAAAACACGATCATACATCCAAAACAAGATTAACCTCACAATCAGAACCAAATAACTCACTAGCCCTATAAGTTGTTGCTCCAAATCCATAATTACCTGAACCTAAAAAACCTAATTTGTCTAATCCAATCAAACTGAGCCATAAAAGGAGAGAAATAGAGGGAGGATGATGGGGACGACGAAGAGAGGGGGAGAGAGAGAGAGAGAGAGAGAGGAAGAGAAAGAGAGAAATAGATAGTGGGTTGGGTATGGCCCTAGTGGATTAGGGGGATGAGGACGAGAAATTGGAAATCCAGGAAATTGAAATTCATTTAGTCAATAAAAACAATAAGAGTGAGAATCCGAAGATACCCACTTGGGGTTTTTGGCTCATTTTATCTGTTGCCGCTAAGCTTTCCAATGATCCAAAAACATAGCAAAAAACATAGTAGGATTTAGGAATAGCTGTAGGTAGCTGAAAGCAGAGCAATGGGCATTTTGCATGAGGATGTTGTGGTAATTAGCCAAGCAGAGAAGGCTGGGGAACCCACTGTGATCACTATCAATTGCCCTAACAAAACTGGGTTGGGCTGTGATTTGTGCAGAACCATTTGCTCTTTGGTCTAAGCATTTGCAAAGGAGGTGGGGGTTATTGTTTTTGATTGCTTGTTTGTTTTTTCATTTTGGTTTATTTTTTATTTTTTTGGGTAATTCTGAGTTTTTTGGAGGTGGGTTTGGGATTGTGTAGTCAGTGAAGTGGAGTGATATATTTGTGATGGTTTTTTTTTTTTTTTTTTTTTTTTTTTTTTTTTTTTTCTCTGATTTACTAGGAAAGTTTACTGTTTGGATATGAAATTCTTAAGAATACTAGAAATTTTGTTCTTGAATTTTTCTGAAACTTTTTGGTGGATGAAGACTTCAACCTCACCCTCAACGTCGGCGATCGATGCCTCCTCGTCGAATCCAACGGTGCGTTAGCTTTTTTTTGTTGTGTTGTTGTCGTTTTGGGAAGCTATTTGAATGAAATGAAAAGGCGGCCAATATATGATTCACGAGTGTAGCTAGGAGTTTCTGGGTTTTAGTTGGGGAGCCAGTCGGAGAGAAGGGAAGGCATGTTGAGGTCGTCGGCTATAGGAGGGAGACTTGCTGTATGGGAGGGAGACTTTGTTGGGATTTTTTGTTTTTGTTTTTTTGGTTTTGAAAAAATATATATATATTTTTTAAAATTATTCTTTAATTTTATTTCTGAAATGCTTTTCACGTGGACTAGTTGGAATGAGTTGTCATGGTCTGTGACGAGTCCCACAGTTGACACATCAACATTTAACGTTTGACCAGACAGTCAATCTAACAGACGAGGTGAATTGGTCATCTTTGGATACGTTGGGTATGAAATTGAAATCTCGGGGCCCATTTCAATACTAATCCTAAACCTCTAAGGACTAAAATGTAGTTAATCCTTAAATTAATTTTTTAACAAGGTAGTAAAAAAATTGTAAAAAAAATTAAAGGATAAATTGGAGGAAACATGAAAGTTAATATATTTAATAAGGGTAAGTTTGGAAAACAAAAGTTAGTTTGTCTCAAGTATTAATAATATTGTTTTAAATGTAAAGAAAATGACACACGTTATTAAAAAAAAGAAAAAAGATCCAAAAGAGAATGATAGAAAGAAGGTTGCTAGCACAACAAGTGGTGTACGGAGGCAGGCGGCAGCGGTATGGAAGATCTGACGGGACCATTAAGGTCGAATGATGAGAGGTCCTTATACATATGTTCCATGGTTTTGAAGGTTGAGACTGTTTCTTACGTTATTAATTCCATCAAATTGAGCGATTTGTTTTCGTCATCATGCTCCTGCCGCTTTGATCCCGAGCGTCCTACTAATCCTAATCCTACTGCTATTGGTGATCCCGATCTTCCTACTAATCCTACTGCTATTGGTGGTGATGGTGATAGAAACAAATGCCCGTGGTGCTCCAAAACCCTCAAAGCCCCCGACGACGACAAGGAGGATTGTAGTGAATTAAACCATATGGATGATACGACAACCAGAACCGAATGCGCGGCTTGCTCCAAGGGCAATAGTGAATTACGTTATCGGGCTTCTCTCACCGGCGAGTATCTTCCCGGCTATATGGGTTGCGGTGTCTTTGGATCTCAAATTGTTTTCGGCGGAGGTGCGAAATCCCGCCTCTCAACCGTGGCCGAGTGCACCCATATGCGATTCGGACCAGATGCGAGTAGAGCTATATATGGATTTGAGACTCGGGATCCGAATCCCACGATCAAACTGAGGGGCCGAGAGCGTATGTTTGGGAAATTGCTTGGAGAAGTCCCTACACCCCTGCTGATGGAGGTTTCGGGGAAACTCTATGCTCTCTCCGGTGAGACGATCTTATGTGATAAAAAGCCTCCATTTTCAGGTTTTCGACCCCAACTCTAAGAAATGGTCTCCCCTTCCTGCACCTTCAATTCTCGAGCCTGGTGGAAGCTATGGAGACTTCTCTTGTGCAGTTGTGGATAGTTTTATCCTTCTGTCGACTCGGACCAGTATGGTATATGGCTTTGACACTAGTGAAGAGGAACATCCAAAATGGATAGAAGTTGGGACTCCTAGTTTTTTCTCCGATGGTGCTCTTCCTTTTGAAGGAAAAGCTTTGCTCCTGATGGATGACAATGAGTCTTTCATGTTCAGTTATAAGAGGAAACAGCGTGGATATGCCATTGTTGTCCACTCTGTGTCTCCTGATCATGTGTCTGTTATTAAAAAATTGCCACTGGAGCAAGTTCTAGCGGAAGCGGATAAGTTGCCTGCTGATTTTCGTGATATATATTCAAGATATGACCACTGCTTTGTTCATATAGAAGGTCTGAAAGTCTGCCTAATTATGAGCTTATATATTAAAGCACCTAGAATGTCTGAAAGCTGAGAAGTTGCGCATTATGTCGTTAACCTTTGAAATCTCACCACCGACCACAACGGGAAGGGACGTCAAACATATTCATACTCGCTTCTTTGACTGCGATACCAGACTGTCTCACAAATGTCACCCATGTGACAACACCATGCACGCAAATGTGCTTGGTGCTTTTGTTCTGTAAGTAGTTTTACGCCTACTTACTTCTTACATAATACAGTTATATTGTGTGTTATATAAACATACATTACACATGCATAAAAATCTGAATTTTGTTATTTATGTATTTTTTGGGACAGGTAAATTGTCGAGTGAAGAATCATGCTATGAGGAGAAGACCTTGCGGGCTAGTTCGTGTTGTCTTAGCTTATTTAAGATTAGATATTTGTGGTCTGGTTGACTGTGCTTTTGTAATGGCATGAAAACAGAACTTATTTTGATATGCTTTTTTATTGTAATCAAAACTCAAGAATGGGCTGTATCGTCCTACTTTTGTAATCTATTTATTCGAGTATTGGTCTCTTTTGTTCATTCAAGTTTCTTCATTTGTTATGGTTAAACGTTAAACGGCTCACCTCACCTCACATGGTCAGAGTTTTAGTCTCAAGTTTCAGCTAAGCACAACTCTAGTCTGCTATACCCTGTTATCTTTCATGTTTGACCAAAAATAAAATATACCGTTGTGTTTCATGTAGTGCACTACGTCTGCACGTTTTGGACCTCCCCCTAAACCCTCCCAGAACAACAACTACGGAGGCTTGCCGGCCATATTTTCAGTCCAAGATGTTTAAGCTTGTTCGAAATTTGAGCTGGCAAAACTTTACCATCAGGATCAAGAACTTTTGCATTAAGACGACGACAATCCCAGTCATCCCTGAATCCTTTATTGCCCATTTTTGCCCCGAAAGATTTCAGTAAGCTGGATGAAAAAAGTAGGCCTAACTACTAATATGCAGGTGCAACTCAAACACTCATCATGGCCACCGATACTTTTTTATCTTTCTTCAGCTGATATCAGGTGTAACAATGCCAAGTCAAAGGATCAATCAAAAAAGATAAACAAGAAATAAAAAAAAGCTTAGATAATGGATTATTTTTTGTAGAAACCTTTTCAGTTTCATTCTCTATGGCCTGGCCACCACTGCAATATCAAATCCATCCCCAAGGGCCTGCAAGGTATATGCTCTTGAGAATGATATATATAGCTCTCTGCAGCAGACACATGCCTCTGAATAAATGTTTTTCTAGGTGTTTAATACAGAGTGTCAATGGGGAGCTTTCACTTCTTGATTTGGTTGATGAACGTTAGAGGGAGCTTACTGATTCTATTGAATTATTTTTGGGTTACATGTGGTCAATCGGAGGAGAAAACAAATCTTATTGAGGAAGTTTCATGTTAGATTATGGGCACCGAGGAATGCAGGTAATAAACTGCTATTACGGCTTTGATATCATACCGTGTTTAGCTTTATCATTTGTGAGGTCTATTCACGTTGATTTGTACTATGATATTTATTCTGGTTGGAAGTTTCTTTTTTCAGGTGTGGTATCCATCTCTGGGGGTTGACCCTTTTAAGCAGGAGGGTTTCTTGCAAGTACGTATGTATTCAAGAAACAGTGTTATCTATGTAACTATGTTTTGGATTGTTGGCAGATAGTTATACTAATTATATGGAATTGATGCATAGTAAGTTTTCCCTTATTAGGAGGATTAGTTAGAATTTTCCTTAGTATAATTATGAATCTTGCACACTTTTGTTATCAGTGGGAATGCAGTTTAAATGAAACAACCGATCAGTTCAACTGTATTTGCCTCTGTGCTGTTAAAGAGTAGTAATATTTGGAACTTGCTGCTCTGTTATTGTTGTGTGATTTGAGATTTTCCGGTAGCTGGAATTTTCTCAAGCCACCCACGCGTTGCCGGTGCGTGTGGCGGCGCGTGAGCCCTGTTTGGGTGACCCATTTGGTCCTAAAATGATCCCCATGTTATTGTTTGAATTTGAATTGGATACTTGGATTTGAATTTGGTTATCGTTTGACAGTCGATCGGATTACGCATATTAGTCGTTATTCGGGTTCGATTTTTTTGGACCGTTGGATTGACTTCATTTCAAAATATGTTGATCTAGGCATCTCTAGGATTATGTAGGAATTCACGGATCATGAATCAGAGTCCAAGATGCTTCGATTCAATGATTCAAAGATTAGGTTAAATGGTAATCGTGCGATCGCGAGTGATCAGACCTTTCGATTCGGACCAAATTTACATGACATATATAATAAACCTTGTGGAACCCACAGGAGCTTTTAGATAAGAAATTGGAGGTCTTGGGCCCCCCGGGCCTGATTAACCAAATTTGGAAAGTTTGACTATTTGGTTGACCGAGCATCTCCCAAGGCTATTCCACCATTTGAAATACATAGTTGGACCTTAGGAACTTCTCGTTCATCTTGCACACTCGAATCCCGGGAAAACCTAGGAATTTATTTTAAAGTTCTCATTCAAAGCACTTTGTTCTAATCTAGCCCTCATGTCTTTAAAGAGTAATGCTAGGCTTACCACATTTTTCATACCACAATTGTACCACCTCTCTCATAGAGGTAGAGCCCACCAATACAATGGGGCCCACCTCTATTAGAGAGGTGGTACAATTGTTGTATGAAAAATGTGGTAAACCTAGCATTTTCCGTCTTTAAATAGGTACTCTGACCCAGCGTACACAACAGGCAGGACCCTTTCAAGGTCAAGCAGCGTGAGACTATCTGTGAGTGGACTTTGTTATCAAATAATAAACATTATTTTTATGACGGAAAGCTATGCATAATTATTTATTTATTAAGTTTATTATATAATTAATTGTGGAAGAATGATATTTCTATAAAGTAATTGAAATACTTTTGGTTATTGGCATATTATGATTTATCTTGAGTTGATATATATACTATTTTCGAGGATTTTTATCTATGCTTGATTATGTGTGGGGACATGGGTTTGTCGGTAATGAGATTATGGAATGAGAGTGGATTGTAGTTTGTCAATTTGAAGTGCTATAAGCACTACCCTATGTACCTCCTTGGATTTGGAATACTGGAATTGGATACTTGGAATTTTGTGATACTTGGATATGTTAGAATCCGGGCACCCTTGATGGGATGTTTCGTAGACCCTTAACGAGGTTAATTTGCGCGCGTAAGACTTGTCACAGGCGTACGAGTATTGAGAATTCTGTTGTACATGCTGGTGAGCTTACGACCCATATTAATGATCCCTAATTGCCTTGCCTTCAAAATAAGTTAAATACCTAAGGTTGTATTCAATAAGATCTCAGAGGATTTTGAAAGACTTTTGTTAAGTGGCAGATTTCATGAATTTCTATAAACTCCTGTAGATTCCACGTGGACTTTGGGGGAATCCTATAGACTCCTACAGACTTTCATGGATTTGTAGACTTTTTATTACAAAGTACAAACTTTGATGAATTTTTACAACGTATGAGGTGTTATGATTGTGGTGGTGGTGATGGGAGGGGAAAGGGGTTTTGGTGGGTTGGATGGGCGGGTACACCATGGAAATATTTGAAATCCACCAAAATATCATGGGGTAAGGCTAGATTTTGTAGGAGTCATTAGAAGTTTAGATTAAATACACTCAGATTTTTATACTCTTTCAAAATCTTGATTGAATACCCTTGGATTTTTTAAAGTCGTTTAAAATCCCTTCCAAATTGAATACACCCGTAGCACAATTTACAACCTGTCATGCACATTTGAAAGTGAACGTTGATCTGGTCAGAAAGCAAGATGATCTAAACAAATTGCATATGCAAGAGATATTTATGCTCCATTTATTGAAGTGTTATAAGCTCTGAACAAAATTTGATTTAAGCGCAGAAAGCTCAACGAGGAACACCCAAAATGCAAGAACTTTTGGTTAAGGAACCATTTTGCATGGTGTAAGAGGCACAGGAACCATACAGGTAGCAGATTTCTCTTATTGTTACCATTTTGAGCTCCTACTTTTATTCCACATTATGTAAAAACAAAAAACAAATATTACAACCATATACCCGAAACCCTATACAAGACAGCCTCCGGGACAAACATTGAAGTTGACTGTATCATCCCACATTCCTTGATGACAAGGTTCAAAGTACGGTATGCACACAAAACTGGGGTTGGTCCTTCGACAAGCTACATAGTAACAGATATATTCTCGAAAACTCATCACTGCACATTCTACATATATACAAAGCCTCTCTGCACTATAACAACTGTTAGTGAACTTGGTCACTCAGCACTCCTGCCCTGGAATACACTGTTAAGAGTTCAACAATGGGTAGATATTAGTTGCAAATATAGAGGAGTTGAAAAGTTCCATTTGCCTTCTCTATCTTTTCAGAAATAAAAACAAAGAGAGGAAATTCCATTTACCTTCATTTCCTAAGCAGATAGGATGGCATTCTCTGATTTACCAATGCAAGAAAAGTTGCAATTGCTATCAGATTTAGCTTTCTCAGAGTCAGCATCATATGATGAAAGTAGTTTTCTCTGTGTAGACAAAGAGAGCCGTTAATATGCAAATCACAATATAAATTTAGTAAAATCTAATATGTTTGCTAGGAAAGACGCTAATTCTAAAGTGAAGAGTGAAAAGCATTGACATGACTTGTTCCATAAGGCTCAAAGACAAGCAAAGCATAGAAAAGTTTGTCCCAAGCTAGAAACTAAAGCACTTTTTCAGATGAATCAATCTTCTTATGCAACAAAATGGATGTAACAGTCTCGTATAATCATTTTACAAATTCAACCAAGTAGATGATTGACTTGTGTGGCAACCAGCTTGCCAATTGTAAGTAGGGAATAATAGGCAATAGCTGAATTGTGAACAAAAGAATCATGTTTAATCTTTATAGTTGGATCAGCAATCAATAAATAAATTTCACATTTCAACTAGGAGACTTCTGTGTGATGCTAGATGCACAAAATATGGGCAGAAATTCTTCAACAACTACTTTGTTCTCATCAGAGACATGCATTCCTCGTACTCTGAAGCTCCATGATGAAATAATACCAATAAACTATTACCATGTAGAGTCAGCACGAACCTAACCTATCTGTGAGCTAAATCGAATTTACCAGGTTATCTTAATGAAGTAGACTGTCAGGTGTAATAGTGCAATATTGAAAGTTCAGTTTAGTAGCTACCAAACACAAAGGAAAATGTTATCATGAGATGCAAGGATTATGCTCCACTCACTCATGCCAAAGTTTTAAAACCATAGAAGACAAACAATTAGAATGTTGCGTCTGTCAAGAAAGAAATGCTTTAGCCGAGAAAGAGAATACTTACATGATCCTCAAATTCTGGACTTGTCAAATTAAGGGAGAGGTTCCGCATCAGCAAAAGTACCTGGGAAGGATCCAAATAACACTCTAGTAAATCAGCACCTTCCTTAGCAGTTAGAGCAAGACCAAACAACTGTTCTAAAACTAGAGTCTAAATGCGAACTCTTTCAATGACATGAATGGCCAAATAAATAAATAAAATTGGTTACAAAGATTTTAAAATCAACTTACGGTTTCCAAATTTATGGGGTCTAATTCTTTCAATCTCTCCAAATGACTAGTCGCATTGGGGTCAAACACACTGCCGATAAATTTATACACCTGAGCAAAATCTGGCAAAACTGCACATACAGGAACTAAATTTAATACCAATATAATTGAAACAAATGTCATGGACAGCTGATGAACATTGCAATACCAGAGAAGAATCTACATCTGATTCTGAGTCTTATGCAAGCAACATCTTACTGTATGAAACTGGTTAAGGATAGAATGTAGATGTCAAAGGCTACACTCCAATATCACCTCCTTAAGCAGTTGATATAATTTTAACAAGAATAAAACTTCTTAATTCAAACATAACAAAGACATATTTTAAAAAAAAAGAGAAAGAATTTAAACCTCTATGTGGCTGGCCAGGATCTGCTCGATCAACTTTCTCACTCATTTGCCAAGTTGTTGGGTTGCTTTCATTACTACTACTGTAGCAAGAGTTATGTGCAACAGTTGGCCCCGCTAACCTTCCATCGTCTAATAAATAACACGAAAAATAAATAAATCATATTTTAACAAAATAGAGGAACAACTTGTTATGGTTAAATCAATCAAGAATAAGTCACAAAGACAGGGCGGAAAAGCTGAAACCTTTAGTTATTTGCGACACATTGACTGGAGGCACAGAATTATAACTCCACGAAGATAAAGTTGCACTGGTAACTGGAGTTCCAAGCGCAAATGAAGAATCTGGCGGGTAAACATATCCATGTTCAAGCAAAGCAGATGAAGATTGAAACTGCCCAGCAACTTGAGATACAACTGCAGCTGCAAGAAATTAACTTATGAACGAGAATTCTTTTAAAACCATAAGAAAAATTTCCAATAAAACAATGGTTGACTATGTTTACCACTTTTTGGAGCCTTTTGTGGGTATGGATGAGTCGCTTTCCTCTTAGGCCGAGGTGGAGGTACATGTTCACTTGTCCCTTTCTTCTGAACCTTTAAAAAGTACTTCTGTGCATGACTACGTATCTGACAGGAATGACAGTTACCTTTAATACAGTGAAGACATGTATATCATATATGAATTGAAATGGAGCCAAAAGAAATTTGATAAGACCAAGTCACCAAGCAGATACAAGGCCTACTAAAGGTAAGTGATATACATAATCACTTATAGATGCTACAACCATGAAATTTTAAGAGGCATTCTTGCAGAACCCTACAAAATGTTTTGATATTCTTCCAGTATTCATATGACTCTTTCCTATACACCCGAGAAAGACAATGAAAAAACCACATAACCAAAAAAAAAAAAAAAAAATATATTTATCCTACGTTTTTGTTTATTTTCTATCTGCAAATATATGATAAGTTTGACTGCAAAAAGTAGTCACCTGGATAACCGTTTTTGAGCCAACAAATGCTTCAATCTTCTTCCAGTCACGATCAAATCTAAGTCGAGCCAAGTAAACAAAAATAAGAACGAAACATAAACAAGGACGAATTTTTTTGAAAGGAAAATATAAACAAGGAGGAATGACTTGCATGAAAATTAATTAAACATACATTTTCTACTCACTCTTTTTTTTTTTTTTTTTTTTTTTTTTTTTTTTTTTTGTTTGCGACCTACTGAGGCAAGTCCTGCTATTCAACAAATCTAAATATATAAGGAATTTTAAAAAAAAATTACGACTTGAGAAAACAGTAAACTCCACTTAGACGAGCTTAGTACTATTTTTGGTTTCTTTTCCCCCACCACTTTTGTATCTCAATTTTCTTGGATACCAAACTATGTAAAGCACCTAGTACTACCTAAAAATTGGTATCAAGAATGAAATTCCAAAATCAAAGAAATGTTCAAGATTTGAAACTTGTATAAAATAAATTCATCACTTAAATGAACCTAAACCGATCAATTGGATCCACTAAACCGATATATTAATTTCAAATACGGCCTAAGGTACAAAAGAACGTTCACAATATACAAGGTCTCATTTCTCTTATACTTGAAAGCTGCTAGCCCACTAGTCCAAAACCCAAAAAACTCACCCCTTGGGACAAACTTCTAACTCCAACTTAGCCAAATTAATATATTGAGCGTAAATTGACTAGTAAAACCCACCAAATTATCTATAATTATAAGTACCAAATATCCAAAACCAAATGACCCGCAATAAACTCCAATTCTCTACTTAGTAAGAAAAAAAGAAAAAAAAAAAAGAAATAAAAAAAAAAAAAAAAAAAAAAAAAAAAAAAAAACAAAAAACCAAACCCCAATCGTTCAGTCATTTATTTGAAAACAAAGCTTTTCCATTTAATTCTTATATTGAGAAACAAAATATAAAAAAACCAAGCTTTTACATCTATTTTCCATATCCTGTCCCCAATTTTCTTGAGCAACAAAACAGAGCCCAAATTCGCAAACATAAACCCAAAAAAACAACAGTAATAACATAAAATTGAGCTGGCTTACAGCTGAAGAGCTTCGAGAAACTTGTCGTGCTCTTGCTCCGTCCAGCTCTCTCTGGACTTGGTAATCGTATACGGTTTCCGGATCTTCTTGCTTTGATCCTCCGCCAGCAACGACGTGGCGTTGGTGGGCGTGGACGACGCAGTACAAGCCGTCGTACTGGTCGCGGCCGAAGCTGTAGTAGCAGTTGCTGTCGGCGGTGGCATAGAATTGAGACCCGGAAGGCCCATATTCATGGGATCGAACAAGTAAAAACCTTGAGCTGGGTTTGGGTTCACAGACACCATAAGCTACAAGAAGCTGCCTATAATCTCAGAGCTTCAAACTTCAAAGCTGTTAACTTTGTAAACAAACCACACAAAGTGAAAGCGTTTTTCTCTGTTTTCTGAAATGTGGGTTTTTTGTTGCTTGACAATTTGGTTTGTGTTGGTGTCTTTGTTTTGGTAGGAAAATGTGGTGTAGAAATGAAACCGCCTTTGGCAGTTCCACCTATTTAAGTATTTATTTATAAATTATAAGTAGAAAAAAAAAGTCACTTTCAGTCCTTATAATTTGATGATTTCTCCACTTTGATTTACGTAATTTTAATTTGGACAATTTAAGAATAAATTCCAATTTCAATCTAATCCTAAACAAGTAATAGACTCATGCTTATTCCACCATGAAATTTAATAGGAATTTGAACGTGTCCTTCAATTACGATAGATATCAAATTACAAGAATTAAATAGCCATAATTAAAACCTTAAAAATCAAAGTGGAAAATTCAATAAACTATAAAAACCAAAAATAAAATTTTGCCTTAGGCGATAAAATTTAATTACCATATCAAAATTATCAGTATATTTGTTAACTTATATATATTTTTACATCTATTCCATTTTAGCTGTAATATGAATACATTTTTGTTAATTTAGGTAGGGAAACTAAAAATATTACCTACGTCTTAGGTATGACCGCACACGTGGCAACATTTCGATATGGTATCAGACTCTGTGCTGGGCAATGGGCATACGGGAAGGGGCATGTGGCAAGTGCCAAAGCCGTCTAACATTGAATTCCACAAGTTTTTAGCTACGTGGGATAATCCAATTGGTCAGAGTTTAAGGGCATGCCCAAAGTCCCTTTATTTTTTTCTCTGGTAAGTGACGTGGGCAGAAGTCCCTCTCCCCCAAAGTGGCCCAACACTGTCCAACTTTGTCATTGTTCTTCATGGTTGTCAAGTATGAGGAAAAGTCTTGTCTTGATCTTCTTTCTTTTCTTTTTTTTCATTATTTTGTTTAAGTTTTGGCATACAATTCCATTTGAAAATGGATACATCTTCTAACTTCACAGAAAGGTCTCCTTCAACCCATACCAAAACTCTAACCCCAATTTAGGAGCATACCCATATTTTGAGACAAGAATGACAACTCATCGGATGCCAAATTTTAGGTATGTTTTAAGGGACTTTGAGATTGGAAGCTCTACCATGTAGGACATTTAATTTCAACTACGTTTCGATCGCCAGATCTATAAATGCTGATGATCTAATAGTCGTAAAAGTATCATACGTCATATTTGATCTTTTCTGATCTAATTATTAAAAATTGATTATATGTCATACTTAGCCGCAAGTCAGATGAAAGCTGGTCAATTCAAAATAATTTTTATACGCATTGAAATATTGAAATACCATAGCAGTGAGATTGAATACTGCATAAATTGTGGTTGGATCTATCTTAAACTTAACAATTCAGCGGCTAAAACGTCAATCAAACAGTATAAAGACAATTAAAAATTTTAAACGGCTAAGAAATGACATCAAGTGTATCTGTAATCTATAATAATATTATAATATTCAACCAACGAAATCTGAAAGGTGCAGGGAAGGATCTAGAGTTTCTAGAGTTTGTCGACAGCATCGCTGTTAATCAAGAAGATCTTGGCCCACTCCTTTTGGTAAACGGAGTCAAAGAACACGTACTAAACAAAGCAAAACCTAATTAGTTAATTTAATATGAGTTAATCAAAAGTGAATCATGTAATCACGTCTTAATTGGAATTATATGAGTTAACACGTCCTATAACAATTTGCGAGGGAAATTCAATTTCATTATGAGGCTCATTATTTACTTCTTTGGTGGTCCTCGGACAATGGAGTTGCTAAAAGCATTGTACAGCATTCCAAGGTCCCGCCCCAAAAAGAACTTCCGTACAAAGGTATTCCGAACCTATCACAACACTATCACGTGACAAAATTAAAATATAAAGCAGTACGTGTGATTAAATTGGGATACCCCTAAAATGCATTCCATCAGAACACCTGGTACATACAATGGGATCACAATCGTAAACGAAACCCTACACTTGCAAGGTTGGGGACTTGATCTCGTTCGTAAACGGTACACATCTCCACTCTTCAATATGAGTTTTGTTCAAGTCTTGAACATATTCGAAGAAATTCTAACAGGAAGGTAGAAATGATTTGTGCACATCCCGTATCTGCCAATTGGTGCACTTAAGCATATTTAGGTCATAAAATAACACTAAACTTAAACTTAAACTTCCTTGAGGAATGAGTTATACAACCGCCAACCCTTGGAGGAAACCAAAGGATATTATACCTTGTACATTATAAAATACATGCATCTCATATCCGGAGGCTGAAAACCCAGACACAAATCTCCCTACTAGCTGATAATATCATAACAGAAAAACTGGAAATGGAAGTGGAGGGAACCAAAAAAAATAACAAAAAAGAACTTTACAACTTTCAGGATGTTTAAAAATGATACAAACCTCAGAAGAGGGAAAAAAAAATTCAGAATAATAATGTTCGGCTTCTTATACTCTCACGTTCGAGTCTAATCAAGCCAGCGTGTAACCCCATCTTCCCCTATGGTGGCCAGAATCTCGATGCTTACTTCCAAAACAGCCTACATTTTTTTTTGCATCAATGAAGAATTCTAAAGGTGAGAGGAATGAAATTGTCAACAATATTAACTATTTTATGAACTTCTCATGAAATGAATATATGCACTAAAATTAACCAAGGCAACTGATAACAGTAAAATGTTCAATCGAGGCATACAAAGCAAATCATCAGAAAATCATTCTCATTGAATAATAAGCTCAATTTAGCAAGCCAAACAAAGCCCTCACAATTTAGCACATCTAGGATGGGATACAATTATAGCATGGAGTCAAAAATGAGAGGCAAATTCTTACAGTATCAAATCTAATCACCTATGGCTACAAAAATACCATGAGCAAACTTTTTCTTCTTTTGTGGGGGAACGTGTTTGGTCAAGCTTAAGGAGACAACTTTATCATGAAAGCATATATAATATAACTACATAAAGAAAAGGAACTTACCAACGGATTTCTACAGTTAACCAGCCTACATTCCTCCAGAGAACCTTCCAACATCCAACTCTCCCAGACATCAAAACTGTGACTGGCAAATACAAATTCCATTCTTCTATTTATCTGCAATGTTAAAATGGCACCTGATTTTAATCCCAAACAGAAGCTGTGACATTTTAGGATCAATTTGTAATCTCTTTCAAAGTTAAGGACTTCCTGGAGTGACAGTTGATAAAAGCAATGTTAGGGAGTTCGAATGCAACCACAGTAAACTAACATTACCTGCAGTAACTTTCCACCAGCAGCAAAAGATCGCAAACCAATTGTGTCCTACAATAAAGAATCAATGCTCTCATATCAGCTAACCAGATCGCAATTAAAAAATTCAGTCACACTAGCCACCATAGTTTGCATAATAGGAGACAATTTAGGTCCAAAAGAAAAGAAAAGAAATAAGTTCTTGCATACTAACCTTGCTTCTTAAAACAATGAGGAACTGAGCTGCTGGATCTCTTTTCGATACATTTGACATAGTATCTAGGAACCAACCACCACCTTTAACTCTTTGCCTTGCGACATGGAGAGCAGGACGATCTCTTGCATACAAAGATACAACATACCCATCCTTCAACAGCTCACCAGGCTTTCCACTGAGCCTCCTGCTAGATTTTAGAAGCTGGTCGGAAGGAGATTCTTGCATTGATTCTATGGGAGTTTTCCTACTTCTTAAGTCTTCTGGGGAGGCAAACCGAGAGCTGGAGCTTAATGCTTGATCAGTGCCACTCATAGCCGTGTCTTCTTCCCGCTGCGAGGTACTTTCTTTTTCTTGTGAAGGGTCATCAGATTTTTGCCTGGATTTTTGATGTGCGTGCCTCTTTTTGGCTTTCTTACCTGCTCTGCCTCGTCTTCCATCAGATCGAGTGGCAGTACTTTGAGACAAACCTGAACCTTGGTGCTGGCTAGGAGACTCCTTGGATTGATTAGCTTCTTTCTTCTGAGAGCTTTCTGGACTTGCATGAATGACTTCAGTTGGTTGCTCAACAACGGATAGCTGCAAGCTACTTTCTCTGTCCAGTTTATCTGACCCTTCATTTTCATCACCTATTTCACTTTCATCCTCTTCATCCGATACAGCATTTTTTGGAACAATCCCATCAAATAAGAATGACTGCAATATGGAGATAGCTTTCTCCCTTATTTCCAACCATACTTCTTCACTATAATCTGCACTGTGTGGAAGTATCAACACATTGGGCATCTCCTTTACCTGAAGTAAACCCATGACAAGATATCTTAGCATCACCCTAATATATCAAATTTTGATGTTCCAGGAGTGCATCACTCATATATGGGTAGCCATAATATACAACGAGGAAGAAAGAAGAAAAATACTATCAGAATATACGATCATCCAGAAGCAAGTAAAATTTCCATCCCTTTCCCCCTTTCACAGAGGGCAAATGCCACTAAGTTATCACATGTCAACCAAACACCATGTGGTTTCATAGGCAGTTTTGGCTAACAGAGACATGTGTCAGTTCAAAGGCAGTTTTGGCTAACAATGCAAATGCAATTTTTCCACTATGATAAGCACAATCCACATCCAATAATTCAGAAACCAAGCACCCAAGACTGATAAGATATGAGAAACAATTTTTTTTTTTCCTACAATTAGGCAAGGTGGCAATCAATGAGAAGATATAGTACAAGGCTAGAACAAAAACATCCACAGACATACACATACTTTGCATGTCAGTATGGACAGTTCGCAACAAAATTTGATCTACAGATTAGAGCTCCAAGGCTATTTGATGAGAAAGTCTGGACCCTTTAACAAGACAAGAAAGCAGGAGACCACTCCGGAAATGGAACAAAAAAAGGAACTAAACTAAATGGATATAATGAAAAGCATGCTGAAGCAATCAAGTACAAGTATTTGCTCAGAAATTGACACAGCCTATGTTAGCAAGTCCATAACCCATAACTAGTTAGCATACCCATGCTTCCATCCATTGTGGGCCTTCAGCACCATCCAAAGCACACCCAGCTAAGGTTCCGTCAATCAAAAGCTGTTTCACAAAACAATCATCCAATAGCTGACTGCTCCCCGTGTTTACAAGAAATGCTCCTGCACAAGAAAACTATATTCATTCCACGCTAATATAAAATATATAAGGGACCAAAAAGTTCCTTAAACACAGACCAAAATGAAAATAAATGTACCAGGCTTTACGTGCTGTAAACATTCAGCATTGAGAATCTGAACTGTTTCATTTGTCAGAGAACAGTGAAGTGAAACAAGGTCACTTGCAGCCAGTAAATCATTAAGAGTATCCATTCTTCGGGCAGCAGAAGGAAAGCTTATGGAAGACCTGCTTACTTTTCCGTTCACCTGAATATCATGTTTCAGGCAAAAAGTTTAAAGAAAAAATAATAAATTCAACCTTAAGAATCAAATGTGAGATGCAAAAGGTAGTTTGAAACTAGAAAATACACAATGTCAATCTTATTCAATTACCATCAATGAAAGTGAAAAAACAAGTTTATTTTCATATATAGTGAAAAATATTTAAAGATACTAAAAAAAATTACTTTTCAGAATTCATATGAATTTGAGGCTAGTAGCAAGTACCACACAACAGCCAAAACACCCAATAAGTAAATAAGTAAAAGTCCACAATTTCTTAAGTTTCCACAAGTAATGCATTCTACTTCGATAAGACCTACCCAAATCCGTCCCAAAATAAATATTAAAGAAGCGCACTTTAAGCTTGAAACATCACAATGAATATATCTAAACTTTTTTTTCCCATCTGAATACATTTTAAGCTCAGAACGTAGATTAGGACAGCACAAACATAAATTCTACCACATTTCCATCATACTATGCTTCAGTAAGCATAAGAAGAACATTGTCTCTCGACAAAATTAATATGAACTATGAAAGCACATTCAAATGTTACATATTTCACATTTTAGATACACCGTGTTAAACCACTCAACCTTGTTCGATTCACAAACTTCAAAATGAAGCACATTTTGTGCTACTAAACATCCACTGCAACTTAGCCAATTATGAAAGACAGAGAGGTAAATACGATCGAAATGGTACCTCTACATCTTGAACATCGAAATAGAGCACACTCATTTTGAAAGCCAAGCTCCTAGTAGCCAGAGACCTCGCCGACGCAGATCTACCGATAATCCCCAAAACCAAACCACGACACCTTCTCATCCCACGGCACAGCGGCTGGATCGAACCAAGCCACCCTGAAGCCGAGAGTGCGTGGCGGGAGAGCATGTGCGTCCGGCGCAGCAAGCCGAGGAAGAGCGCCATGACTGTGTCGGCGATCTCCTCGGCGCGCGATGTATCTACGTGGACGAGCCGGAGCCCAAGGTCGGCGGCCAAGGCCGAATCGACGGCGCGGTCGGCTGAGCCGAGGCAGAGGATGAGCTGGTAGGGACGGAGGCGGCGCTGGGCTGCGCGTGGGAGGTAGGCAAGGGACTGTAGGAGCACGGCGGATGCCGACTCGATCCTTCCGTCGGCGAGACGACTGAGTGGCACGTGCTCGACGGCGGCGACGCCGGACAAGGAGTCTTGCTCCATGGCGAAGTCATCGATGCAGTTGAGAGTGACGACCAGGGGGAGCGATGAGGGTGAGGTCGTAGGGCTGCTGCGGTGGAGCATTGTCGCAGGGGATCTGAGACCGGTGCTGGAGCTCATCTTTTGGGTTGGTGGTGGCGGGTTAGGGTTTATGATTGTAATTTTGGGCATTTCTAGGGGTTAAGATTGGGGAGGTGTTCCATTGCTTTGCTGGAGAGAGTTGAGAGCTTCAATTCAAGTGTCCAGTGCTGAGATCCAGTGCCCCCTAGTCGTCTTCGGCTTTGCCGCTCTGTTTACTCATCACATACCCTTGTCATTTTACATAATTCTCTCCATATCCCCACCTTTCTTTTTTGGGGTGGTTTTTTCTGCTTCTTTAGTATCTAGCATCTCTACGTACCACGGCCAGCAGCACTTTAAAATGTCATGGTCATGGACTCCTGGAGGCTTATGGATATTGAATATATGCGGATATGCCCTTTGATGTTTTTATTATTTTATACAAGTTGCATATTTAGCTTACGGAGGATTATGAATTGGCTGCTGCTACATATTGGGCAATTGGCAGGTCCAATCTGAATGAATATGAATATGAATATGATGGTTGTCATTGCAAGTTCCAACAGTTTTCTATATGGGGGGAATAGATCATTTTAGCACTTGACATATAAATGTTCTCCAATTTTTATGCTACATGGACCTGTATACAAAAATGGATTACTGACCCGCACCGGTTTCATATTTGTTCCGGTCTCTCTCATATGATACGAGAGTCTCATGATGAGAGAGAGAGAGAGAGAGAAACAGAAGATATGAAATGAAATCAAGAAATGCAAGTTTTTCTCATGTTGATGATGGGGCTAATAGTGTTATAACAAAACCTTGGTTTGTGGGATAGGTGATACAAGAACGCATTCACCTGCTAACTACAAATGCATAATCTTGTTTTCAATAAAATGCAATTGATTTTCTGTATACAACTCCTCCCCATATTTACCTGTTTAAGTGTTGATCATGCGAACGTGCATACAAGAACTTCTCTTTAATGACGTATGAGATCAAAATACGTGCATCTATCTACAGGACAATAGGAAATTATATCATTACTTCATCAACAGCATGCCCACTGCTTGCTCGCACTGAATTTTATTTAATAGAATGGAGGAGTGAGAAAGAGAAAAAAAACATTACAATTCAAAACATTACAATTCAAAACAAGTGAAGAAACAGTGCACTATCTACAAAAACATCCATGTTATGAACTTCCCAACGAACTCCAAAGACAGCAAAACTTTCTACAACATATGAAAAAATAGACAAACACATACATCTTCATCAAAGTAGAGTCGAACCTCATACGAGCTTATGCCGGCCGCTAGACAAGTCATGTTATTTTACCTACAGCTCCATCAGATCTTCAAAGTTTATTGCATTTTCCTCTCTCTGAAGGCTGAACTGTTTCAAAAGGACCGAGGCAAATCCGCACTGGGACGGTGTCTATGTTTCATTCAAACAACATTTCAGTGGTCCAGTAACCAGCCTTGGGAGTGAAATGAAGAACTTTGGCATCCTTTGAAAAAGCTTTATGTAAACATAAAACTATTAAACAGAAAAAACTGTACAAAACTTCCAATCCAACTACAAAATCTAGTGCTCAACAGATTTATGTCACCGATTTTATGCCGTTCTCACTTCCTCTTCCACAATCTTTAAATATTTCATTATTCCTGTTTCCCCTTGATTTCACCAAAGGCATTCCCAATTATCCAGTTCAGAGAAACCTCCTCCTGAAATTACTGGTAGTCGCTTGATAGGAACGCATGAGCAGTCCAACACCAATCCCTATCCCAAGGCACATCCCGAGGCCAATTCCAACACCAACTCTAACACCAGCATTAAACCATGTGAGTTGGCCATCTTCACCAGTGTACATGTCATCAGAGTAGAAATGATGTCCAATTTTCCCTTCTGACTCATACTCATCGATTTCAGGTTCTGTGATCTGCACAGGCCCACCCAATCAAGGACTCTAAGTCAGTTAAAAGTTAAAACAACAGAAGATAATTATGCTTCTTCCCTCCAGTTCAAAGGCCGGGTTACCAAAGTGAACATGAAGGCAGGAAAATTAAGTACCAAAACAAGCTTCAAAACCAACATTTTTAGGAAAGGCCCCCAAAAAGAGCATATCTTTTGATCAATGCATTGCAGAAATGAAGCTAACTAGCTAATAAGCAAGCCACCAATGCACTATAAGTTTTAGATGTATATGTCCACCAAAAAATAAAAAGTAGAATGAAAAAGCAAAGGGCCCTATGCTTGTCAATGAACTTAGAAAGCCCTTAATTGATCTAGTTTGCGGAACTTTTCCATTGCAGCAGTGGTTATTATATTTGTTGAAGAAGCAAATCCCAACACAGAACGGAATCCAAAAAACAACAAACATTTCCTTCCCAACAGAGACCTCTACAACTAAAATAAATAATAAATAAACAAAATTAGGCAATCCCTTCTCCTTTCCCTATAAAACCACAGAATGGATGGTTTTCTATGTATTATAAATCATTTCTTAGATATAAAGCTACAGGTTTTGAAAGGGTAGCGGATCAAATATTGGAGCAATAAATTAAACTTATGATCCACAGCATCAGTCCCACGTTGAAAGAGTGGGTTGCATTATCATTCCACTTAATAGAAATAGTAATAAGTAATTTTTTGACAAAAACAAGGATTCATGGAGCATCTTATAGAACTGCAAAATATTATAATTTCAACCAAAGGCATAGTTGAACACAGGGTCTTAGGCTACAAAGTGACTCTTACACATAATGCCATACTGGCAAACACATATACCTGTATAAAACAACCAAATGCAGGAAAGCCCCAAATAATTGTGCGTCCATAGCCACAAAAATTTACATGAATTTCATCAGAGATACAAACTCTTTACTACTACCAGGCCAAATCCTCACAAAATCACAATGTGACTATGAACAATTATCAAAACCATGTTCAATTAAAAAATAGCCAACACAAAGCAAAATCAATGACAACGTTTCAATACCTGAACTTTCCGATGGCGAACCAACCCATTACAGCTCTTGCCGTGCTCCTTCCCAACCTCCTCATCCTCTGGAATCGCATCCAGCATGGCGTGACGGGTGCCCTTCCGCCTCGGGCTAATCTGTATCGTCTTTGTCAAGATGACCGGCACGCCGGAGCAACATCCGGCGATATAAACCTCGATGGACGGCGACGAAAGTCCGAGTTTCGGCCGAAAAAACGCGGAAGAACCCGAATTGATCGACGCAGCCATATAACAATCCATACTCCAACCCGTTTTCGAATCATTCTTCAATCCCCCGGCATTTCCATTGAGCCAAACACCCTCCATTCGCTCCAGAGACCCACACAGAACCATGTCATTGTTCTCATACACCTCGAATTCGACCGGGCCGGTGACCCGAACGCTGTCTGTGCTCACATACGTGACCTCCGACGATTCCTTGTCGACCCGATCGCGCCGGAGCGTGAGCGAGGCCGAGTCCGAAGCCGGAACTTTGGCCCCGTTGATTTCAAGCGATACGCCAATTTCTCGGCGGAGGTGACGGAGCGTGAGGTGGTCGGGGACACTATCGATCACGCACGGCGCTACCCGGACGTAGAACAATCGGATTTCGAACCAGGCGGAGTGGGCCAAGGACGGCCCGTTTAGAACCTGAATCGAATTCTGGATCGAATTGGGGGTCTTGGATATGGCCACCGCAGACGAGTCCTTGTCATGCTGCTCCATTAAAACCCTAATTCACAATCGAAATCGGAGAATCGGATGTCGGAAATTAGGGTTTTGAAATAAGAAAAACAAAAGCGAAGCAATTTCTCCTCGTTAATTAAATTTTTCAGTATTTTGTCTTGTGGGAGATTAAAGTTTGGAAGACATGAATAAGCTCTGGTGATCCACGTTTTGGGAAAGCTGCGAAAACGAAGAGGTTCGTTGCGGAAAACAGGGTTTTGGTAGCGAAAGATTTACCAACGGAGGAACGGAGAAACAGACAGAGAGAGAGAGAGTTTTTTTGTTTTTTTTTTTTGGGGGGTTTTTTTGGATGTGTGGGAAAAAATAACGTAACATGGTGGATTTGGATTTTTTTCATGCGGAGTGTTGTGGAGCGGGGGATGTGTTGGTTGAAGATATTTTTTCTCGTCGGTTTACGATAGTGCAGACGGGGTCAACCATTTGGGACACGCGTCGTCGTTTTGGGCTCTACGAACAACAAGTGAAACAGCCTTTGTCCTTTTTCTTCTTTCAACAGCGTACAACAAAAGCTAGACAACTAAATATTTTCTTTTTTGGTAGCGACAACAATCTATTCATGTAAATATTTCCATGGCACATTACAAAAAAAAGTGGCAACAGTCATTATTTTGTCACCAATTTTGGTGACTGTTGTGGGAGTTACTAAAGGCTTTAGTCACTAAAAAAAGCAAAAAATGTGACTAAAAGCCTTTTTAGTCACCAAAAAAGTCAAAAATGGTAACCGTTGCCTTTAGTAACCCTCACAACAGTCACCAAAATTAGTGACAAAATGGTTGCCACTTTTTTTTTTTTTGTTTTGTAGTGGCAGTTATTTCTTTTATTTAATTTAAAATTATTTGGATGTCCAAACTAATCTAATTTATAAGGACAAGGATTCGAATTTGGATGTAAGAAAGTAGGCTCATTGTCCTGATCAATTCATATTTGCGAGAAGAATGATTTTTGTAATGACAAAAGATGATGCAATCAAAGAAAAAAAATTCATGTTTAGTGTGGAAAGCAAAATACCTACAGATCCTAGGTCAAATAATTAAGCCAAATCAATTTGGAAATTATTTGACCAAATTGGGAATTATTTGATTCTTACCCCAATTGGGGATTTGATTTTAATCAAAATCATAATTAAATCAATCTTTCCAAATTGGGAAAGAATAATTCATTTTCATCTATGGAATTATTCTTCCGAAACCCTAGCCTCCAAAGCTCCTATAAATACATGACTACGCCAAGGCTTGAGATAATTCTAAAGTTTTGTCTGAAACTTTGCAAAACTCCTCTCTCATAAATCCTAACTGACATATTATTTCTCTCTCACACACAAGGCTCCGACCACCACACACGGCTCCAGCCACCCGGTTCTCATCTTAAATAAATCTTCGTACCCTTTGTTAGCTATTGTTTTTCGTACAAACACTCGACCTAACTTAGGCAACGGAGGGCCTTTGGCCAACATCCCCAAGTGTAATCTTTTCACTCCATATTGTTTTACAAGGAGAAAGATAAGCGAATAGGAAGAAGGAATCTTCATACGAATATTCTTAGAGATGAAAATCACTCCCACAAATTGGTGCTCTCAATAAAAGCACCATTGAGAGCACCAATTTGTGGGAGTGATTTTCATCTCTTAGAATATTCGATCAATGGATTCCCATTTCTCCTTCCTTGAACTCTTTCTCCCTAAAAACCAATCGGAATAAAAGGACCACACCCAGGGGGTGTTGGCCAAAGGCCCTCCGATGCCTAAGTTCATTCGATTGAATCTAGATGAAACAATAGCTAAAAAATGGTACGGAGATTTATCTAGGGTGAGAACTAGGTGGTCGGAGCTATGTATGGTCGTCGGAGCCTTGTGTGTGTGTGAGAGAGAGAGAGAGAGAGAGAGAGGAGAGAGAGAGAGAGAGAGAGAGAGAGAGAGAGAGAGAGAGAGGTGGCAGCAAGGAGGGAAATTTCTGTAGTAATTTGAGAGCTTAGAATAGCTTACCTCATGCCTTGCATAGCCTCGTATTAATAGAGCCTTGTAGGGCTAGGGTTTGAGGAAAAATAATCCTTGTTGGGAAAGGAATTATTTTTCCTAATTTTAGGAGATTTAAATCAATTAGAAATTTGATGTGGATCAAATCCCTAATTCAAGGCAAGAATCCCCAAATCAAATAATCTCCAAATAAAAGGAAATATTTGACATATGATTTTGTTAAAATTCGGTTCCCACATTTAGCATAACTAATCTTCACATTTTCCTTTAATAAAAGTGGCAAGAATTTCTTAAATTCCAATTTCATGAAGAATTTTTTTTTTCAAATATAGGTCATTTATTTAAGGAAAAAAGTCATTTTATGATGTTTTGAATTAAAACAAAAGCAAATGTGGGTTAGGCCAGTTGGCCAGGGCAGTGGACCGCTCTCTTGCACCCATGTTCAAATCTCATTTTCTATATACTAGATTAATTTAGAGTAATTTATCGCTTTGATCATAAAAATTAATAATAAATAAACAAAAAGGAAGTGCCTTGGTGAAAGGAAAGTTTGCATGGCAGGCCCCATTGGACTAGGTTTCTATTGGGAAACCCAGAAGTGGAAAGCACATTTCGAACAAAGCCCAAGAAAAGTGAGCCAAAACATGAATAGCCCAAGAATGAACCACCCGAAAGCAGCCCAATTACTTTTTGCTTTATTTATTTCTCTTCTTCCTATACCTAAACAATACATGTGCTGATCAAATATTGTGTTTGAAATGCATATGGGGCCCATCATATTTACCCTAGCCCTAGCTTGTGCCCAACTTATGGGTTCTTTTGGGATCCCAATCCGTCCAACTCCACAAAACTTACGGAGAACGGAACTGTAGTGCATACTGAGGTTTAGTTATTTATTTTATTTTTTATGCAAGCGTTAGTCTAAATTACTTTAAAGTAATATAATCTATGATGAGAGGGAGTCAAATTTGAGTGCATGGAAATGAGTTCATTGTCCTCGTCAATCAGCCTAATTCACGTCATGTCTGCCCAATGATATATTCGATGCAACTAAACCACCAAGGAACGCGACGATATTAAGATTATTAGATGTAGTAGTGAAAATAATGTGGAGCCTTACATGTCTTCCATCTGGCCGTGGACCTCACCTCATCGTGTCAAACTTTTGTGGCGGATTTGAAAGCAAAAAGATTCGTACATATCCATGTCACCCAAGCAAAGCAAACACAGAGGAGGCAACCCTAAGAGAGTAATTAACAAAAGAATAAAGCCGAAATGATAGTTAACTAATAGTGGAACAAGAATTAGATTCTAATTAACTCGTCTTAAGACAATCCTTAAAAAAAGTTTGTGCTCTCATAAAAAAGAAAAGGAAAAACACTATTTGTCTAAACATAAAAAAAAAAAAAAAAAAAAAAAACATTACGCGTTTGAGTGTAAAGCGTAATGTGTGTGTTATTAAATAATAAACGCATGCATAAACATTACGGAATTGACAAATATAAGAGGGTTCGGATGGCCAATATCTATCCTCCGGGCCTTCTTCTTTTTACCTGCCGAAAGTAGTCATGCGAGTAATCATGAGATTATTTTGGTCCAACCCCTAACTCTAAACACCTTGTTTGTTATGTGTGGCCCCTCAATTTTTGTTATTATTTAATTGTCATATATAATTATATTTTTCTCTTCGACGTAGAGGGAGGTGAATGTAGTTTGTTGCCAGAGGCAAACACATTATCTTGATTAAGTGGCCTAATTTACATTCATTATAATTAACTAGCCCATTAGTACATGCTCACGCATATGCCAATTAGTTTTCTTTTTTTCTTTTTTATTTTATTTTTAGAATGAAGAAAAGATAAGATGGGTAGTTATGTTTCATAAAAGTAGAACCTATTATTTGATTTTGTTTTTAATTTTAATTTTTTTAATATGAAAAAAAAGTGAATTTATCATGTTATCCTCATTTATTTAATAATTTTAATTCTTAATATTTGAATTAGCCGATGGCATTTTCTGGTATTTTGAATGTTTCACCGTTCTCTGTCTTTTAAGGAGTAATGCTACACTTACTACATTTTTATACCACATGATGTGGCATATCTATATTATATGCCACATCAATTAAATCAACGAAGTGTATTTTAATTAAGGCAATCATAAAAACAAATACTGAAATAAATCATAAAATAAAAGATAATATCAAATAATTTTAATTGATGTGGTTGTCCACCTCAACTGCCACATAAAATGTTATAAAGATGTAGTATACAAATGTCGTAAGAGTAGCATTATTCTTATATATAAACTTTCAATTGAGTGATTTATTTAAGGGACACTCTTACAGTGCCCACTTTGTATTGTATTTTACTAATTCAAACCATTTATTTTGTATATATTCATTCAAAGATATCTCTATAAAAATGATGAAAATATACAAAAATGCCGAGTAGATCCTATAAGTATGTCTCTTAAATAAATTTATTTGAAGAATCCCTCAACGAAAATTATCTCCCTTTATATATATATATATATTTTTTTTTGTTTTCTGTGCGGATCCCTAAAAAGATGCTACATCATTGGTTCTATCTTGCAACTGATGATGGGCTCTATTTTATTCAACGATGGCCTCCATGTTTGATTTGAATAAATGGCGAAAAATAGAGCCATTAGTTTTTTCTCTATTATTGTTATTATAATTTTTTTTCAGGCGATAGGTTGTTATATTATATTATTCTGTTTGTTCTGGAAAATTCGGGTTGATGTTATCGTCATGCAATAGTGTATGACCACTAGTGCCTGTCTTTGTGGTCCGATAACCAGTTTGATCTCTTTAATTGTTGCATCCGCATAAGCATCTTTAAGAGTTTGGAAGTGAAAATAAGATGCAAATCCTCATCTTTTATTTTTTATGAATAATGTAATTCTGAGAATTTTCTTTTAATTTAGAAAAAAGAGAGGGTATAATAGCATTCCAAAGATGTATAAAAAGTGTCATATAAACATTTAACAAATAGAAATCACTCCTCACATTATTCCAACCGAATTGTCAAAACTGATTTGGAATGAAGACTGAAGCCCTATCCGTTTACTTTTGACGTTGCAAAAGCAAAGCCTCTATTATTATATTATTTTTAAGACACAGGGCTGTTACTTCACTTATCTCTTTTCATTTATTATTTTATTCTTTATCTTAAATGATTGGACGTTACAAATATTTTCCTTCTTTCTCTTTTCAGCTTTTTTCATGTACAGTTAAATAATTTTGTTATTACTACAAAACTTTTGCTTGTACTCTTTTCCTCCTATTGTATGTTACTCATTTAATTTTTATTTATAAATACATCTCTTTCAGTTATATTTCTTCAACAACAACAACAACAAAACAAAAAAAACTTGTGCTCGAACACAATTCCCCTTTTATACCAAAAAAATTCATTTTCTTTTACAATGCATTATGATCAACCCCAAAATGTAATGAAATAATATTTTAATTTGATATATTGGGCGGAGTGTAAAACTGTGCAGAATATCAAATTACCACATCAATCGTCAAATTTAAATTTAATATTTGGTATTTGACATCTTAAAGGGAGATGCTCTTATAATCTAACATGTGTCGAAAATGTTGACGAACAAGTATTATATCACTAAATTAAATATAAATATATATATATATAAAACCACAGAAATTCACAGTCTGGTCCCATGTTAATTGATGAAGAAAATATTTTAACATAAAAAATAATATTGAAAAATAAATAATTCAAAAAGAAAAAAAGAAGAATATTCACATATAAAACTCTTTAAATAAAAAACCCATTACAAAATTTAGTAAAGAAGTTTGAGTTTATTATATTGGTTTTTTTTTTTTTTTTTTTTTTTTTTTTTTTTTTTTTTTTTTTTTTTTGTATGACGATTTGATTATGAGTTTGACATGGTGGCATTCGAATTTTGAATCCCGAGATCTGAGACCTATGAAATATTGGCGGCATTTTAGATCAACGGCCACGATGAGTCGCCGCCCATGTTGTGAAAACCCGCAGATGTACTTGGACATTGGACTGGTTGGTGGGGGGGGCCCACAAACCCTCGTAGGCCCAAATTGACGACTGAGTTAGTAACAACCTCCAGATTTTACCACGCGCCATTCAACTGCAAGTGTTTGAGGTCGAAGTGAAATTTGAAATTTGATTCTCAAACGAGAGAGAGGGACCCAAAACGCTGCGATTTGACATCAAGTGGCAGCCTTTTAGAGCATGAGTGAATTTTCATTGTTGTCGTTTTAAGTACTTTCACCTCAATTGGTAAATAGGAATTGTTTCCCTTTCTTTTCTTTTTCTTCTCATTTGTACGACAATACATGAGAAATGGAAGTGGGGGTTGTTCAATCCTTTTCCTCACATGGTGTGTTGGGACCCTTGATGGTAAATTGAGTTTCAAACTTGATTCCTAATGATATGTAAAATGAATTTGAAGATGCGTAAATGATATGGACGCAAATAGAATCGATCTACAAATGAAAGTTATTTTCTATATGCGTATTGCGTAACGTCAATCAATGACTACATCATAAGACTATAAGTATTTGATCGTCTAAATAAGAGAAAGGCTGAAATGATTTACAAAAGAAAAAAAAAATTAGGTCAATTAGTTCTCATAACTAATTACATAAATATTTTGGAAAAGAACTATGTGCACAATCATACAAACATACATAGTTAGGTACTTGTCAAATGTAGTTTTTATTTTATTCATTATTATCCCATACTTATCCTCTCAAAACTCCAACACAAATCACTTTTCTATGATAACCCTTAAAAAATGATATAAAAAAAAAGCATTTAAGACGCTATTAATAGGGGCATGGAAAGTCTGACAATATGTTGATATCCATAAAACGCCAGGTAACAGTCATTTTCATGTCGTTTCACAAATTCAAGTAGATAGATGTAGTTCTCTCGACGTTAGTTAAATGATTAAGATGACGTGTATTAAAAATTTGACGTTACAATATGAATGATATAATATTGAACGCCACAAAAGTATTCTAATTTTAAAGACACTAAATTCAATGTCATCTTTATATATTATCTTTAAGGGCACTTTTTATAAAAGCTCAACCAGCAGGAATAACACTCAACTCAATGAATATTTGGAAGCCTTAATGAATTTGAAGAAGAGTTAAAAATGAAATTTAGAGTTTTAAATGGATTAGGTGGGCATGGAAAATACAAGAGTCATACAGAAGAAAGTTCCAATATTTCAACAGCAAATCAAAACTCACATGCATAATGACATTGAAGAACAACAAGAAATAGTAATGATATCACCATCGTTTTTTTCATTTTCTTTTTGTGGGTTTTCCTCCTAAGATAAACAAAAAAAAAAAAAAAAAAAAAAAAAAAAAAAAAAAAAAAAAAAAAATTTTAATTAGAGGGCCAAAGGTGAGCTCGACGCACCAATACTTCGCGTGGGCAGAATCTAGATAGATAGGCAATGCATGAATATATACAGTTTCAAACTAGTATGCTCGAAAAAGAGACATGGATACTTGACTGTGGTGGCTTCATAGGCTGCTTAGCTTAATAGCTTCACTGCTTGCTTACACCTACACATTAACCCACCCAATTCTTCAACACGTTCGTGCGCAAAAGCTTTCTCTCTCTAGCTTTTTTCAATTTTTTCCTACCTTCTTAATTTTCTCTTTCCTATTCCGCATTGCTTGTTTTGATTCGGATTTTCTGGTACCAGTGTGTCCAAACCACCCCCCCCCCCCCCCCCCCTCTCTCTCTCTCTCTCTCTCTCTCTCTCTCTATCCTTTCCTTTTCAAAGCATTATTCGGTTTCGTCTTGGCCTCTCTTTTCCTCTCTTTTCAACATCCCATTTATGCAAATTGCTAGTATCTCTATTTTCCCTTTTATTTTTGGTTTTGAGCTCTGAGTTCTGGTTTTTGCTCTGCATCTCTCTGAAACAGGAAGCATTAGAAATGAAGGTCTGGAATCTGAATTTCCCACCTTTGAATTTCTGAATATTCATTGTTCTGCTGTCAAGTTTTTCCCTTTTGGGTTCTCTTTTCTTTTTGATCTTTTCCCTTTTCTTGTTTGCTTTTTAGGGAACTTAAGGCATGTTTGTTGATGGGTTTTGCTCAAAATCGTATCAGTTTTCTTAGTTTAATTCACTGATAGGAATATTTAATCAGATGGGTCCTCATAAGTCTCTATCTGGAAAGAATTGTTCAGATTTAGAATACTTCTAGTGAATATGTCTTTGTTCCTTCACTGTTTATAGATTCTGAATCAGATCTCTTGGTGTTGGTGATTTGTTCTTGCAGAAGTTTGTACTGAAGTTGGATTTGCATGATGACAGAGCCAAGCATAAGGCCCTGAAAACAGTCTCTACTCTTTCAGGTACAAAGATCATTATTTTACTAGATTTAAGTTTCTTTTTCTAGAGTAAATTAATGATTTTTTTTTTATAAAATAAACACATAAAAGCCTTCAGATTTAGTTTGGTTTCTTTTTCTAGGGTAACCATTTAAGATTTCTCTACTTTCTTTTTAGTTTGCTAAAAACACAAGAGTTTCTTTTTGTTCTTATTAATTGGTTTAAAAAAAAACATTTTTTTTCATCAAGGCTGCTCTTTTTGTGTGTGAATGGATTGCAAGGAAGACGACAGTTAGCTAGCTAGTATGTTTTGCAGAGGTCAGCAGACTCTGCACCAGAAATCTGTATTGAATTCTCATCAGGGCTTGAAATGTGTACTAAAGGGCGACAAGTAAATAAACGTCATGAATGAGGTCATTTTTGACACAATATGTCCTCTGGTTTCTGCAGGTTTAGACTTTTAATGCAGGTGCTAGTTTGCTCTATGCAAGTTGGTTGTATGTCTAGTATTACTCAAAACTCAAATACCAAAAAGATATGGTCCATATGGAGACTAATTGTTGTTCAGAAGTTTTTATATTAAAAGATAGTAGATATGAACAGAGTTGAGATAATTCTCATTTTATTGTTTTGATCCTGCAATTTGTAATTGTAGGCATTGATTCCATCTCCATGGACATGAAGGAGAAGAAATTAACGGTGATCGGAAGTGTCGACCCGGTGAATGTGGTGAGCAAATTGCGCAAGTATTGGCAAACAGATATACTCTCAGTAGGACCAGCAGTAGAGCCTAAGAAAGAGGAACCAAAGAAGGAAGAACCCAAGAAAGAAGAAGAAGCAAAGAAGGAGGAACCCAAGAAAGAAGAAGCAAAGAAGGAGGAACCCAAGAAAGAAGAAGCAAAGAAGGAAGAGGAACCAAAGAAGGAGGAACCAAAGAAGGAGGAGCCAAAGAAAGAGCCAGATCCTGTCTTAGAGCTTGTTAAGGCTTACAAAGCATACAACCCCCACCTGACCACATATTACTATGTGCAAAGCATGGAAGAGAATCCAAATGCTTGTGTTATTTGCTAAACAACAAGCCAAGCTTTCCCAAATCCCAGATTAGGGACTCGAAATCTTCCGAATGCCGCTAGGAGGCCAAACCCAAGAAAATAGGAGCTGCACTTTGTATATAGATGGTCATGCCTCATTGAAATGTTCAAAACACTAGTAATGTGTGTAGATCAAATAAATGTACTTAAATTTTCTCTATAGTTCTTCTGGTCTGTCTGTACCACAAGTGCTTTTCTTTGGAGCTTGATATGAGCTAACCAATTGGTAAAGTTTTTTTACTGTGGTAAAGAAAATGGTCAATATCATTTTCTTTGTTTTGTGGTTTAATCTTTGTAAGCAAGGGTAACTCTCATTTTCTCAGTGGGTCATGTGGCTTTGTATTGGTTTCAGGTGTATCTTTTGTCTGTGTGTGAGCTTATGTTATAAATGAACTGAAGCCTCATGGCCCTCCTCCTACCTTTGTGGCTGTCATTGAGTTGTCTTTCTATTTATTTTTTATATGAGGTAGATGCAGGGCTTTTGGTCCCATAGATTAACTGGTCAGATTAGCCATCATTATTATTTGCCCTTTGTATTGGTCTCTATGAGTGTAGTGCCAGTTAATTGGACAGTAGAAGTTAGCTGATGGAGTTTTGTGCTTCAAGAATCATGGTTGGTTTGATTGTTTGAAGATCATTTTCAAGCTCTTCCAGCCACTAGTTTTTACTTTTTTTAATTTTATGAAATAAAATAAGCTCCTCAAGTTCCATTTCTGGTTTAGGTGAAGCAGATTCACTGGTTGGTTTGGTGGCTTTCAGTTTATGCCAAGGTAATTCAACAAGCTTCCAAGGGTAAATAATTAACATTTGGAATTGTTTTTAGGGTAAACTACATAAAAACCCCTAAACTATAGGTCATTTTCAAGTTCATACCCAATTTTAGAGACATTTACGAGTACATAGTCAAACTCTTGGAAAACCTACAAATTGCCCCCATCGTTAGTCAGACCGTTAGTAAGACTGTTAAATGCTGATGTGGTGAAAGTAGGTTCTATTTTTTAATGAAGTGGACTTACATGTGGACAAATAAATAATAAAAAATTATGTACATGTTAAAAATAATTTTTAAATCATATTAAAATCATTAAAAAATGAAAAAAAAGGATGGAAAAAAAATAAAATAAAATCTCCTCTCTCTTCTCCTACCCAGCCAACCCTTTCTCCCTCCCGACTCAACCCCACCTCTGTCAAAATCGAAATTGTTGGGTTTGTGTGAGATTTAGATTTTAGATTTGAAAATAATAGTGGAGTTTCGTTGTAGAGAAGCTTTTGATGTGTAACATCCCACATCGACCAACGGAGATGGGGTGATGTGCCTTATGCCTTATATGTGCATGCCCACGTTCATCTAGCACAAGGCCTTTTGGGAGCTTATTAGCTTCGGAGTCATGGGAACTCCGAAATTAAACGAGTTTGGGCTAGAGCAATCTCAGGATGGGTGACCCACTAAGAAGTTGCTCGTGAGTTCCCAAAAACGAAGTCGTGACAGTAGAAAGAAAGTGTGGGATCTGCTTGTTGTATGGCGAAGATGCTGAGATCATGTTGGGGAGAAGGGGAACAAAGAGACATCGTGATAAATCTGAAGCAACAAGTGGAAGTAAAAATTAAACTATGGATGAAGGAACAAGAAGATGAACTACTCCCTCAAAAGAATTAGAAGGCAAAATAAAAAGGCAAACCAAAAAAGGTTTAAGTTTGAGTGTTTTGGATTCTCATTATCTCACACCATACTTGCACTTATTAATAGCTTGGGGAATTGGGGATTGCTCTTAACAGACCAGACAAGTGATCTGAACTTGATTCGTTGTTCAATACATAATCTGAAAAAGAAAAATGATCTTTGCTTTCTTCATCTGTTTTTCATAGTTGTTATTTGGGGTCTTGTAAACTTTTTTGCTAAATGATCAGTTTTAAGTGTTAAGTTTTGTCTCTATATTTTCTATCAAGTTTGATTTCATTTTGGAATCTAGATTGTGTGTTGGTAGTGGGTGTATTTGATCTAAAATGTAGAAGTTTGGATTGTCTGGAGTGCAAAAGTTTAATAAATGGCTACAAATGGAGATTAGTAAGCTACCCCAAAACCACCTCCAAGCCCCTCACTTTTATGAGAGTTGGGTTTTGGGGTGGGCGATAGGAGAAGGGTGGCTGAAAGGTGGGGTTGAGTTAGGAGGGAAAGATGGTTGACTGGGTAGGAGAAGAGAGAGGAGATTTTTTTCATTTTAATATGATTATTATTTTTTTTTAACATGTACATAGTTTTTTATTATTTATTTGTCCACCTATAAGTCCACTTCATTAAAAAATGGAACCCACATTCGCCACATCATCATTTAACAATCTTACTAACGGTCTGACTGACGGTGGGGGCAATTTGTAGGTTTTCTGGGAGTTTGAGTATGTACTCGTAAATGTCTCTAAAATTGGGTATGAACTTGAAAATGACCCTATAGTTTGGGGGCTTTATGTAGTTTACCCTTGTTTTTATTATTATTTGGGGAATATATAAGGATACATTTGGAATTGTTCTTATTAATACTTCTCCTCAATGCAAATCACGATTTGACACATGTATAAAAATAATTAACAATATATACACATATCATTCTATCATTGGCACAAATGTAGGAGTTTATAAGCATATGCAACGGTTAGGATCAATTCAATTTTACTGCATTAAATTGAACTAAAACAGTAAAATCTCACTTGCAATGGTGTGGTTTAATTCATTGCAATAGATGCAATTGTAACAGAGAGTACTTTGTGATGAACCCTATATTGCAATTGCGATAGGCTAATCATGTGACCCAAATGCTAATTAAAAATAGAAAAAGTACAGCAATTAATTCATTATGCCATTAAGAGCATCTGCAATGATTGTTCAATAATTCAATGCAATAGAAAAAAATACAATAATTAATATTTTTTTATTATAAATATATTCAAAATTGATCTTTTTTTGAAGATCTCTTTGTGAATATTTCAATGATACTATTTTTGGGGTTATTAAATTTATCTATTTTATTTTATTTAAGTATGTAAAAAAATATGTAAGAATATATAACTATTGATCTAAAACTATTGAACTGTATCATCACAAATAAAACTATAGTTCAATTCAATAAATACCAAAATAGTTCAATCAATTGAACTATTAAACAATCATCGTAGATGCTCTCACAAGGGAATGAAGGAAGTATTTTCCCATCGTCTTTGAAACACACATGATGAGCTTAATTAATAATTTGCAATAACTCATATACTAAACGTGAGGCATGTGACATTAAGCATAATTTTATTCTTTCTACCTGTTCTCATCCAATAAAGTGGCATACATATGCACAGGACTGTATGGCCGTACAAATATTCCTCCAACAAAAAATTATTAAATTATAAAAGATATATAAAATAGAAAATACCCATTTGATATGAGAGATGATATATATATATATATATATATATATATATATATACTGAACTCTGAACATTCCAGGAAGTGTGTTTTGAAGGCAACCAAAGATTGAAGACCATATTTCAAAGCAAAATATTTGTTGCAATGGATCTGGTCTTTTCAACTCTCGTGCCAACCATTTTCTGTGGGTGGTTTCATTTTCAAGAGGAATTGAGGATGGCTGAAGGCTTCAACCCCAAGAAAGTAAAGAAAGAAATAAAGAGGGTCTCTAGGTTCAACGGAAATGGCTGCTTTTCTAAGTTTCTTCCTCATTGAGTAATTAACGTACTTGAAAATCGAAGTAATAATTTTTAAACATGTGATTAACATTTCACTTACTCCACCAACGCAAGGGTTGGTTTTTTCTCACCTATTGTCCAATGTCTACCACACTAACAAACAACTCATAGAATTAAATCCATTTGAAAATGACTTACACGACTTAGCTTTCGTTGAACCACTGAATTACTTTCATCGTTATATACGAATCAAATGACACTTAATTGTGACTATTACATAGGTTGATGTCTTTTTCACGTGAAGAATTAAGTTGTCATTAAGAGTTTGATTTCCTCCAAAAAAATTGTTGTCCTAATCTTTGTGAAATTGACAACCATCATCCTCATATCGATACTTATCTTACCCATAAACAATAACCATATATATATTTGGATGTAAAGGACAAAGACTAGCCAGCCTTATCATCAGTGACTTAGAATGTACAGTAAAATTGTTGTAGCTGGAAACAGTATTGTGTCCATCGTACGTCAATGATTCTTACAAATAGTGTATTTACAATTATTCCCATTATATTTCTACATATAAGTTGGTTTTCGCATAATATATATATATATATATATATGTTGTGCAATAACTATTTTCCGAACAAAAGAAAATATACAATATCTGTGCAATAACTCATTTCCCCACCCACCATTCTTTGTTTCTTTTGACATACATTATATCGGGGCCTTATGATGAAGTTTTCTAATAGTGTTTGCATTATGGAATTTTAAATTCACATATATTAAAACTCATGAAAGATAAGCACACTCACAAAGTCACGTGAGGAATCTGGACATCTTGGGGGTTGGTAATCTTCTATACGATTCAAATCTGGGGGTGGTAATCTTTTATATGATTCAAATCTGAACGAAAAATTAGCGGGTCAATTCATTCGATTAAAATTTTGGATCATTTTTTGGACAAATTCATCATGACTCGTTTAATAAATGAGTGGATTTTGAGTCAATCCGTCAACATGCTAAAATACATATGTAATCCGTTTGTTAAATGAGTCGTGCCAAAGGAGATATCAATGCTAAAATAAAAAGAGTATCCGTTTGGGTATAGTTTCACCATCACAAAGAAAACAACAACACTCAGTTGGACGGCTAGAAAAGGTTAACACACAATTAATAAGGTTGGATTTTGTGGAGGTGGAGCAATGAGAGCATGTGGCAAAATTAGACGTGACCGCATGGTCCCTTTTAGTCTAAATAATGGATCTTAAAGCCATCAATGGATAGGTG